CTTTTTGATGCTGGCTGGAGTTACCGCCGCATAGCCAAGGACTTGAGATGCAGTCCAAGCACTGTAAAGTACACTTTAGACCGCCATGATGCCACCAATTCACACCAGAACCGAAAGGGGAGAGGTAGAAAAAAGAAACTTTCTGACAGACAAGTGAAGCATCTCAAAATTCTCAGTCTTAAGGACCGAAGAAAGACCTCACGAGAACTGCGTGACGAGATCAACACCACAATGACTAATGGTGCAACAGTGTCTTCAAGAACTGTGCGTCGGAAACTGGGAGAAGAAGGACTTGTTGGCAGAATAGCAGCAAAGAAACCATTACTGAGAGAGAAAAATAGAGTGAAACGCCTGAAATTCGCTAAAGAACACAAGAAATGGACAAAGGGAGATTGGTATAAAGTGTTGTGGACTGATGAGTCCAAATTTGAACAGTTTGGCAACAAGCGAAGAGTGTATGTTCGACGGAGGGAGGGGGAGAGATATAAAAATGAGTGTCTCTTGCCAACAGTTAAACACGGAGGGGGTAGTATTATGGTGTGGGGTGCCATTGCAGCCTCAGGAACAGGTGACTTAGTGAAAATTGATGGCATCATGGATAAGAAAGTATACCACAACATTCTGGTGAGGCACGGAGTACCATCTGGGAGTCGTCTTATTGGGCCTGGATTTATTTTCCAAGAGGACAACGACCCTAAACATTCTTCTAAGTATTGCCGGAACTACCTGCGACAGAAGGAATCTGCTGGAACATTGAAAATGATGGACTGGCCCCCTCAAAGTCCGGACCTCAACCCCATTGAGCAAATTTGGGGCGAGTTGGAAAATAAACTGGACAGATCTATTGTACATTCAAAGGAAAGCCTTTGGCTTGAGTTGCAGAAGGCATGGGATAATATTAGTGTTCAAGTTCTCAAGAAATATATTGACACTATGCCAGAGAGATGTGCTGCTGTAATTGCTGCAAAAGGTGGACATACCAAATATTAAAGTTAAAAGTGGATAAAAACAGTAGGACTCACTTAATCTGATATTTGTTGTGCTCAGAGCAACCATCTGCATGCATCATGAACATTTTGAAAGGAAATCATGTTTTGGAGGCAAAAAAAAGTTCAATGTTTTCATTTCTGTCAGGTGTTCTAATAATTTTGGCCACCACTGTATAAGCATAGATAGATAGATAGATAGATGGAGGAGTATAGATATATAAGCATAGATAGATAGATAGATGGATAGATAGAGGAGTATAGATATATAAGCATAGATAGATAGATGGATAGATAGAGGAGTATAGATATATAAGCATAGATAGATAGATAGATAGATGGAGGAGTATAGATATATAAGCATAGATAGATAGATAGATAGATGGAGGAGTATAGATATATAAGCATAGATAGATAGATAGATGGATAGATAGAGGAGTATAGATATATAAGCATAGATAGATAGATGGATAGATAGAGGAGTATAGATATATAAGCATAGATAGATAGAGAGATAGATAGATAGAGGAGTATAGATATATAAGCATAGATAGATAGATAGATGGAGGAGTATAGATATATAAGCATAGATAGATAGATAGATAGATAGATAGATGGATAGATAGAGGAGTATAGATATATAAGCATAGATAGATAGATAGATGGATAGATAGAGGAGTATAGATATATAAGCATAGATAGATAGATAGATAGATAGATAGAGGAGTATAGATATATAAGCATAGATAGATAGATAGATGGATAGGTAGATGAATAGATAGATAGAGGAGTATAGATATATAAGCATAGATAGATAGAGAGATGGATAGATAGATAGATAGATTGAACTGAATTATTGTCTGGTTATTGATCAGCTGACTGTTTGTCCCTCAGAGCTCCACATGGACCTCACCAACTACTACGAACTCAAACATCAACCTCACAACCTGCGTCTGCTGACGGGCGGCCTGGGAGGGGTGGGGCCAGCCGGGGTGGGAGGGGCGGAGCTAGACGACCGCCTGGCTCTGCCTCCTCCCTCCTGCTCCTCCTCCGCCTCGGTGGCCGCCGTGAGCAGAGCGAGGAGTCCGCTCAGAGCGCCGTCCCGGCTGAGCGCCGCATCAGGAGGGGAGTCCGCCGCCATCCTGCTGTCACCACACTTCCTGGACGGAGCCCCGCCCAAAACAGCGGTGATCAGCGGGGCGGACGGACGTCAGAGCGACCACCATCTGGAGGAGCTGTACAAGGAGAGGTGAGATGATCGTCCATCAGAGTGAGGGGTCTGTGTCAAAAACCGGTCCACCTGCAGGTCCTCCTGTCCCGCTTTAGTCCACCCAGCAGAGTCCTCGTCTCTCTCTGAGTTTTATTTTGGCGGTGTCAGAGTGTGAGACTGTGAACGACTTCCTGCGGAGCTGTCATCCTAACCGTGACGGTCTGTGTTCACAGGAACCTCCTGCTGGGCGAGATCGACCGCGAGGAGAGAGAGCGCTGTTGGTACTTCAGCCAGCTGGAGGCGCTGTCGCAGAGACTGGCTCAGCTTCCTCGCATCGACACGGTGAGGACACACACACACACAGGAAACACACACAGGAAACACACACACACACACAGGACACACACACACACACACACACGGGAAACACACACACACACACACACACACACAGGAAACACACACAAACACACACACAAACACACACAGGAAACACACACACACAAACACACACACAGGAAACACACACACAGGAAACACACACACACAAACACACACACACACACACAAACACACACACACAAACACACAAACACACACACAGGAAACACACACACACACACAAACACACACAGGAAACACACACACACACAAACACACACAAACACACACACAGGAAACACACACACACACACACAAACACACACACACACACACACACACAAACACACAAACACACACACAGGAAACATCATAAAAAAACAGGTTAAAAAAGATTTAAAAATACAGATTAAAAAAAAGGTTTTTAAAAAAAGAAAAAAAAGAAATTTAGAAAATATATAGATTTAAGAAAAAAAAGAAAAAAGAAAAAAAGGATTTAAATCAAACATATATAAAATATAAAAAATAAAAAATATAAAAAAATCAGATCTAAAAAAAAAGATTAAAAAAACAAATTAAAAAAAGAAAATGAATAAAAGAAACAGATTAAAAAAATAATAAAATAATTAAAAAATAAATAAAAAACAGATTAAAAAAAAAATTAATAAATGAATAAAAACAGAGGCTGTGACCACGGTTGGATGTTGACGTCTCTGTGTGACCTCTGACCTCTGACCTTCGTGTGTCTGTGCCACAGTTCTCTCTGCAGATGGATCTGATCCGACAGCAGCTGGAGTTTGAGGCTCAGCAGGTCCAGTCCGTGATGGAGGAGCGCTTCGGAACCAGCGATGAGGTGGTCCAGAGGACGCAGGTGAGAGCTGCTGATTGGACGTTTTTTTTTAATGAGAGAGTTTTAAAGAGACGGCGTAGAGAACGGCGAGCTTTACATCGTTAGTGGGACAAACAGCTGGAGATGAAGATGGAGAACATCTGGAGGAGTCTGAACTGTGTGTGTGTGTGCGTGTGTGTGTGTGTGTGTGTGTGTGTGTGTTTCAGATGCGTGTTGCTCGTCTGGAGCAGCTGGAGAAGGAGCTGCAGGAGGCCCGAGGGAGTCAGGAGAGTCAGCTACAGGTAAGACATACATACATCTACGCACACACACACCATACTAACACACACACACACACACACACACACACACACACACACACACACACACACACACCATACTAACACACACACACACACACACTAGGCTGGACAGTGTAAACTATAAAGCGTCGTTCCATCAGTGTCTTAATTTTCCTCGCGGTCATCGTGGACGACCTTCAGGCGTCTCTTTTTAAATTTGTGTTTTTTTCTTGGTTATTTTTCCGTCACATTTCTTCCTTTTTCTTTTTCACGACACACACGTCTGTTTTGTTTTCCTCTTATTTGTAGTTGAAGTGTGTCCAGATATCATTTCCTATTTTTGTCCCAGACGACCCGACCACGACTCCAACTCTCCCAAAAACGTCTTCGCCCACCGCGTCTAAAAACACGGCGAGTTAGAGGATTAAGGAAGTGACGTCACCGAGGAAACAGAAAACAAGAACAACACGACTGAACGACTGCGTCTCGTTTTAACGAAATAAGACATTTAACAGTTTTTATTTATTGAACCACATTTAGTCTCATTTTTATTCCTCAATAAAAACGATATTGAATTATATATTTAGTTAACTTTATCGTCACATGACCAACATTTACGTTTCGTCTCGTTTTCGTCACGTGATCAAAGTTCGTTGGCGACGATATTTCCTCATAATTTTCATTGATGAAAGCGACTTTAGTTCCTCCATGATCTTCAGAGAGTTTCTTCAGTCCGAACCCGGTCCGGTCCGGTCCGGTCCCGGATCACTGCAGCAGTCTCTCCCAGTTTAACTCCACCTGACACAGCGACACGGCGCCGTCGTAGGTCCAGACCCAGAAAGCCGGGTACAGCGGCTCAGAGAAGGTGGAGGTGAAGGTGTGCAGGTGGACCATGGCCTCCTTAGAGACGCAGTAGAAGGACAGAGCGCCTGCCGACCAGTCCAGGAAAACCCCGACCCGGTGTGTGAAGGGTCGGGGCGAGGAGGACTTGAACCTCTTGTTGTCGTGACACGGCGTGTAGCTCCGCCCCGAACACTCCAGACTCCAGGAGCGCTCGTTGTGTCCCAGCAGGCAGCTCGCCACGTCTCCGTCTCTGGAGATGTTGTTGTACGTGACTCCGATATCGGCGCCCCCGCTCCAGTCCACCTCCCAGTACGCCGAGTCCAGCAGCCCCTCCCGGCAAAGGACCTGAGGACAGCGCTTGAACCGGTCTGGGTGGTCCAACAGTGGATGGTCGGACCAAACCCGAACTGCCTCCCTGTTGCATTTAGTCAGATGGAGCTCTGAGTTGGCGGTGTTGGGGTCAAAGGTCAAATAGCAGGCGTCTGCGGGACAAAGTGAGAGAAGGTGGTGTTTTAAAATCCTCTGAGCAGGACGAAGAGTCCGCCAAAGAGATGGACCCAGAAAAGTAGACCAGAACCAGAACTGCAGAATTTAAAGACTTTAACAGAGAGTACCCTGAGGTTTCTGCGGTTCCACATAACTCCAAACATCTCCAAAAGCACCCTGACCTGAACCCTAACCAAGTTCTGATAGAGGTCTAACAGAGTCTGAACCCCCATAAATAACCTCAGAGACCCGGTTTTCTGGTCCCAACCAGCCCCTGAATCTGGGGCAGAAATTCAACTGTATGCAGACGATTCTGTTCAATAACGTCGTAGATCCTCCTGTAGATCTGTGTTTCTGACGGAGTTTGAGGTCTTTCAAAATGATGACGACTGAGAATTTAAGGGTTTTTAAAATATTCAAAGTCTCTGTTTAAAAGTTCAAAGACGAGACGGTGGACCCTCTGCTCTTTAGGACGCAGAGTCCAGGATTTACAGTTCTTCATGAAAGGTCAACTGGTCTTCCTCCAAGACCAAGTCCTCAAAGACCAGTTGACCTTTGAAGAAGAAGGTCAGATGTTGTTTCAGTTTGAACCTCATTAATGTTCTCAGTCAGTGGTTTTAGAAGTGATTCTGAGTCCATGCGGTGACTCCCACTCCAGAGTTCTGCCGTCTTTGCACCACTAAAATCACATAAAAGCTTTTAACCATCTTTGTTTTTGCCCAAATCTGGACTCACAGTTTTTCACGAACCACAGGTCCTCGTCTTCATGGTCCCTGTAAGAGAAACAAAAAACCCTGAAACCAGCAGAAACCAGGAGCCGCAGACTTTGACAGGATCATGAGGTGGTTCTGTCTAAACCGTCTGAACCGGGTCCACTCTTTCTTTCTTTCTTTCTTTCTGTCTTTCTTTCTGTCTTTCTGTCTTTCTGTCTTTCTTTCTTTTTTTCTTTCTGTCATTTTTTCTTTCTGTCTTTCTTTCTTTCTGTCTTTCTTTCTTTCTTTCTTTCTTTCTTTCTTTCTTTCTTTCTTTCTTTCTTTCTTTCTTTCTTTCTTTCTTTCTTTCTTTCTTTCTTTCTTTCTTTCTTTCTTTCTTTCTTTCTTTCTTTCTTTCTTTCTTTCTTTCTTTCTTTCTTTCTTTCTTTCTTTCTTTCTTTCTTTCTTTCTTTCTGTCTTTCTTTCTTTCTGTCTTTCTTTCTTTCTTTCTTTCTTTCTTTCTTTCTTTCTTTCTTTCGTTCTCACCCCATCTCGTCTTTGTTTCGGTCTCTCAGACTGAAGAGACTGACGGCAGAGGTCAGAGACAGGAGAGTCTCAGGTACTAATTCTTCATCTTTCTCCTCCTCTTCCTCTTCATCTGCCTTTTCTTCCTTTTCTTCTTCTTCTTCTTCTTCTTCTGGTTCCTCTCTGTTCATCGTTTCTTCTTCTGGCACCGCAGGGATGTCGTCACTCTTTTCTTCCCCCTCACAGCTTGGCTCCTCCGCAGGAGGAAGTAGAAGGACTTTGCAGAAAAGGAAAAAAACATTAAAATCTGTTAAAATACATTTAAATCTTCAGAATAAGTTTGAATCTGACCCACCGTCCTGTGTCTCAGGGATCGGACCCTCAGGACCTCCCTCTCCATGGTCCTCTGGTTCTGTCTCTTCGGCGCTCTTGTCGTCAGTCTCGGGGTCGTCTCCGTTAAAACCCTCGTCCCTCCGTTCCTCACTCGGCGTCTCTTTGCTGAAAATCTTTTGGTCTCTTCTGAACAAACTTAAAAAGAGTTCGTCTCGTCTTTCAGCTTTTAAAGCTTTTATTTTGGCGGGGTCTTCCTTCGCTGCGTCCCTCTCCTTTGAGAGTCCGATCCTGAAGACGTTGGTCAGGTCGTCTTTCAGGAAGCTCAGGCGGTTGTTGGTCCTCTCGGCTGATTGGCTGGTTTTGGGGTCTGAAGACTTGGCGTCTCTGTCCTTGTTGGAGCTGAAGACACTGGTCACGTCTTCTCTGAACTGGTTCAGGTCCTCCTTCAGGAGACCCAGAGCACTGACCTGGGCCGGTTTCTCTTCAGCCTGACCTGAGGTGGTGTCCTCAGACTCGGTCTTTGGGTCTTTGTCCCTGAAAACTTTGAGGACTTCCTCCTTGAACTGGGTTAGGTCCTCTCTCAGGAGACTCAGCGGACTGGCGGTCCTCCTCTCCCTCTGGATGCTCCTCAGCTGGACTTTGGTCTCTGGGTTCTTGTCCTTTGGTTGGTCTGGATCGGGTTCATGATGAAGTGACTTTTGTTTATATTTAGAGTCAGTTTGTTTGTCAGAAACCTAAAGTCTTAAAGTCGGCATGAACTAATATGAAACTGGTGTCATCAGGGAATAACCAGAGGAGAGGTTACTACAGGACGTAGGGAGTCATTAATATAAATGAAGATCAATAAAGGACCCCGGATTGACCCCTGAGGGACCCCAAAGAGAAGACTGGATTAAGTGGATGGAGCCCCATGTAGGTGAACAAACTGCTCTCTGTTGTCTCGGTAACTGATCAGATGAACTTCTGTATGAACTTTGACCCTCTGGGAAAGTCAGTCTGCCTGTTCATGTGATGTTAGCATGCTAATGTTAGCAGCTCCTAATGCGCTCTCGGCACTTTCACTTCCTGTCCAGACTTGTTAGAGGTTTCAGATCCAGAGCGTCTCGGTCTGATACTCACAGTTGCTTCAGTCTCAGTCCTGGACTCTGGTCTTTGTGGGTTTTTCAGGAGCTCAGGTCTGAGTGTGTCCCGGGTCAGCTGTAATCTCAGTCTCTCTCTCTCTCTCTCTCTCTCTGTGTTTTCGATGACTCGGCGTTCCTCAGTCCAGCTCAGCAGGTTTCTGGTCGGACCGGTTCGTCTCCGTAGCGCTAACCTTCAGGTTCAGATGATGATTGGCTGTTGAGTTTGTTCCTCTGTTTCCAGTTTCTCAGGAAGTTCAGTTTTTTGTCTCGTCGGTGTGAAAGTTTATTTTTCAGTTTTTAACCCTTTAAACTCCCACCTATATTTTTCTTCTTTTGGTCCGCCTGTTTCACCTCGATCGTTTCAATCACAGCAAATATAAACACATCTTTATTTTCAGGACAACCTCAGCTTCAGTTTATGGAGCTAAAATGATGTAAAATAAAAGTGACAGTAGATTCAGAACCAACAAAGTCAACCAAGAAACAAAAACAGAAACTGATCCCAACAGAACTTTGATCAAAAACACATAAATCTACAGTGACCAAGCCTTTTCTCACCTGAACATCATTCTCTCAAGTCTATCAGGAGAAGAAATATTGGGATTGGAACAAACACACAACAGAAACTATTGACATATTTACACTCATTCTTCCAGGCGTTTCAGTTCCTGTCTGGGATGAGACAGAGGACCACATCAGACTGCTCAGAATCTCTTCTTTACTTGTTTCCAAACATTGAGGAACATTATTTCTGATTTTACAGACAAGCAGGGAACTTTCTCATCTCTTATTGGACACTACCGTCAAGGGGACAATAGAAGAAGAGAGTTAAAGAGCTTAGACCTGATCTTTGCAGGAGAAGATGAGGGTTAAAGAGCTTGGACCTGATCTTTGCAGGAGAAGATGAGAGTTAAAGAGCTTGGACCTGATCTTTGCAGGAGAAGATGAGGGTCAAAGAGCTTGCACCTGATCTTTGCGGGAGAAGATGAGAGTTAAAGAGCTTGGACCTGATCTTTGCAGGAGAAGATGAGAGTTAAAGAGCTTGGACCTGATCTTTGCAGGAGAAGATGAGAGTTAAAGAGCTTGGACCTGATCTTTGCAGGAGAAGATGAGGGTTAAAGAGCTTGGACCTGATCTTTGCAGGAGAAGATGAGGGTTAAAGAGCTTGGACCTGATCTTTGCAGGAGAAGATGAGGGCCAAAGAGCTTGGACCTGATCAAACAGACATTAAAATAAACCTGCATTTATTTGACTGAGGGAGGAAGTGCAGTTTGTTAATCTTTAGGATCCGGTTCACTAAGAGTATGAGAAGAATATGAGACCGTGTGATTGGTCGAAAGTTTGACAGAAAAAGACGTCATCAAAACAGATCGTCAAACTCAGAAGACATTAGCGTCATTTAGTGATAGTGATATTTTTTTCATCACAGTAATCTGATCAATAATCCTGTTTTCACCGTATATCACTGTGGATTTACCATCAATCGTCTCTGATCAAACTCCTGTTTTTGTGTCTGGATTGTAAACCTTGTGGCAGGTGTAGAAACGTCTGGAAACCCTGGATAGATCGACTAAAGGATAAACTATTGAGCACTTTTTATCCCGTAGAGATACACGGTATAGATCCTGAGAAACTGTGAACTATATTCATGGCGTCACGTGGGATTGACGGCGATCCAGCGGAGTTCTGAGAGTTAATCTTCATCTGTGATTTTTGAGTTTTATTGATCTGAGGAGGATCAGCTGCTGAAACTCTGAATGAAACAGATCAGACTCTGATTGGACTGATCTCTAACAGACGCTGGGACCGTCTTCGTCCTGATTGGTGGGGGAGGGGCAGCTAGGTCTTTATGAATAATTAAAATGTCTCAGCTGCTCTCATTGATTATTTAACAGGATAAACTTAATGTGACCTTTGACCCGTAAAAGCAGCATAAAGATCATGAAATCATACATGAATTTAATCGCACTGATAAGAGACAGTAGCTTTATTTTGAAAAGGTTTATTCCTGTTAGCTCTGCTCATATGAACGACGTTTAACCCAGAATAGATCAGGTTTACATGTCCATGATGAACACATGAATGTAATAATCCAGCCGTCTGCTTCCCTCTCATGGTCAGTTTCTTCCTGTTTTCCCTGAAATTAGTTTCCTAATAATTCTTCTGAACCCTGGAGTCTGATTCTCCTCCTCCTCCTCCTCCTCCTCCTCCTTCTCCTCGCTCTCCATCTCAGCCCGTCTCGTTGCTATGCAGAGAAACCACCTCTTTTCTGCCATCCAGGAGCTTCTCTGTGATTGGCTGTTGCCAAGCTGCAGGGTTGGCACAGAGAGAGAGAGAGAGAGAGAGAGAGTCGGTGTTTCTTTCTCTGCCGAGAATAACAACGAGGTGAAACAACCCTGACGACGGCGGCGAGCGCAGGAATTCACCCCGATTAGACTAAAACACTCGGTCCGTCTGTCTGTGAAGAAGTTCTGGGAGGTTTTCTAAGAGGTCCAGGTTTCCAGGGTTCCTGGTCTCTGTTGTCTGGGATCCTGCAGACAAAACTCTGACATCTTTAAGACGTCATGATGTTAATGATATTTTAAAGGATAATTCTAACTACTATCTAAACTAGCTCTTTAACAGACCGTGTGCAATAATTTCTAAAACCATAAGAGGGTCAGAGGAGACCTGCAGAGAGACCATCAGACTCTGGCTCAGAACCAGTTTAGCAGATCTGGGACCAGTCTCTGCAAACTGGATCAGACCAGATTACCATAATCAGAAATGAAGTCAGGATTAATGCCAACCATCAGAGTCCACTTTATGTTTCTGCACATTTTCCTCAAATCTGAACCGACATTTCTGAACCGACATGAACCCGTGAGTAAAAGAGGGGAAATAAATCAACGTGATTTAATGTTACGATACGACAACATGGACGACAACAGACGATTCAAGAGACGACGGGATCATCTCAAAACAACAAACTCTGTTCACACACGAGCAGACGGGTTTACTGACGCAAAAACAGGAGGACAGAGGATACGGGCACGTGCACGGACAGCTGCAAACGTGCACGGACAGCTGCAAACGTGCACGGACAGCTGCAAACGTGCACGGACAGCTGCAAACATGTCAAAGTGTCAGTGATGTTCTCTTCTCCTGAAAACTTCCAACAAACAAACGTCACAAATCCACATTTTCTAACCAAAGGAGTTTATTATAACCTGCTGAAGGATCATGAGAATGTGAGACAGACAGACAGACAGACAGACAGACAGACAGACAGACAGACAGACGGATGTTTTATTTTTATTTATTTATCACAGATTAAAAACATGTAAGGAGGGAATGAAGCTGATTGGCTGATACAGAGATCCACTCCTGTCAGGGCGGAGGAGGGTGAAAACGACAAAGTAATTCAGACATAGACAGGATATAGATAAACACTGATACAGAGAAAGGTTTAAAATATATACAAACTGTCATAAAGTGAACAGAGACTCATCATCAACCAGAGACAGAGACAATATAAGAGGAAAAGAAACACGAACTCAACAGATACTGACGTCTTTAAGACATTTTAATGAGGATTTAAAGGACAATTCTAATATAATATTACTATTATTATGAACTACAGTTTATTAGTTTAAACTGATAATGTTAGCTGTAAACGATGAGTGAAAATAGTAAAGAAGTCCGTCTGTAGATGTGGAGGTTAGAGAGGATACAGACAGATGAAGATCATTAAAGTTGGTGTTTATGGAGCAGGTTTATACTTTTTAACGTCTAAAACCACAAACACAGTTAACCCGACCACGACATGCAGACTCTAGATTCACGTTTTCTGTGTCTGTGCAGGAATAAAACGTCTCTGTGGTCTGAGTTCAGATCTGACTGAACTTTGGAGAGACGACGGATTAAACATGAACTGGATGTTGGACCAAGTTTGACTTTTTATTATAGAGAAGGATTTATTTAGACTCGGACACAGTATATTTATTTACTGATGGAGTCATGTATTTATTTCTGTTGTTCAGTCTGAGAGTCGTCTGAAGATAAATCTGAGTTTCTCTGACTCCTCTGTCGTTTCCTCCTGACCTCCTGATTAAAATATGATTTAATAATCCTGTAGATCCGTCTCTGTGTCTGACAGACCGTCTCACAGAGTCTAAATCTGATGAACTCCAGCCCAGAATCCTCTCTGAGAAGAAAAACGCCGTTTATTTTCCTCTCGCTGGCGTCCATTTTGTCGTCATGTGAGCAGCCAGTCGTGTTTAATGGAGGAGGTTTGGACCGGAGCCACGCGCTCACATCCAGGCCGAGACTGAAACAGGAACACACAGACACACACAGACACACACAGACACACAAAAACACACAAAAAATGTGAAGAAAGACGGAGAAAATATTCAGGTTTTCTTTGTTTAAGAGGGGGAACACACACACACACACACACACACAGTCAGAAATCCTCAGAGAGTGGTATCAAAGCCTTCACCCCCTTTTATCATCCCGTCACCATGGCAACGCCTCAGGGTGGGATATGTGTGTGTGTGCGTCTGCAGACAAAGAATACAGATCTGAGTGTGTGTGTGTGTGTGTGTTTTCGTATTTTTCTCCTGACTGGACGGATCAATATTCATGACTTTAGGTCAGGTGTGTTTGTGAAGATCTCTCAGGTAAAAGAAATTAAAGCTCCAGTAAGAGATTTTTGTCATTCTGTGGTCTGAAAACAAACAAACAAACAAACAGGTCACTGAAAATAAAGATTCCTCAAACAGACTTGGCGTCTCCTCAGAGAAAATGTCTGATCTCCTCATCCTCACCTCTGCCTCCTCTTCCTCTGTGTGTGTGTGTGTGCAGCTGTCTGGAGCAGAGAAGCCCCCTGCTGGAGAACCGGAGAACAACACGTCCTCGTCTGCTGCGGCAGGAACAGAAGCTCCTGCAGACGGAGGCAGCAAGGTGACTCTTGACTCCGCCCTCATTAATTCATCGCTGGAGTCAGTTATCAATAACGTTTATATTGATAATTACACTTCACTGATTATAACTGATCACATTAAAGGGATATTGATCCCTGAGACTCTTATTAACTACCAAACGGATCTTGGAGCACGTGTGGAGTCGTGTTTGTTTTAGTTTTAGTCTTTGTGTCAAACTGTCAGATTAGTTTTTATTAATTTTAGTTTAAACTCCTTTTTGTTTAGTCTGGTTTTAGTCAATGATTTTAATTCTGTTGAAGTTATCTCATTCTGTTTAACCCAGTTCATATAGTATAACTACCTGTACAGTATAAAATAGATAAAACCAAATTTTTCTTTTAGTCAAACTCATTTCACACAGTGTCCAGATATCATTTCTGATTTTTCTTACTCGTCTCTGCCCACCACATCTAAAAATACGGGGAGTTAAGGGATTGAGGAAGTGACGTCGTCTGTGTCTGAGCAGAGCGACGTTCAGTCGAGGAAACAGAAAAAAAAACAACGTAACTAAACAATTTCGTCTAGTTTTAGTCAACGAAAATAAAGAGACAGAGTTTTTATTTAATGAACCACATTTAGTCGTTTTTATCCATCAACAATATTACATTATATATGAAGTTATAGTTACCCTCACAAGACCACCATTTACTTTAGGTCTGATCTTGTTTTCATCACGTTGAAAAGGTTCGTAAATAATAATAATAATAATAATAATAATGACGATATTTCGTCATTATTTTCGTTGACGAAAACAAGACTAATGTGGAGGACCAACGATCGTCTGCAAAGAGCAGAATCATCGTTTTCATCTCTACAAATATGTCTGTCTAGTCTCATTTAGATGGACTCTGTATTTGTCTGATAATGATCATGTTGGTTTGAATGAAACAGGACTCTGAGTCCGTGTCGCAGACGTTAAAACCTCGCTCTCCTGCCCCCCTCAGGTGGAGATGGTCTTCTGGCTGCTCTCCATGCTCGCTAACAAAGACAAGGAGGAGATGTCCCGCACCCTCCTGGCTCTGTCCAGCTCCCAGGACAGCTGCATCGCCATGAGGAAGTCCGGCTGCGTACCTCTGCTGGTCCAGATCCTCCACGAGGCTCCAGGTGGCGCCAGCGGGCCCGGAGAGACAGCGGCCAATGGTGCAACGACAGGCTGTAGCAGAGAGGCCAAATCCAGAGCCAGCGCCGCCCTCCACAACATCATCTACTCCCAGCAGGACGAGGGGCAGGCCCGCCGGGAGATGAGGGTCCTGCACATGCTTGAGCAGATCCGGACCTACTGTGACAGCGGCTGGGACTGGATCGAGAGCCACGCAGGGACTCCTTCACCAGGAGGAACCAAGACCACAGGTGAGAGAAGCTCTGATGAAGATCTCCTCACACAGAGGAACCTAAACCTGAAACCCTGATCATGAGGAGCCCCCCTTCAGTTTGCTGATCCTCTACTGTGTTGGTTCTTCTCTGCAGACATCCCTGAACCCGTGGACCCTCAGATCTGTCAGGCCGTGTGCGCCATCATGAAGCTGTCCTTCGAAGAGGAGTACCGCCGCGCCATGAACGAGCTAGGTCTGTGAACGCCTGAAGATGTTTCTGGTCTCCATCGTCAGTCTCACTCCTGCTTAACTGTCGCTGATTTCTTCCAGGTGGTCTGCAGGTGGTGGCGGATCTGATCCACCTGGAGCAGGAGATGTACTGCATGCAAAATGACCCCATCAACATGGCGCTACGCCGCTATGCAGGAATGGCGACGACGAACCTGACCTTTGGAGACGTTGTAAACAAGGTAAAGAGAAACAGGCGTCCGAACGGTTCAGACGTTCAGGATTGAAAACGTTCTTCGATTAGTCGGTTCAGATTTCCTGATTCTCCAGACTAACACGGTCTTTGTTTGTTTCATGTCTTCCTTGTCCTCCATCAGGCCACTCTATGTTCAAAGAAGAGCTGTCTCCAGGCTCTGGTGGCCCAGCTGGCCTCAGACAACGAGGAGCTCCATCAGGTGGTCTCCAGCATCCTGAGGAACCTGTCCTGGAGAGCCGACATTAACAGCAAGAGAGTCCTCCGAGACATCGGCTGTGTGTCTGCGCTGATGACCTGCGCCCTGCAGGCCACCAAGGTAACAACACCCTCTGAAGAAGGAGTAGATACCAGTGGAGAAGAAAGACGAACAGGAATAGATTTCCTTTTTACTGATTCATCATTTTTTGTGCTCTGGTTCTCTCCGACGTTCATCTGTCTCCGTAGTTTCAGCCGAGACTGTTGTCAGTGTTTGTAAGTGAACTCGTGGATAAAACCTGTTTGTCGGTTTTTCAGGAGTCGACCTTGAAGAGCCTCCTGAGCGCTCTGTGGAACCTGTCAGCTCACAGCATCGACAACAAGGTGGCGATCTGCTCAGTGGATGGCGCCCTGGGCTTCCTGGTCAGCACGCTGACGTACCGATGTCAGACCAACTCACTCGCTATCATCGAGAGTGGCGGAGGAATCCTCCGGAATGTGTCCAGTCTGGTGGCCACACGAGAAGATTACAGGTCAGTGTTTGAGAGTAGACCTTTGACCTTCATATCGAAGTATTTCCGTTTAGTATCATAAGCTCCAGCTGGGTTTGAGAAATTGATTTCTGTGTTTTTTCTTTCATCACAGGCAAATCCTCAGGGACCACAACTGCCTCCACACTCTGCTTCAACACCTGCGCTCCCACAGCCTGACCATCGTGAGCAACGCCTGTGGAACTCTCTGGAACCTTTCTGCCAGAAGTCCTAAGGACCAGGAGCTGCTGTGGGACCTTGGGGCGGTCAGCATGCTGCGTAACCTGATCCATTCCAAGCACAAGATGATCGCCATGGGCAGCGCCGCAGCTTTGAGGAACCTCCTCACCAACCGACCCCTGAAATATAAGGACGCAGCGGTTGTGTCCCCTGGTTCCTGCATGCCTTCACTCTACATGAGGAAACAGAAGGCTCTGGAGGCAGAGCTGGACGCTAAACACCTGGCGGAGACCTTTGACACCCTCGAGAAACAAAGCCCCAAGCACCTGACCTTCAACAAGCCGCTCAGGCACATCGAAAGTCTTGCAAAGGATTATGCGTCTGATTCTGGTTGTTTCGACGATGACGAGGCCCCCAACGTCTCCAGTAGCCTGGACACCGGGAGCTTCTCCATGTTGTCCATGTTCTTGACCAACTCGAACTTCCAGCAAAACCAGCCACGAAAGAGGGACACCGAACCTGAGAGGGACATCAACCCTCCACAGACCGCAGAGAAAAGGCAGGCGCCTCCTGATGATGTGGTGTCTGCAGCTGCCGAGAAGCTGGCTAAAAAGATCACCAACACAGTGGCGAAGATCGACAGGTTAGTGGAGGACATCACCATGCACACGTCCTCAGAGGACAGTTTCAGCCTGAGCTCTGAGGACCACCTGGCAGACTGGCCTTATGGGATGGATGAACTTAACGAAGCCCGGGCGAAGTCGTGCTCCCCCTGCCGTCTCTCTGATACAAGCAGCCTGGCCCACAGAGAGCGCCTCAGTCGGGCTCACGCTCTGCTGCGCCTCAAAACTGCACATACAAGTGTGTCGACAGACAGCCTGAACAGTGGGAGCACGAGCGACGGTTACTGCGGCAGCAAAGACCAGGTGCGACCTGCTCCAAGAGCTCTGATGATGCAACAGCGACCCAACCAACTTGATCTCAAAGTGGCTCATCAGGATTACCTCAATACAGGACCTGGTGTCCCCAATGAGACCAACCATCAAGATATTCCTGAGAGAGACTCGGTGGACAACAAAGATGTGAAAACATTGGAGCTCGGCAGCACGGATGCCGAAAAAAATCAGGATCAACCCGTGCAGACGCCCGTCAGTGCGTCTACCAAACTCTCCTCTGATGTCAGCATGACCTCGATAAAACTCTCACCATCTTATCAACAAGTCCCACTCATTCAGAGCGTGGCCAAGTTCGGGGTAGCCAAGACAGCCATCAATGTTCAAGCTGCCCAGGCAATGAGGAGGCAAGCATGGGTACCGACTGTGATGACAGGAGGAAGTATCACAAAGTTCTCGCCAATGCCATCGACCAGGAGCCCCACCATTGGGACGATGGAGACAGTTCAGAAATACTCTGTGGAAAACACGCCCATTTGCTTCTCTCGCTGCAGCTCGCTGTCCTCCCTGTCCTCTGGGGATGGCGCACTAGACGGACAGAGTGAAAACGAGCTGGAGAGCGACTCCTCGTTGGAAATAATTGAAGTGGAGGATGAAGAGGTGGTAAAAAGAGCCGAAGAGGATGAAACCTTGGAGGATTTGAGTGACAGCCAGCTGCTGATGACTGACTCCAAGACCTTCCCCAGTAAAGACACTGATCCCATTGAGATTCCCTGTCCTGCCAAAAGAGAAAAGGTGTTTCTAAGGGGGGCTTCACCAGCTGTACTTGAAGACAGATCTCCTTCCAGCTCATCTGAGAACTACATCCACGAGACGCCCCTGGTTATGAGTCGCTGTAGCTCAGTCAGCTCGCTGGGCAGCTTTGAGTCCCCCTCTATAGCCAGCTCAATCCAGAGCGATCCATGCAGTGAGATGATCGATGGAACAATAAGCCCCAGTGATCTTCCTGACAGTCCAGGACAAACAATGCCTCCTAGTCGCAGTAAAACTCCATGTTGTGTCGAGTCAAACGGACCAGAGACCCAGACCACGGTGACAGCAGGCCAGTGGGAAAGCAGTCTGCGGAAGTTCATGGAGATCGCAGACTCCAAGGAGAGGTTTAACCTTCCACCTGACCTGGACACCATGATCTACTTCACTGTGGAAAAACCCACAGAGAATTTCTCTTGTGCGTCGAGTCTCAGCGCTTTGCCTCTTCATGAACACTACATACAGAAAGACGTTGAGCTGAAATTGACGCCCCTGCTCCAACAAAGTGACAAAAATCTCGCTTTCCCTGACGACGATGAGCGAGGAGCCGAACACGGTGAGAGATACAGTGAAGGCAACTCAGACGATGACATAGAAATCCTGAAGGAATGCATCAACTCGGCAATGCCCTCCAAGTTCAGAAAAGTCAGACCTTCCCTGATGACCACCATCCCCCCCCATATTCTCAACGCTCAGATCCGTAAACCCATCCATCTCCCAGTTTACAGGATGCTTCCAAATGGCAAAACCCAAATGTGTCCTGGGAGGAGGATTGTTATCCCACAGGACTATAAGTTTGAGGATTCATCCTTCACTGACTCTGCAGAGGGTACACCTGTGAATTTCTCCAGCACCACCTCTCTAAGTGATGAAACACTTCAGTATCCGGTGAAGGAGAGGGGGGCCAAAGACTGCACAGCAAGAGGCATGAACAAACAGGAAGTTCTAGATGACGAGGCAAAGAGGATTGAGGACCTGAGGATCTTCTCACACTTTCACAAACCCAACAGAATGAACTACCCACCAGAGATACAAGTGAACCGAACCACCAAACACGTTGTTCCCACTCAGAGGGTGCTGATGCAGAGCAAAGAGGTAGCCGATAGAGTCGCCAGCCAAAGAAATCGAGATCAGTCCCCTAATCAGCGAAGGAAGATGCAAGGCCAAGGTCCCATCAGGAAGCTGGAACTGCCCGTCATAAAACAAAACACAGAAGGGAACCTGAACGTGGGCTCACAGAGAGGAAACGCAATCTATCGACAAATGACTCGGTCTTCGGAGGAAAGCATCAGCTTCTACGATGAAAATGAGAAAGATGAGGTGGTGAAACGGACGAGCAGGAAACAGATCAGAGAGGCCAGCAGGAATAATCTCTCTAGGAGCATGACGAATATCGGCAGGATCGATAATTCCCAGGGAAAGTCTCGAGGGTTTCAGAGGATAAAACAGAATCTGATAAAGGACGAGTCCCTGGCATGTTATTCTCTCAGCTCTTCTCTCAGTTCACTCAGCGATGCAGAGTTTGACGATCATAAATCTAAAGCCCAGCAGATATGGTACAAGAACCGGCACAACAAGTCACTTAACATGATGCAACAAACCAAGTCCATGAACATCCACAGCCAGTATGAAGTGCCGAGCTCCCCGAGTTCTGTCAGCATGGATTCAGAAGATGACCTCCTTCAGAAATGCATTACATCAGCCATGCCCAAGCAGAGACGGAAGCTCGCCGCACGAAAGAGGAAAGCGGAAAACAAGCAGAAGCAGAAGGCTTCTGAAGGGTGGAACATGGATGAGGAAATGGACAGTGACGACACGGCCTGGGACAAAGATTCCGATCTCAACAGTGTTGAATGGAGAGCCATACAGGAAGGAGCTAACTGTGTCGTCACCGGGCTGCAAGCATCCAAGTCTCAAGAGCCGTCCTCTGAGGAGACTGAATCAGTCCTGTCATTCATGTCAACGTCCAGCTTCACACCCAAAGAAAGGAAGTTTGCAAAAGACAAAAAGCCGAACAAACCTCTAGACTTCACTCAACGCAAGCCGGTTCAGAACCTACCTGTGGTTTTCAGGGGCAGGACAGTGATCTATACACCCAAAAAGGAGACGGCGCCATCACAAAGACCTCCTCCCAGAAAAGTACCAACCAAGACAGATGCTCCAAAGAACCCGAACCTTGCCCAGCACAGATCGAAGAGCCTCCACCGGTTAGGCCATCCCCAGGATACTGAGCTGTCTTTGCCAAAGAGGAGCTCTACACCGCCTCCAAGGATACCAAAAAGTTCCTCCTCCGGATCATCGCAAAGCTCTACACCATCCAAACAGTCCCAGAAGAAGATAACATCTCCTACTCAGACCAGCAAATCAACCCTGAAGAAGAATGCGTCACCTGCTACCAGTCCACCGGCGACCAGTCCTCCTGAAAGAAAGGGGCGCTCTCCTGTGGTGAATCAAAATGAAAAATCACCTCCTCCCAAAACCCAGAAGTCTCCTGTCCGAATTCCTTTCATGCAGAACTCGGTCAGGCCCAGACCTTTGTCTCCCCTGGTAACAAACCAGGCGACCAACAGGCAGACCAATCAGGTGAACGGGAGGAGGGTGCCGCCCAGCAACCGTTTTGAAATGGTCAGGATGACGTCTGTCCATTCAAGCAGCGGTGAGTCTGATCGCAACGGTTTCCTGAGACAGCTGACTTTCATCAAGGACTCAAAAACTGGGGTGAGGCGAGACGGCTCGCCACGAAACATGTCGGGGTCACAGAATGGATCCCCTCGCAGAACAGTTCCCGGGGCTTCGGCTGTCTTCCTGTGCTCATCACGCTGTCAGGAACTCAAAGTAGCTGTGCAGACCCAGAGAAAGGTGCAAGTAAAAAGTCCAGGACAAGCACAGCAAGTCCAGAGGCCGGATAATGGACCTCAGAAGCAGACTACAGCTCTCTCAAGAGCGACCTCAAGTGATAGGGACCTGTCTGCGAGACGTCCAGGCAGGAGAACCAGCTCAGAGAGCCCCTGCAGGGTGGCTCAGCGAAATGGGCCCGGCAGAGTGTCTGGACCGAGGCAGAGACAGGACACAGATACCTTTAAACGTCACGCCTCATCACCGAGCATCAACATACTGAGCAGAGTGACCAGCCGTTCTTCCCTGCGCTCTTCATCATCGGATTCCAGTGGGCGAGCAAAGAGCGAGGATGAAACCAAGAAGAAGGGGCAGAGATCTGCATCTCGGCTTAACGACAGAGTCACCTGGAGGAGGATCAGGGATGAAGATGTACCTCAGATCTTGAAAAGCACTCTGCCCGCCAATGCATTACCTCTGGTGCCTTCTCCTGACGGGGAAAAGCCAAAGCTACCAGCTCTTCCAGGAAAACTGCCGACTATACTCCTCGCGTCTCGTAAAACAAGCGACGCGACAGTCCAGACAGACGATTTCTCAAACAACAAGACCAACTCCAGCACGTCTCCTGCAGTTGAAGCGGCCCCTCTCCTCTCAGAGGAAGCTGCACGACAAGCGCTGCTGAGGAAGATCAGTGTGACCTCTGGGGGAAACCCTCAGGATGGAGATTCAGAAGGCTCCCTGAAGAGCCACAGCACCGTCTCAACGGGAACAACTGAGAGCCACGTGGGTGGAGCCGTCCATTTCCGCCAAGGATCTCCAAGCAAGGCCGCCCGGATCACTCCGTTCAACTACACCCCGAGCCCCATGGCCAGCTGCCCCCCAGACACCCAGAGCCCAGCAGGCACAATCAACGAGAAGTCTGGAGAAAAGAGCGAGTCCTAGGACTGTAGTGGACTCCACAGACGACCCTACTGTGTTCCTGTATGAACTCAGCGCTCAGGTGGACAGACTCGGAGGGTGCTGGTCCCTATACCTCGGGTTTTGACCCTTTACTTTCCCCTTTGACTGCATTTCTGTTTTTTTTCTTCTTCTCACTGAACAATTGATAAAAGCTTCCATCTCCCATTCACACAGGGTTGGATGTATGCATTGAAGCAGGTCTGCTCAGAGCGGACCTCCGATGACTTTTAGAGGTGCACTTCAGAGGAGCAGAAGAGCATCTTTTTGTACTTTTTTTGTATTTGTAGAAGTAATCATTGCCTGGTTACATAAAAAAACAACTAACTTGATTTCAGCACATAATTCATCGTCGGTCTCCCGAACAGAATCGATTCAAGAACAATATTATGCAAATCTCTGAAGGACGACTGAGCTGGACTTTGACCTGACAAGGTGCAAACTGTGGCAGACTGTTGATAGACTCACCGAGGACTCAGACACACCGACAGAAACGGACTTTTCTCACATACAGTATGTCAAACGCTACAAATGAATATGCTACACTCTGAACCCTGCCTGTTATAAAAGAGGTCCAGTATGGTTAGGGGTGAAATCTTGATCCAAACAATCTCCTCAAATTAACGACAGCAGCACCTAAATCACATTTGTCTCCGTTCTTCCTGCTAACCAGTTAAAACCCGAAAGCCAACCGCGTCAGGAGCGAAGTCGACTCGTAGATCATCTGTGGTTCGACCGTGAGATTTAGAGGGTTCGGCATTAAAGTCACACTGATGCAGAAACTGCTCTGTAGTCGGACTCGACGATTCTTCACTGAACTAAATGAGGTATTAAAGTCCCGGTTGACGATTGAAGAAGCAGTTCAAAGAAATCGAACCGTTGAGGCAGATTTGAAAAGAGCGTCCCAGCTCTGCGAGCGAGCGCCGTCTGCAGCTGCCTGGACAGCTACCGTGTTGACATGTCAGAGACTAATCAGAGTTATTTATGTAACATGAGATAAAAGGAGATAAAAATGACCTGTTCAACTAAAACTCTGCTGTCTCAGCGTCTCCAAGGATGACCCGAGATTCCTCGCTTGGTCACATGTCCTCTTAGACTCCGCCCCTTCCTCTGTCTGCGTTTTCTTCCCACTTTTGCTCCGAGGAGGGCCGGGAGAGTGGGAGGGGACGAGTCTGAACGATGGGAGAGGGGTGTGTCGAATACAGCGAGGTGATTGGATGGAGAGGCGGAGCTGGAGATTGACCAATAGGAGCTGTCTGGGACGGATGGCTCCCATTGGTCAATGTTTTTGCAGCCCTGCACCTGATAGGGTGAACGGATTTTTTCCGTTCTTTTTTCTCTTCACTTTGTGGAGATCGCACTATAGGACCATGATCGCCATGGAAACGAGGTTCATAATAATTACCGATCTCTACAATCGTCAACCATGACTTTAATGTCGGCACAGAAATATAAAATAAGTTCGTTTTTGCCAAATCAGGATTGATTCATCAACATTTCATCTGGACACCGGCTGGACTCTCAGAACCGTCTCGTAAATATTGAAGCAGCTTCTGTCCTTTTCCCGTCCGTCAGCAGATTCCGGTCAAACCCACAACCTCCTGTAGTCCTAGTCCTGATCAGTATTGTAAATAACATGCCGATATACAAAATCTCCAAAGCTTCCTGGTGACTCTGTGACACCCTGACAGCATGCTCGTATATTCACTGACCGCACACACCTACACACACACACACACCTGGACAGCAGTGACGTTGTTATACAGCGGTAAATGCTTTCTACAGTCTGAGGAGAGCAACACTAGCCATCTGTTCAAAGTGCTGCAAAGACCTGTAACGCTCGGAGCCGTCAGCGTAGATGAACAAACCTGTGACATCGTATTCCTGTTGCTACTAGATTCAGACGCTGTTCGCTGTTGGTCACAAATGACGGTTGGATTCTGGGTCTAAGGGGGCGTGTCCTCTCTGAAAGTCCTTATAACGTGTTAATATCTGCTTTACTGTGTTGCTGTAAAAGTAGTGATAGGTGGAGAAGAAGTCAAATATAAAGATGATGAATATTCTCTGTAGTGTACCATCGCTCCTCCATGTGTGCTCGAGGATAACCGACAGAAAAGGCAGGAAACGGACAGATCTACAAAAAAATAAGGTTCTGTATTTCTACCACCACCCTCATGTATGTCCAAAGCATGTCTGAGTATCAATAACGCCCAAGTAGCTTCTGAATGCAGACCTTCGACGTCCATCCTCCCATAATGAGACTCCAGAAAAGACTGTTTCTACTGAGTGATAAACTCTCATCATCGCGCACGGACAGAGCGAGAGTCAGAGACGGTGGAAATCAGGAGTGATGACGAGCAACGCTGCAGGAAGAAGTGAGGAGGGATGAAATCTGTGCGCCAGTTTCAGCAAAGTTAGAGGGAGGTTATTTAAGGCGGTCATGTTTGTTATTTTCTGTGGAGGACGTCAGTCTGCAGCAGACAGTGGAGAGACTCGGTTCTTCGTTATTGTTTCAGACTGAGTTTAATTCCTAAAGTCTGTTCGACACGGTCGTCATTCCTCACTGTGTCCCTGTTCTGGAGCGTTGGTTGGGTGTTTGATACTCAAAGAGAGGTTTTCTCTGAAACTGAAAACCTCAGAGGTAACGTCAGGATGCAAAGGTGTGAGTGAGACGCACGGAGAGTTTGGCTCCATGTTTAAAAGCCATCAGAAGGTTCTGGAAGTCTGAACACCGAAACTGTCTGCAGCTGATCACGTCAGTCTGTCTGATCTGAGACTTTAGTCCAAATTAATTCAGATTAATGAGGTTTCAATCATGTATATTAGACTCTGCAGTTAACACTCGCTGCTTTAAATTCACAAGTTTAAGATGAAATCAGTCTCAATAATCGGACAAAGTCAGAATCAGAAATCTGATGAGGAAATTTGATCACACATCACAGGATTGGAGACGAGTGTTTTGGACAAGTCTCAGCCGGTCAGGCGTGATTCAGACCACAGAGGTGTGTGGTGTCATGTGACATAGGCAGAGCAAGAGAGGCGTGTCATTATCAATGTGTCATCCAATAAAAAGTGACGTGTTTCATTAAACTGCTGCGTACTCTTCTGTTCATCTACAGAAAACATCGTCTGCACACCCTCCAACTGTTGAAGAGTCGAGGGTTCGAGAGCAGATCTTCAGACTCTTTTCATGATTTTAAATCCAGAGTTGATGTTTTCTTAAAGATCTGCTGCAGAAGACGGATCAGAACAAAAACTGAGGGTTTAGAGCTGGAGAGACGGTCATACCTTTCTGCTTCATGTTCACCGTAACTTCTTCAATAAGTGACGTTGGTTTAGAATCAGGATCAGGTGGATCTGATCAGTTTTTTACTAATTTTATACAGAATATACAAAGGAAACGTTACAAACTTCCCTTTTCCCTGAAAACCCCGTCTGCTGCTGGATATTCCTGTTTCTGTGCTTCAATAACAAAATCTGGAGCGACAACAAAAATAATAAAATAAATAAATAAACAAAAAATACAAGTGCTTGAATTTGGGTTTTGTAGATTTTGAAATACAGAAGATGTTGAGGAATGAAAAGTAAAGAGAGAATCAGTTAAATAAACTTCTGTGCGTTAAGAGAAATACAAATATAGACAAGTCAATGTAAAGAATTCAGACTGAATGATTATAAAACATCACAGAAATATATTTAAAGAGAAAACTAGAAGAGGAGAGAGCTGACCCGATCAGTTTTTCTTTTAAATATGGGACAACAGTTGGATAGAGTCTAAAAATCCTGACGGCATGAAGTAAATTTCCAAATCTGGATTATTCTGACCCAGATTAGACTTTGAACTCTGGCTGACGGTCCAGAAACACAAAGAGCTACTGTGTCAGTCCAAACTCATCAGCACTTTAAAGGAGTCAAAAGTAAATTTGAGGCTTCAGAATCAGAACCAGAACCTGAATGCCCTTTGCTGTCATTATCCTGGAGATCATGGAGATCTTCTTTTGAAGCTTCAACATAAAGACATTTATTTCTTCCTTTTTATTCATTTTTCATTTGCTGCCTTCACAAACATTCATCTGTTTGACAGGAGCTGTAATTAGGTCAAGGACAGTTCAGTCAGTTTAATATTTGGGGATGAATCATCAGCGTCCATCTGATCCAGCAGAGGGCGACAAAGAGCTGCTGAGAGTCTTTACACAGAAATGAGCTAAAATAAAGGTCTTAATAAACACGTCACGTTCCTAACCCAGTCCTCAGTGAACCGAACTAAAGTTAAACCAACAATGATCGATCAGATTTGGGTTCAGGAGGAGATCATTCATGTTTACTGGATTATTATAGATTATCAACACGATGCCGAGGGGCGGCTTCTGACGCTTTTTATTAACGGAGTGACCTCATTGCGTCCACTGCCGACGTAATGACGTGGCATGTAAGCGCCGTGCAGTGTTGTTATCCAGTAGCTTTAGCTGTTTGAGGCAGTAAACTCCAGTAATTAATCAGTATCTTTATCATTTAACGTCCTTCAGTCCGGTATAAACTAAAGGAGAAAGTCCGGGTACCTGTCGAGACTCTGCTTTTGTTTGAACGAGACCACTAAACCTGGTAAGTGATGGTGAACGGACAAACTCACACAACATGACGAATCCCCTTTAACATTTTCAAAGTACAACTTAAAACTGTTTGTGCACGTGGTTAATATTTTATTTTTCTTAAACGGAGATATTTTCCCGAATCCGAAGGACCTTAAAATCAATTCGGCTCGGAAATATTTCACAATGCTACAACAGAATATAATGTTACACCGATTTATCTGGTTATCTTTAGGGATTGGTGAAACCCTCTGCGACGGGGCCGACGATGACTTCGAGAAACAACTGGCTGCTTAAAAAAAGCCTTTAACTAAAAAAGAGATCAGTTTTAGACATTTTTTTCTATGCCGAATTGTGAGAAACACTCTGAAGATTGTATCTTTGTCTTTATTTGTTGTCTATGAATTACACATCTTCTCTGACCTTCCCGTAATTATTTATTCTCGTGTTTTATTTTTGGAGTCTTGCAAATGTGCCAAACCTTCGTGTGTTCGGCTGGATTAAATAAAATGATTTAATATTAATAAAATTCTTTAAAGTCAAATTTAAAATCTCACTTTTACAGACTTGATTTTATGTGATAATTTCTTTTACCTCTTTTATCTTATTTTACTCTCTTTTTATCTGTTGTTAAACTTGAACTCTTTTCTTAATGAACCTTTTAGGCCTTTTATTATTTTATCTCTCGTTCATTTCTGTCGCTCTATTTTATCATCACTATTATTATCAGTATTACCTGTTATTATTTTATTATCATTATTGATATTGGCTTTTATATTTATGATCCTGTTTCCACTTTCGACCCCCCCTTTAACAGCATTTTCTTGTACAGGTTTCCATGTTCTTTTGTGTCGTTTCCTCTCATCTTGAACCTTTATAACCTCCATAAACAGGTTAGTTTGCAGATGCAGGAGGTGGAGCAGCAGGATGAATATCGGCTCCAAGAATAAGAAGCGGGTGGTTCTGCCCAGCCGTCCTGACCCCCCCTCTGTGGACCAGATCCTGGAGGACATTAACAGAGCCGCTCCCAATGACCCGGTCTTCAGCATCCTGGAGCAGACTGGACAAGGTGAACCCTCACCACCTTTACCGACGTGATGCTCTGACACACAGACTGGGTCATCTGGAGTTTGAGTCTTCGTTGTTTACGGATCAGCTCTTGTCGTTTTTTCTGACTGTCTCTCTCTTCACTCCTCAGACTCGTCTCGGCCGGCCGACAGCGAGGTGGAGTCGCGGTTCCAGCAGTGTCGTCAGTACCTGGACCTGAACGAGCGGCTGCAGGAGGTCAGAGGTCAGCTGCTGAAGCAGAGGGAGGACTTGCGAGCAGCGGGGGAGCAGCTGGACAGAGACGTGGCGGAGGTCCAAGGTCAAACACTCTGACTCCTCCTCCTCCTCTCTGTGGGACTGTTGACTGACACTCTCAGAGCCGAGGACCCGCAGGCTCAGCTGGACCAGGTCCAAAACCACCAAAGTGCCCTTGAGCCCGACGCTGTTCAGAAACAGAAACATGTTGTTGATATGAGCAGTAAGACGTGTGGAGGTTTAATTCACCTGAGAGTGAACAGAAAGGTCAGCGAGAGACTTTGACTGAGCCTCTGTCTGTCCTCCTGATGGACCGGTTCTGGTTCTGTTCCATTTATCGTCACTCCGCAGACATTAAAGAGAGAAAACCGAACCTCGTGTCTGAGGAGTGATGGAGACGGACTTCTGTTCCTGGTAGATAATAAAGTTTGTGAATCATTAATTATTGCAGGACGTGTTTCTAATCAGGTTAAAGATGGAAACATAAATGTATTATTTAATACCTGTAGATTTAGGATATTGATTGATTGATTTAAAATATAAAAAATAAAACAAGAAAAGTAAGTCGAAACATTTAAAAATAAAACATATAAATACATATTTGAAAAGGAGTGAGAAGAAGAATAACTCATGAACTCTAACCTCTTCCGTTTAAATAAGAAGTACCCACACTAAGCTTCCTGACAACTTGTTTAGATGTTCCTGATAATTAAAGATAAAGTAAATTCATGACTTTGTATTACAAAATAAAATCTACATCCTCTTAATACAGAACAAACATAAAAACAACAAAACAGAATAAAACAAGAAAGAAACGAAAACCTCAGAACACTCAGTGCTCCCCATCACCTCCCTCATCCCTGTACCTCCTCTTCTTTATAATCGTGTCTTTATTCCTCTTTTTAAACTCTGTAAACATGTTTGAACTTTAACTTAAACCTCTTCCAAAAACTCTTCCTCTCTGTCTGAATTAAAGTGAATTTTTCCCCTTAAATTATAACGTCCCTCACACAGACTGAATCATTTTTAGCTGTAAACATTATTTCAGCTGTTTGATATTCCTCAGTGTCTTAAATATAACTTAATAATACTTCATATAAATATTTGAATGAACTACAAAAGTGTATTTTTACAGATGTTTGAGGCCGTTTTTTATTACAGCAGAATCACAACATGAGCTGAATTTAAGAGGAAAACTTTTTCAGTTTCTGTCCAATAATGTGTGAAGATGATGAAACTTTGATCCGTCTTCACTTTTTAGTGTTTGTCTGATTTCTATTTTCTGTTTCCACACAAACAGACGTGAGGTCTGATCTAGATTATACTCTTTATTTTATAAACAGTTTCTGTCAGGAAACGTCTGAAGAAAACTTTGACTGGAAACATTATCCAGCCTCCTCAGAGCAGATTTAACCCCCCAAACATTTACTGATCAAATGAGAGTCAGTCTGCAGAGTTTTGGACCAAACTGTGACTTTTTTATTAAATTCTGTGACAGACTGGTGTATAAATATAACATCTGATATAAAAAAGAAATCTCATGATAGAAGAAGAAGAAGAAGGTGTTCTTCTCGCTGGATTCTGTGATGATGATGAGGAAAACCTCCGCTCTCTGATCCTCCTCCTCCTCTTCCTCCTCCTCTTCCTCCTCCGCTGTTATCTGAACAACTTAAAAAAAAACAAAAAAACAGGAAATCACAAACTTACCATCAGAGTGTTTGAACTTTAAACCAGCTGACTGCACATGCTCAGATCAGTTCGCTAAAACAGAGACACACAAACACCATCACCACCACGTCTGAGCAGCACTGTCGTTGTTGTTTGTGTCGTGATATTTCAGAAGCTGATAATCAGGTTTAAAAGATCAGAGAAGATGATCTGATGCTAAAGTGTGTGTGTGTGTGTGTGTGTGTGTGTGTGTGTGTGTGTGTGTGTGTGTGTGTGTGTGTGGCAGCAGATGGAGAGCTAACAGACTTGCTACACGCTAACTCTCCTCACATTGACATGTTCGTGAAAAACCAGCTGACTTACCGAGCCGACTAACCCAGGAAAGGCTGGAACAGGAAACAGGAAGGACAGCCGGGTTAGTGTCGCACTGTGGCGGAAAGTTTAGACATTTTCTACGCTAACATGTCTCCGGTCAGCAATATTTTTTTTTCGTTGGATGGTAGGGGATGGTCCCGCCTCCTTGGCCTCTGATTGGCTGTGAAACATCCTCACGCGCATAAGGCGAGTGTGGTCTGTCGGCTCTTTACATCGAACAGAAGATTACAGAACATGATCACAATTCTCAGTATCTTAATACTGCGTTCGAGTTTCCTCAGAAGTCAGATGCAAAACAAAATCGGAGGAAACAAGATGGCTACATCTACCAAAGTTATTTTATCGCTTGCCTCATATTCGCAGGTGCTTGAATAACTTTGGTAGATTTAGCCATCTTGTTTCCTCCGATTTTTCTTTTTTCCGACTTGGTAACTAAAACGCTGAGAACTCGTGTGTGACGTCATTTTCAGCTCTGATATCTGACTTCTGAGGAAACGCGAACACAGTATTAATTTCCTAACTTGACAGACGATGACGTTTCACAGCCATAAGGTATAATCAATCGGAGCCCAGTACTTCTAGCCAATCAGAGGTAAAGGAGGCGGGGCCTTCACCTACCATCCCGTTTTAACCCTTTCCTCCCTGGAACGTTAGAGCTCCGGTCTCGTACTAACCTCTGACATACAGACTGGAAACAGACAGTCCTGGTCCTCTGCTGTTAAACACTGAAGACCATCACTGACCTGAGTTCAGCTTTCAGTAAAATACTCAAATAAAATTTAAGATTAAAATGAGTCGAATATTTTTATAAACCAAAACTTTCCTCATAAAAAAGAAGTTTTATAACAAATATTTCCTGAAAACTTTGACTTCAGGACATCTTTGTTTTGATCTGTTGACCAATCAGAGGCCGTATCTGTATCAGCTGACCTGTTAGAAGTCCAGAGGTTCTTTTTTCATACGTAGACTGAACAGAGTCTAAAGTCCTGCTGGTTTAGCTGAAGTACTGGGTGGTCTCACTGCTGGACTTACTTGTTTTTCCTCCTCTGGTTCTGATGGAGCGACTTTAGCTGACGAAGAGCTCGGTAAACTCTTGGGTTCAGACTGAGAGGCCGTCGGCGCCGGACTCACCAGAGCTTTATTCTTCACCAGTGTGGACAGGACTGCAGAGAGGACGGGAGCGTTCATGTAGACGTCTAAACACGGTTTGTGGTCTTACTGTGGTCTCTGTACCTTCTCTGGTGAGGTTCTCCGCGGCGTCCATGGCCTTCCCGCCGAGGTCACTCACGATGTTGTCCACCATGGCCTCGTGGCGGAGGAAGATGGGTCGGACCACTCTGTTGTAGATGATCTGGGAGCCGTTCCAGGACATGGGGGCCATGCACCACAGCAGGAAGAGACACTGGACCCACAAGGGACAGAGAACTCTTTAAGAACAAAGACCTGAAGAAGTCCTCAATAATCCTGACCCCCCACGGTCTACAGCGGCCCTGTCATACTCAAACCCGTCCCTGGTCTCTGAGTGTCTCCTCACCTTAAAGGCGTAGTAAAACGGGAACCAGTAGAGGAAAATGTCGGAGAAGAACTCGCCCAAACTGAAGACCCCGTACACCACCCAGTAGGTCAGCCATTTGGTGTCGTCTTCTTTACTGGTGCTCTCGATGGCTTTGATTCTGCAGGATGAAGATCAGCCGGTGAGCTTCAGATGATCTGAACATGAAAACCCGTCACCACCACCCTCAAACCATTACACCCCCACCGAAATATGACCAAGACTTCCACCTGTCCAGGTTCTCCCTCTATCCAGGGTCTGTTTCAGTGGCACAGATTACCTGACATTCCCAGACTGAATATAATCCCAACATTCAACCCCAATCTAAGGGTTTATACAGAGGAGAACCAGTCCTGGACTTAGACTTCCTCAGATCACTCTTCTGTAAGGATTGTGGATTCATTTCCTCGAACTCTAAACCGGTCAAGGCCGGTCAAGACCAGCAAGACCTTCTCTGCGGGTCTAATCATACTCAGAAAAGTACATTCATGGATTTATTTTTTCATAAATATGTAAATATAATTATTCTCTATTGTCGTTTCTCTTTATGTCCTATTATATCCACTTGTTTGAGTTTCTGCCAGTGTTGTATATTATGATGGAAGTTTTTATCCAATCATATTTCAGCTAGCTTGTGTTGTCAGGTGCGTTGAAATCTGCCCAAGGCCTTCAGAATCAACAGAACAGGCTCCTGTAAGCTTTAAGTGAACAACACGGTCAGTTGCAACAGCCAATCAGATCTCGAGTCTGCGACACCAAGGCTAGCTCGAACATAGATATCTATAAGAAAGGATGGGTGACTATGAGGTGGAGTCAGCGGCGTCCCCGTCAAAAATCCTCTTAACTCACTGAAATCAGATTTATAAACGGTTTAGTTTATTACAGACCTTAATAACGTGACTCTGAGTCTGGATGTTTGGACATATTAAAATGACAGATTTACTTAAAGAAAAAAAGACTTAATCATGAAGAACAGCTGTTTCACTTCACTGGACTAACTTTGAGTCACTTTGTTAAGGCTGAGACCACAATCAAGATTTTAATTTCTTGTATGACAGCTTATATTTTATTTATTCAGTCTAAAGGCAGTCTTTGTGGATGGTCTTGTGTTTATCAGCTCTTTAGTTTCAACATACCTGAAGTTGTTCATGAATTTCCAAACTGTTTGGTTTGTTAAAAACATCTAAAATGGAAACATGAGGCAGAAATTTATATAGAAAATAAATATTTATATATGTTATTGTTATATGTTATTATAGTTATCCCTATAATAGAAATATTAATAATATAACATACATGATTAAATGTTTTATATATAAATGATTTAATATAACTGCCTTGTGTGTGTAGGCCTATAGCTGTTTCTCTACCTATCTGTTTAATGTTTATTTATGTAAATCCATGGTTAAAATTATTCTTGAGTAAGCAGGAACATAACTAAAACTCTGAGGTTTGTTACAAACCAAAACGTTTAAAAATCGGTTTAAAATTAATCAATCTATGGTTATCTAAAATTAATCAATCTATGGTTATCTAAAATTAATCAATCTATGGTTATTTAAATGATACATGAACCGTAGACTGGAATGTTGGGAGTGGGAGAGCTGCCCTTAGCAAGATGGCCGCCATGCGCGGACGTCGGTCTCCATTGGCTAACAGCGAAGGTCTTACGCCGAACTAGAATGTGCGTGTCCTCTGATTGGATAGGCACCCACGAGAACCTGAAAGGCGGGACTTTTTAATATGTCGAACTAACCCAGAGATCTGTTAGCTAACGGCTATCTCTGCTACAGAAACACGTCCGAACAGACGCGGTTTTCAGCATTAACCTCCGTTTACTGATGGGACTGAACTGCTCAGATAAACTGGAAAAACAGAGCCGCTGAATTCCTTTTAAGAAAAGAAAGGAGGGTGGATTTTATCGTCAGATTAACAGGCTCTGTGGAGGAGATCAGTGTCGGTGAGTTTAAACTTTATACTTTTAATGGCGATAATGGACGAACTTGTTTGAGCTCACATAGAGGACTTTTGGCGGTCTTTTGTTGACTTAAATCTTAAAATTACCTCTTATTTTGAGTTTTGACAGTATCTATGATGTTAGTTTTCTACTCTTAACCGTGAATCTGTGCTTATTGGCTCTAAATGCTCCGGAAATTAAATGTTGGTCGACTCGCTTATATTAAGGTGATGTAGTGTTTAAGTGTGATTCTGATGGATTCTTGTGCTGTTGTATTGATGATATTATAAGGTGTATTAATTCAGGTAGGACAAAGTGGAACAGCACTGAAGGCCTCGGGTGTGAAATGGTCCAATTCCATATCTCGTTTAAAAATATATTGATGTATTTCTTATATCAGTACATCGCCCAGTCCTAACTGAACTCCACTCCTCCTGTTCTCATGAAGGATCAGATCCACAAGTTTAATTTCAGCAGGTTTAATTATCATCTGCACTTTCCACATAGAAGACCCCACAGCTCCCTGATGCTTCTGACAGCAATGCACTCTGGGACTTGTAGTGTTAACAGACCTGTCTCTGAGCGTGAAGGACGCACATAAGTAGATCTGCGTCCTGATTCAGGAATACTCACGAATAATAGGCCGGATAGACAAATCCAATCAGGTTACAGAGGAGAGAGGCACCATATCCATACACCAGGTAGAGTCCAGTCAGTGAGACGGCACCTGGACGGGAGACAGAGGAGACACCTTCTGTCAAACGAGGGGAGGAGAAGGAGGTGAGAGGACAGAGGAGGAGGAGACAGGAGACACTTCCTGTCCACACTCACAGAGAAAGACACTGTCACACAAACATGCACAGAGAAATCCTGAGGGTCACACACTCCAAAGTTTGTTACAGGATGCTGCAAAAATACAGAGGAGAGCTTCAAATCAACCAAACCGCTCAGAGGAGGAGGAGGAGAGAGGAGAGAGGAAGAGGAGGAGTGGAGAGGAGGAGGTGTATATTAGTTTTCTATTATCAGACAGAAACTCTTAAGTGTTTCAAACTAGAAGACTTGATAATTTCAGCAGATATAAAAAAACATGGACTCTCTAATTTCTCAGAGTCTAATGAAATCCTCGTCTGTCATCTCCTTGTATTTTCCTGATAGCTCAGTTTGTTCTTCCTCAAACAGGTTCATTATTTTCTTCTTTTCAAAAAACCTGAAAATCCTCAAATCAGTCAAACACCACAAACAAACCTTCATAAAGTCAAGAAGCCTCTCCATCAGCGGAGCGACAGACAGCTGCTCCACAGAACCGACTTATCAAACAGACAAAACAACAAAATAATCAATAATGTCAATAAGGGGGAGTTACCAATGATTGATACAGGATTTATAAACTCTGAATCTGCAGGTCAACCCTGATCGCTCTCCTGTGAAACAAGCAGAAACCCCAGAGAGGGTCAGTGAACGCAGCACAGGTATGGCCACAGCAGCACGCCGTGACAGAGACAGGAAGTGTTTTGAAAGCGTCCTACCTCTGATCAGCTTACGTGGCCGTTCACTCATGGAGCCGCTCTGCTCGCTCTGCTCGCTCTGATAATCTGCTTTAAGAGACGTGGCGGGGGACACTGAGCGCCAGGCACCGCCAGGCTGACATCACGTCAGGGTTACTGATCCTCTGTATGAGCAGCAGCAGCAGCAGGAGGAGCATGAATAGACTCACTGATTCAACAGCACAGATTGACTGTCTTTATTCAACTCTGGAGGAGCAGCAGTGACTCTACCAAACCATCAGAAAGACCCCTCTGCTGCACCCCGGAGAAAACCTCATACCTGTCTGATTTAAAGTCCACGTCCCAACACGGTCAAAGAGAAACTCGGCACCAAACCAACTCTTTTGGTGGTCGAGTTTGTGACTTTTCCTCCTCATGTTGCTCTAGACACTCTGTAAACACTCTGTAGATGCCTGAAGACACTCTGTAGACGCTCTGCAAACGCTCTGTAGATGCTCTGAAGACACTCTGTAGACGCTCTGCAAACGCTCTGTAGACGCTATTGTTGCTCTGTAGACACTTGGTAGACACTGGACGCTCTTTAGACACTCTGTAAACACTCTGTAGTTGCTACCGTTGCTCTGTACACTATTGTTGCTCTGTAGCTTTGTAGATGTTCTGTAGCTGCTCTGTTGACACTCTGTAGACGCTTTGTAGACGCCCTTTAGACGCTCTGTAGCTGCTCTGTAGTTGCTACCGTTGCTCTGTACGCTATTGTTGCTCTATAGCTTTGTAGATGCTCTGTAGACGCTCTGTAGCTGCTCTGTAGACCCTCTATAGTTGCTGAAGTTTTCCATGACACTCGTATCCCTTTTTAAATGTTTGTTGTTTCTCCGGAGTAGAGCATCATCTCCTCATTCAGATGTTACATCATGGCGTCTCTGAGGCATCAGTGTCTGTCACCTTCAGCGTTGAACTTTAGGACTTCACAAAAAGCTTCACAGGTACCCCAGACTTTGACTCTGGGATGAGCTGCTGGACTCTGTGCTGACAGGGACAGCAGCTTTAGCTCCACAGCTGGGTGGTCGAGGTGAATCCTCATTTCTCAGAGAAGATCTGAGATGTTGCCTCGTCTAAATCAGCAGGTTCTCCGACAGCAGACATGCCCCTGAAGGAGAGAGGTTAAGGGACGACGGACATAAACTTTCCATCAGTTTGTTCGTGCTGAGGTTTTAAATAACTTAAGTGAGGTCTTCTCAGATTCGACACAGACGGACTCTAAAACTCTCTGATCTTAGATTTTAACCGATGAAAAACTCAAACCTCTTTTATCTAGAAAATTGATCTTTTTTAGGTGCAGATAGAGTTCCTCTTGTTCATCAGTCGTCTCCTCTGACATGATTTGTTAAAGTCTAAATCCACTGAAATGATCTGGCCTCATCAGCCTGCAGGATTTTCACAATAAAAGCCTCCAGTAGAACCGTTCATTGACTCTAAACCCAGATACCTTTAGAAACAGTTTCTCCCTCAAAGCTGCAGACCTCTATCGTTCTTGTTGACAAGATTTGAAGCCCCGCCCCTTCTTGGTTGGGATGAATGGCGAAGTGACCCTCATCCTGACACTGATGCTCTTAGTCTTACCTTTTAATTCATGTGTTCACAGTCTTAAGGTCACCCTCTCTATTGAGTCAGAAAATGGACCAGTCGGCAAAATCAACCCAAAGTGGGACAACGGAGGAAACTGGCGGCTCACATGTGTCTGCAGTCTGTATCACGCAGACTTCCTGCCTCACTGAGCGCTAAACCCGGTTTCTGTAGATTTGACAAGTTCAGTCAGAAGAGCAGAAGAGCTGAACGTTGGACCAGCAGGTCTGCTGACCTGAAAGTTTACTGCTGAGGCTGAAATACAAACATCTCCACCACCAGACCTCCATGTTCAGACCGAGACTCAAAGACTCTAACATCAGCTGATCAGGTGGATCAACACCTGTGTGCAGCGTTCAGTCCAACTGAGTTTCTGAGGAAAAGCATCAAAGATGTTTGAAAATCAAACGCTGACAGAACCAGTTTTAAGGAACAGGTTTAGGTGACCCGGAAAAGTCCAGAACATGTCCAGGTCCGTGTCAGCAGCTGTTAACTGGGCCACTCCTAAAGTTCACAGGAGGATTAACTGAATCCTCTTCAGGTTCCCATTGACATGCACCATGCAGGCACCAACAACACCAACCTCAAATAAACCAACCGTAGAACCATCCAGAACATGTTCCTGAGGAACCAGGAGAGGAGGAGGAGGAGGAGGACAAACCTCACGTACCAAACGCAATGATCTTCTTCTTTATCCCCGTTTTCTCCTCCAGCTTCCCCAGAAAGTCCGTCACCACGTTCTTCTCGTTCAGGAAGTTCTCCGCTTTGGTTTTGATGGACGTGAAGATGTCCAGCACCCCCATGGCCCTCAGTCCGGTCCTCGAATAACAGAAAAGACACGAGGAGATGACCCGCAGTGGAGAGGCAAACAGAGCGGAGTGTAATCCTCTGACAGAAACAATCTGCTTTAATGAGAGCAGGAGGGAGGAGGAGGAGGAGGGGGGAGGAGGCGCAGAAATAAACCACAGAAGAAGAAGAAGAAGACGGGTCAGAACAAAGAAGACGCCAAATTTATCAGAAACGCTGATCAGCAGGAAAAAAAGTTCTTTCAGAGGGTCATCGTAGAACGACCTGGACCCAAAGATTACGGGGATTTTACTGGATGTTTGCAGAGACCTGATCATAGGGTGTTGTTTACAGCATGTTTCCATGGGAACCATCAGGTCAGCTCGGGGAGGGACTCCATGTTTCAGAGCGCCTTTTAGCTGGACTGGGCGCCGAATGAAGACATTTGTCAGATCGGTGTGTAGGTGAAGAATCAGTCCCACTGACCTCTGATGTAGACCGGCTCCTGGTCTGTTTGAGTCTGAATGAAAACATCATCGAAAAACGAGCTGATGGATTCACGTGTTTCTACTGTCAGTGTTCACTAAACCAACATGATCTCATAACCAGTGTGTCGCCCTCTGCTGGACATTAGAGAAAGACTTAAAGGTGTTGTAGTCAGGATCTGAGTTAGTTCCAGTTTTTAGGAGAAATCTTGAATGTAAACTCTACCCCTCCCAACCAGTTTTCCCCTCAGCTCCTCCCCTCCCTCTCTTAAGCCCCGCCCACAAACAGACGCTCCTGCTCGCTCGTATCGTTCCAGTTAAATTCAGATATAATGCAGATAAATACTTCAGATCATTACAAATGGGGCCCAGTCAAGGTGAAAGTCAAAAGCATTGGTGCTACTGTAGATACCAACAGACTACCAGCAAACACAATGTTTGCAGGACTTCTACAACGAGGATAAAGTGACATAGTCCAGGACCCGAGGGAGGACAGTTTAGCGATGGCGCTACAACACGCTACAGCAGGTCCGTTTGACAAGAAACACTTCTGTTACAGACACTTGTCTTACTTTGTTAAAGCGGTTTACCTGTCCAGCAGAAAGGTTACAGGGTCACCAAGATCCCCAAGCGTCCCCCATGGTTTATGTTGACCCGGCTTTTTAGCTCTTGTCTGGTCTACCTCCGTTTTAAGCGCCCGTTATTCCTCCAGAGTCTCCGGTATTTACTTTGTTTTCTTGCTTGTGTCGGCAGTCGTGGCCAAAGGAGGATTCAGACAATTTTCCGAACTTTCTGGTTGGTTTCTACTGTCCGATATTGTAGCACGCTAACTTTGTTTGGGCTCCTGAACGACACGGGGGAGCAGCGTCTGCCTCACAACCAATCAGGTTAGAGGAGGTGGAGAACGGCTTTGTTTACAGTCAGAAAGAGCGGACCGCTCAAAAATGTTCAAATGTTGACGACACAGACATAAGAGAACACAGAGATATCAATATATTACCAAATGTCATCAATAACTAATAACTATTCACTGACATAAAAAGATTTTTTATTTAAAAACCACAAAATAAAAAGATGCTTCTTTAACAGATTCCTGTCTACTTCACCTTTAAGTCGGTTTTCTTCTTGTGGACCAGACTTCTTTCCTTAGACTAGAGATCAGCTGGACTCTCTCATATGAACACTGAGTTCTTGTTGCTGATGTGGATCTGTGTGAGTCTGAGTGTGTTTGTTTTTTGCTGTCATTCTTGGTCAGGACCCCCCCTGAAAAAGAGATTGATGATCTCAACAGGACTAGTCTGGTTGCATCAAATCAAAAAGACACACAACCTGCCTCCTGTCTTTGTCCTCTACAGAAAACCTGATCCAGCTGCAGGACTCACATCTGGGACATGTAAGACCACATGGATCCATGACCCAGACGGAGCGGTAACATGACATCCAGCAGAAACAGACACAATAAAGACAAACAGACGAGGTGATTTCAGTGACTCAGTTTGAGGATTTTTATTGTTTTTTTACCCACAATCTGAGCTGAGTCAGAAATATCCAAACAGTCGGACTAATAAATGTGATTATTATTATTAGAGTGATTGAAAAGCTCATAACAACATGTAGATCTGTCCAAAGTCTGATTCTAGATGTCTTTACAAACACACTGATCCAACAGAAGCAGACAGAAATATCCATCGATCACATGAACACAAATATTCAGCAAACAGAGAAAGAAACAGATCATCTAAAGAGTTTTTGGGGACGACTGGAAAGACTTTAGACGCTTGGATTTGGGACAGGAAATAAGGTCGTCCTTTTTCTGTGATTTTGACCTCACTTTTTTCTAAAGTCTCAGACCTTCAACATCTGCACCAACTGAAGGTGATTTGAACAAACCATCATCTTGATGTTGTTGATATCAAACTGGATGAAGATTTTTCAACATGAGAAATACAAACAATCAAAGTTCTCCACAATCACTGTCCTTAAAGCTGCGACCAAATCAGCATCTTTAGAAAAGAATCAAAAAGCTGAAATGAAGAACTAAACCCAGAGTTTTTGGTGAGACTGATCCACAAACATTTACAAACCAGAACATTTCAAGAGTTCAAGGATCTCAGTCCATGATTTTGGTCTGATGGACTCAAAATTCTCTTTAGTTCACTTCTATAAACTCAGCAGAGTCTCCAGAAGACCAGCCAAACCCCAGTCCAGCATGTAGAGGTTCAGTGAATGTGGTCCGGACTCTGTGGAGGAGAGTCATGGTTTCAGAGACGCTGTAGAAGGACAGAATACCTGCTCTGTGATCCAGGTACACTCCTACTCTGGAGGACCAAGGACCTGAGGCAGGAGTGAAGACTTTGTTGTGCATACATGTATAACCACACAGTGAATGGCCTAACCACCAAGATTTCTCATTTCCTCCAAATAAACAATCCTTTGAGTCTCCGTCTCTCCTGATAGTCTTGTATGCGACTGCTACACCAACCCAGTCCCCTCCCCAGTCCACCTCCCAGTAACAACGTCCAGTCAGACTCTCTCTACTCAGGACCTGAACATAATAATGAGTGAATCTGTCTGGATGATCAGGATAAGACTGTAGTTGTTCTGTCCATGTTGCTCTTCTGTTTCCATCAGATAATAACAGTCGTCTGTTTACTGTGTTTGGATCCAGTGTGATTCTTTGTGAATATCTTAAGAAACCAGCTCTGGTCTTGGGTTCTGCTGGTCCTGGTGGTTCTAACAGTAAAACATCCACTTCAGTCACGGCCTGTGAGACGTTTGTCCACGTCTCTGTCAGAAGATCCTGGAGTTTCTCTCTGACCTCTGACACAGCTGCTGTCACCTCCTCAAAGTATCTCTGAGGACGGATGTTGATTCTGGATGAGTCTGCAGGTTGACCCGGTTCTGACAGTGAGGGGTAGCTGTGCAGAAACTGGTTGTGGTCCTCTGTGAGTGAGAGCTTCTGCAGATCAGCGTCTTTCCTCTTCAGCTCAGTGATCTCCTGCTCCAGCTTCTCCTGAAGGTCTTTGACTCGACTCACTTCACGTTCCTGCTGGGATCTGACCTGCTGCTCCACCTCAGAGCGGCGTTTCTCCATCAGACGGATCAGCTGGCTGAAGATCTCCTGGCTGTGCTCCACAGCTTTATCAGCAGAGCCGTTGATAGCCTCCACCTCCTGTTGGAGCAGCTTCACATCTTCTTCTCTGTCCTGGATTCTCTGCTGGATGTTTTCTCGACTCTCCTCCAGATCTTTCTGCCTCTCAGTCCTTTCTGCTGCAGCTGAGACTGTGTCGTGACCTTTGTGTTGGTCCAAACAGCAGAGAGAACAGATGGACTTCTGATCAGTGCGGCAGAAGATCTTCATCACCTCATCATGACGAGAGCAGATGTTCTCCTGGAGCTTCTTGGAGGGCTCCACCAGCTTGTGTTTCTTAAATGTAGGAGATTCAAAATGAGGCTGGAGGTGAATCTGACAGTAAGAAACCAGACATTGAAGACAGGACTTGACAGCTTTCCGTTTTCTCCCACTGCAGAAATCACAGACCACATCTTCAGGTCCAGCCTCAGAGGAACCATCAGGAGCAGCTTGGAGTCCGCTCTTCTTCACTTCCTCCACTAAACCTGCTAACATGGTGTTTTTCTTCAGGACAGGCCTCGGTATGAAGGTCTCTCTGCACTGAGGACAGCTGTAGATCATCCTCTCAACCTCAGTATCCCAGTAGGATTGAATACAGCTCATGCAGAAGCTGTGTCCACAGGAAACAGTCACCGGATCCTTCAGAAGATCCAAACAGATGGAACAAGAGAAAGACTCACGGTCCAGATGAACTCCTTTCTGCGCCATTTCAACACTCGCTGTCGACGACGACTGACTGAGTTTTATTTCCTGAGAAGTGAAACTAGTCTGAGCTCTGATCTCAACAACATGTGAGTCAGCAGGATCAAGTCAGCACACGGAGGTTACACCCAACCTGAGGTAGATCTGAAGGGGAGGGAGCAAGGAAAGGAAGGGAACAAGGAAGTGAGAGTGCAGAGTGGAGTGAGCTAAGAGAGATGAGGGAGGGAGGGGGGGATCCAGTTTGTCTACAATCCAGGAAGAGGAGCGTCTCTGTGAACTTTAGACTCTCAAACTCCAACAAGCAGAAGTTGTTAAAGCTGCAGCCGTCCTGAAGATCAACTGAACCAACATCAAGCCCCGCCCACAAACAGACGCTCCTGCTCGCTCGTATCGTTCCAGTTAAATTCAGATATAATGCAGATAAATACTTCAGATCATTACAAATGGGGCCCAGTCAAGGTGAAAGTCAAAAGCATTGGTGCTACTGTAGATGCCAACAGACTACCAGCAAACACAATGTTTGCAGGACTTCTACAACGAGGATAAAGTGACATAGTCCAGGACCCGAGGGAGGACAGTTTAGCGATGGCGCTACAACACGCTACAGCAGGTCCGTTTGACAAGAAACACTTCTGTTACAGACACTTGTCTTACTTTGTTAAAGCGGTTTACCTGTCCAGCAGAAAGGTTACAGGGTCACCAAGATCCCCAAGCGTCCCCCATCGTTTATGTTGACCCGGCTTTTTAGCTCTTGTCCGGTCTACCTCCGTTTTAAGCGCCCGTTATTCCTCCAGAGTCTCCGGTATTTACTTTGTTTTCTTGCTTGTGTCGGCAGTCGTGGCCAAAGGAGGATTCAGACAATTTTCCGAACTTTCTGGTTGGTTTCTACTGTCCGATATTGTAGCACGCTAACTTTGTTTGGGCTCCTGAACGACACGGGGGAGCAGCGTCTGCCTCACAACCAATCAGGTTAGAGGAGGTGGAGAACGGCTTTGTTTACAGTCAGAAAGAGAGGACCGCTCAAAAATGTTCAAATGTTGACGACACAGACATAAGAGAACACAGAGATATCGATATATTACCAAATAATCAATAACTAATAACTATTGACTGATATTAGAAGATTTTTTGTATAAAAACCACAAAATAAAAAGATGCTTCTTTAACAGATTCCTGTCTACTCCACCTTTAAACAGAATAAAATATAATTAAATGAAAAATTAAAACAGTCTTTTAAGAAGCTCCACCTTGAGAGGAAGATAAATCCTCCACTTGTGTCTCCAGTCATTGTAGTGCTGATCTCTGCAGCCTCTAGGGGGCGCTCACAGGTGATCAGAATGAGTGTTCCTGGTTAAAGCGGTGGATGAGTCGTGGTTTGACAGATTCCCTCGGCGCGTTGACAGGACGACATGCAGAGCAGGAATGCACGCTGCAGGCCGACACACGTCCCGGTCCGTCAGGTCTGCAGGTATAAAACCTCAGACAGACTTCAGGTTCAGTCTGACTGAAACAAGAACCTGCTGAGAGGAGATGAGAGGATACCGAGCCATCAAGTACACTTTATTCATCTCCTGCTACTTCTTCTGGGTGAGTCAGAACCGTCGGAGTCCAAATCTTTCACTTATTTGGATCTCTTTCAGCACATTCCTGAACTTGTTGCTGCACAGCTGTGAGATTTTCCCTCTTCAGAGATGAAATCAGTCAGACTGGAGAGAAGAGGTGTGAGAAAACTGTTAAAGTTCTTCATGTTCTCAGAGGAAACTCTAGGTTTATGGAGGACAGGCTGAGTAAACACGTGTCCTGACAGTCATCACACAGATCTGCTGTCTGTCAGGGAGCATGTGGACACCGCTCTGTAGATCCTGGTTTAATCTGGATCAGTGGAAGTTCAAATACCAGACTTCAACAGACATCGTGTCTGATCATCACAGCTGGGAAGACCACAATGAAGAGAAGCTTTTAAAAGGGATATTCTGGTGTAAAATTAATTTAGGGTCAAACCCACCGTAACACTGAGTTAGACCCCCCCCCCTCCAGAGATGAATGTTGTCGACCGCTTTCTTCTCTAGTTATACCAACTTTAGTAACGACCACAGGATAGAAATACAGAGAGCCACGCCCCCAACCAAAACGCCACTCTATAGCCACAAATAATGCTCAGAACAGCACCTAACTTCATCAACAGGACATATAGGGTCACAGACATAGTACTAGACACCAAACATCTTTGTAACTTTGACTCATTTCTTTAGCAAAGAGACTAAACACAACTCACCTACTCTCTTCCAGCAGACGCTTGTTTGTAGAGAGACCTCAGGCCAGTCCATTACAGACTACAGCGGGGTGCCGCAGCTCAAGGAAGAACATTTATGATCATTTCTTCATCATTTCCTTGAAGTAATAATCATCATATTAATCATTTTACAGACGCGGTAGTTCTTCTGCTTTAGCGTCTTAGGTTCGTGTGTTGACATCTATGTTCAAAAAACCAACCCAACGGTTCACTCTAGTTCGGCCGTATCTAAGCGAGAATCTGTGAAATGACTCGGAGTTGAACTTCTTTTGCTTCTTTCTCCAACCTGGATAATGACAAACATCCACCATTGTGTCCTCATTTGTCTTAGATGTTTGGTTGTGACTGATTTCTCTTCACCTTCCTTCTGATAAACAATCACGTTTGACTTCACGTAAAATCTCACGTTCCTTTACGTGAGTTTCCTCTGCAAATACGTAGTTATAAATGCAAGAACTCTGATTGTATTTCCATGAAGAAATGATCAACCAAACTGGGACTGTAACCTCAGCTCAGCGCTCATGAGCAAACAGCTGAGCTGAACCAGAACCTCAGACTGAAAGAAGTCCTCATTTCTCAAGAGTCAGACCTGGAATTTCATCTTCTCACCTGTACCTGCAGAAACACGCTGCTGACACCCACACAGATCTGCTGTGGTGAGGAACTCTGTTTGGTTTAGATGGATCAGGAAGATAACGGCTTCAGGTCTGCACAGAGAAGGTCCAGGTTCACCTCTGAGACTGGGGAGGAAGGGGGACTGTTGGCTGACGAGATTCACCTCACAGGTTCCCACAGACCGTCTACAGAGAAACTGAGACCCCCCACAGACTGACTGTTAACAGAGAAACTGAGACCCCCACAGACTGTTAACAGAGAAACTGAGACCCCCCACAGACTGACTGTTAACAGAGAAACTGAGACCCCCCACAGACTGACTGTTTACAGAGAAACTGAGACCCCCCACAGACTGACTGTTAACAGAGAAACTGAGACCCTCCACAGACTGACTGTTTACAAAGAAACTGAGACCCCCCACTGACGGACTGTTAACAGAGAAACTGAGACCCCCCACAGACTGACTGTTAACAGAGAAACTGAGACCCCCCCACAGACTGACTGTTTACAGAGAAACTGAGACCCCCCACAGACTGACTGTTTACAGAAAAACCGAGACCCCCCACAGACTGACTCTTAACAGAGAAACTGAGACCCCCCCCACTGACCGACTGTTAACAGAAAACAGGGTCTCAGATAGAAACCCTGTAGTCCTAACTTCTGGACTTTGGGGGTCCTGACCCAAACCTGGTTCTGATGATAGCCGAGCTGTGGTTCCTGATGACTTTTCCTTTTTTGACTCTGTAGGTGGTGAGCGCCCTCCTGATCGCCGTGGGAACCTACGCCAAGATCGCCAAAGAAAAAAGTGAGTTCATTAAGAACACCCCCACCCCCCCGATCTACATGACTGAACTGTGAGGGTGTGGTGTTCAGCTTCATAAGTGTGTGTGTGTGTGTGTGTGTGTGTGTGTCTATACAAACAATACTCTGATGATAACATTCCTGATAATCAGACAAGTTTAAACTTTGACTGGGTGTGCTTACTCCGTGTGTGTGCGTGCGTGCGTGCGTGCGTGCGTGCGTGCGTGCGTGCGTGTGTGTGTGTGTGTGTGCGCTCAGATGTGGTCGACACCCTGGCGGTTGATCCCGCTCTCCTGTTGATCGTGGTCGGCTCAGTGATGTTCCTCATCACCTTCCTCGGGTGTTTCGGAGCTCTGCGTAACATCATCTGCCTGCTGAAGACGGTACGATCGATCTCTACTCTGACTCTAGATGGACCAAAACTCACAAAACAAACATGATCCTGAGTTACAGAGGAACTTAATCCAGTAATGGAGCTCGTAAACTCGTTAGGAAAATGTTAAAAATGAAGTAAGACTTTGTTCTCAGAGACTAGATTGGATTAACAGTCTAAGGAGTCGCCCCCTGCTGGACAGTAGAGGATGAAGGTTCAACCCCCAATTTCCACCACATCCTGAACGTCTATAAAAAGGTCATATCCGCCAATCGAAAGTAAAGACACGGGTCAAAACCGTCTTGGAAAAGACAACTGGACTTACTTGAGACGTTTCACCTAAGACGAAACGTCTCAAGTAAGTCCAGATGTCCTTTCAACGAAGAACTGGAAATCATAGATGCTGCATCCTCAGTTTTAAACAACATCTCAAGGTTTACCCCGATCTCCACCTTCATCCTGATCGTCTCCTAAAAGGTCGTATCCTCCGATCGTAGCTGATCGTAACCATTCAAGTTAACGTGTCAATTTACACCGACTTCTTTCAAAACGGGCGGAGACGAACAAGTGAAAGGTTTTTAGACGTCATTTCACCCCGATGACACCATGGATGAGGAGATGCTGATTCTAGAAGTCTAGAAGTAGATTTCCTCCTCTCGATTGAACGTGAATGCGGGTTCACAAACGGATCCGGTAGGAATTGGCGTACGGCGAAAATCGCGGCTGTTCCGGATGTGGTGAAAATTGGGGGTCAGGCCTCCCCCTCTTAATCTAATAGATGAAGCAGTCCCTTAAACATGTCTAGTTATTAACTCCTGCAGCCTGTAGAGGGCGCTCAAACCCCTGAGGACAGTCAGGAAGTGAAGTCGCTGTGATCTTTGGTTTCGCTCCCGCTGATTTTCTCTGTTTTCTCTGGATGAAGTAACCGACTGAGTTTGTTCCTGCAGTTCCTGGTGATCCTGACAGCGATTCTCCTCCTGCAGATCGCTGCTGGAGTCGTAGGATACCTCTTCACCGACATGGTAACTACGACACACGACCAACATCTGACCCTGATCTTTAATCATTAGAGTCTGAGTGTTGGAGAAGACCAACGTTCAGACAGGAGTTCATGTTCTCCTCAGACCACCAACCACTGGAGCTGGAGGTCTTTGTGGAGGACTGAGCTCTCCTGCCTTTGCTCTCCATACAGACTGTTTTCCTGCTGGTTCCTGATTGGTTGACAACACTTGGAATAACTGAAACCATTATGTCTTTATGTGCAGGTGATGGAGAGGACCGAGAAGCTGATGATGAGAGCTGTGGTCCGCTACAGAGAGGACCCAGACCTGGAGAACGCCATCGACTTTGTCCAGAAGAAGGTGAAGAAGAAGAAGAAGAAGAACAGGATGATGACTGACAGAGTGGGTTTGATCCTTCTTACCGATGAGCTCTGTGTTACAGTTTCAGTGCTGCGGGGTGGAGAGTTATAAAGACTGGTCCCAAAATGTCTACTTTGAGTGTTCGGACACCAACCCCAGTCTGGAGGCCTGTGGGGTCCCGTTCTCCTGCTGCGTGGGTCTGCAGAACCAGGTCTGTGAAAGCATGTGTGTGTGGTTCCTGACAGGTGTGTGAGATTAAATCAACAACTTTAGATGATGGAGGAGGAGTTTCTCTGATGTTCATCGACTCTCCTCTTCAGAGTCTAAAGGCTCACCGGCGCTCTCTGGTGGTCGTAGAGTTTATCACAGCCTGCAGGACTCCATCTGATGGCAGAGGTCGATCTCAGGGACTGATCAAGTTTACATTTACAGAGTTCGGTATTTCCAGAACCAAAAACTGAACAACAGATAAAGACCCTTTAAAATTCATGTTTTATTTTGTTGACAGACTAGAGTCAGAAGAGGAGGAGGAGGAGGAGGGGACTTTGTTTATCTCTTTTTATCGCTCTGTAAATGAGAAAATACTCTCAACACCCTGAAAAACTCAAATATCTCCATGTGTGTTTTTTTCCCATAACCTTAAAACGATCATTACTCTTCTGTAGATCAGGAATACTGGCGCCTCATACATGTTTGGACCCTGTGATCCTACGATCAGATGTTCTTTTATACAGACGCAGGTTTTTTATCTACCTCACTGACATGTTCGGACATGCTGGCCGCAGTCTTCCTCAGAGCGTCACATGACGGTCAGAGTAAAGAAAAGACACAACAAGAAAACAGAAGACCACTGCGAGTGAGAGAACCGAGTCATCCGCACCGAAGAGAATAAACTTCAGCGCTGGATCAGGGATGAGGGGGCGTATATGCTGTCCCACACCTGGAGTGGGCTGCTGAAGGCGAGACCGACCTGTCAAACTGACGGGAAGGTCACGCCTTCAGAAACATCAGCTGTTGATTGTGTTTTTCAGCCTGTTGTTTTTAGGACGGACAGAGAGAGGAGATAAACTCACCTGTGATCCTCCCTGCAGACGGTGCTGAACACCATGTGTGGGTACGGGGTCCATCTGCTGGAGGAGAGCTCGGCTGCTGAGGAGGTGTTCACCATCGGCTGTTCGGACAAAATCGTCTGGTGGGCGAAGAATAACCTGCTGCTGGTGGCCGGTCTGACCGCTGGTCTGCTGCTGCTGGAGGTAAACCAGGTCACAGCTGCTCCACTCCAGGATGTAAAATAACCTCAGAGCGATTTCTCACCTGTGGGTTTCCCTCCTACAGGTGGTGATGATCGGTTTGGCTGCAGCTCAGATCTCCAGGATTAAAAAAGTCCAGCTAGAGAGGAAAGAATACGAATACAGGAGCAGGTCCGAGAGGAAGGAGAGCAACTGGTATCCTGCTTTTGCAGATTTTGACAATTAGTGAAGTCTGCGTCTGTACAGAGAAACGTGGAGCTGAGGGTGAGGAGACATCAGGGTAAGATCAGGGAAAAGCAGCTGAGACAGAGAGAGACACGCTCTGCTCACACTGTGAATCATTATCTTCAGGTTTTAGTCAAACGATGAATGTCTCATCACAGTCTGTGGACAGGTTCGCTGTTGTCCGTCAAACTACCTCATGAAATCGTCTGAAAACGTGTAAGTGAAAGTTTTCCCATCATGAGCACTGACCATGTTGAACGTTTACACCGTGGTGAACCGTCTGTTCTTCTTTATTCTGTCAGAACTTTATTTTTATTATTAAAACTCCTTTTCATGTTTATTCCATGGTTGGAGAATCCTCCATGTTGTGTCTCAGTGAATTTACGTCACATACAGTTAAACGTGTACAGTTACTCTGTCCAGAATAAAACATGGTTGTTGTTTTTTTTTAATGGTCCATTTCACTTTATTTCTTCAGAATTTCTCAAACTGTCTTGAAAATGTCCTGATCAATAACCTAATGTTCTTATTTTAACAGTGATCTCTGATGAAGAGTTCACAGATACTGTAAACACCTTTCAGGACGTCATCCACTATAATGTGACTTTGATGGTTTTTATGAACCAGTCCTGCAGCTTATTAAATAAATGTTCACCATAGAAATCATCTGATATGTTTTTAATATTTTGTCATATTACCATTTCTATGTCCTTACAGCAGAGCAGGTAACCACAGAGGCCGTCAGCTAACTGACTCATGTTCTTCTGGCGACCCCCAGTGGCTGAAGAGTGAATTACAAACCTCACGTCCAACTGTACTTCCTCTACGACTTGGAGAAACACTCAGATACAAGGGAGAGGTCAGGGTTCAAAGTTTAACTAAGAGTATAAGAATAAACGTACAAAAGTTGGAAACTGTGATAAACGTAAATAAAACAGAATACAATGATTTTTAAATCCTTTTTAACCTTTATTCAATTAAATTCACTACAAAGATATTTAATCTTCAAACTCATAAACTTTTATATTTTTTTGTAAATATTAATGAACTCAGAATTTCATGGCAGCAACCCGCTCCACAGTATTTGGACAGGGTCATGTTTACCTCTGTGTTCCATCACCTTTTAACAAACTCAGTAAACGTTTGTGAACTGAGGAGACGAACTGTTGGAGCTGAAGGTGGAATTCTTTCCCGTTCTTGATGTTAAGCTTCAGTTCTTCAACAGTCCGGGGTCTCCGTTGTTGTATTTTACTCTTTATAATGCTCCACACATTTTCAGTGGGAGACAGGTCTGGACTGCAGGCAGGTCAGTCCAGTACCCGCACTCTTTGACTACGAAGCCACGCTGTTGGAACACGTGCAGAATGTGGCGTGGCGTTGTCTCGCTGAAATAAGCAGGAAGGGCGTCCATGAAAAAGACGTTGCTTGGATGGCAGCAGATGTTGCTCCAAAACTCTGCATCGATAACAGTCCGGATGGTTCTTTTCCTCTTTGGCCCGGAGGACACGACGTGTGGACTCGTCAGACCACAGAACACTTTTACACTTTACATCAGTCCATCTCAGATGAGCTCGGGCCCAGAGAAGCCGGCGGCGCCGTTTCTGGATGTTGTCGATAAATGTCTTTAGAGTTTTAACTTACAGATGTAGAGACGAACTGTATTTACTGACAGTGGTTTTCTGAAGTGTTCCTGAAACCATGTGCTGATATCCTTTAAACACACTGATGTCGGTTTTTGATACAGCGCCGCCTGAAGGATCAAAGGTCACGGGCGTTCAACGTTGGTTTCCGGCCGTGCCGCTTATGTTCAGTGATTTCTCCAGATTCTCTGAACCTTCTGATGATATTTTGGACCATAGATGTTGAAATCCATAAATTCCGCACAATTGTACTTTGAGAAACGTTGTTCTTCTACTGTTCGACTATTTGCTCACGCAGTTGTTGACAAAGTGGTGAACCTCGCCCCATCCTTGCTCGTGAATGACTGAGAATTTTTGGTGAAGCTGCTTTTATACCCAATCATGACGCCCACCTGTTCTCTATTAACCTGCTCACCTGTGGGATGGTCCAAACAGGTGTTTCTCAGTATTTTTTACCACCTGTCCAAACTTCTTTGTCACGTGTTGCTGCCATGAAATTCTAAAGTTAATGATTATTTACAAAAACAATAAAGTTTATGAGTTTGAAGATTAAATATCTTTGTTGTTTATTCAATTGAATTTAGGTTGAAAAGGATTTGAAAATCATTGTATTCTGTTTTTATTTACGTTGATCACAGTTTCCAAACTTCAATAGAATTATGTTTTGTAGAAGAGAGAGTTCGTCTGTCTTCATCTTCAGCATGTTTTCATGTTTTATTGAGCTCTTTTAAAGCAGCACAATCGAGTTTTGTTGCGTATACCAAGTGCAATGATAAATTAACCTTCTTTCCTACTTTATTAGATCCTGAATGTCCTTGAGAAGAGAAACTCCCAGCATGCAAAGCCTGGAGACCCCCTCAGTAAACCTGGTTAATCCCTGTTGTTCCTTCCTCACTCATTTAGACCTCATTGTGACTTTAATCTGTGGTGGAGGATTAGCAGCTCAGGCACCTGTGGCTGCGTGTCGTCTCAGGGATTCGGTCCCGTGCAGCCTCACGCTCGCTTTATTGGATTAATAACTGCAGGTTCTGACAGTAAGGTAAAAATAGCAGAGTGCAGCCGTGACAGATTCTTTCTGAGTACGACAAACGTTTCCTCCTGGCTCCGACTTTAACATTTAAGATTTAAGTTTTTTACATAAAGTAACATAACTCTCCAAAAGAAAGAATCAGGTCATATAATCAGTGTTTATTTCAAATATAAGTAAACATCAAAAACAGCCGAGTTATTTAACGTAAAAAAAGACAAGTATGATACATGAAGTAGTTCAACAAAAAGTTAGCTTTGGTAACAGGTGTGCGTTGGCAGGTTATTGTTGAGGTTTGTGGGTTCAGATAAAGGTTCAGAAAGTCAAATTAAGGCAGGTCTACACTTACACACTGTTCTAAAACAACGGGCACTTCACCAAACAAGTGAGGACTGTAGGAGAGAAGTTACTGAGTAGATGACGTACAAATGATGCAACCCCAATTTCAAACAAGCCTGAACACTGAGTCAAAGGTGAGTAAGAGCAGAAGTAGATTAAAACGATTTATAACCCGGACTTCATTGAAAATGTGCAAAGAAACAAACTCATAAATTATTCTTTAATGAAAAATATACGCTTGTTTTAAATCTGAGGGCCAAAAAATGGGTATGTTCCTCATCCTGTGTCCTTTCCCCCTTACCCTCTGTAGACCTTAGTGAACCCAGCAGACCAGGTTCTGGAGTCTGACAGTCCAATGTTGTCTCATTCTGGCCTGATAGAGGATTTTAGCTGCTCAACAGTTCAGGGTCTCCTTGGTCCTGTTTTGGGTTCCTGATGCTCCAAATGTTTTCAATGGAAGGACAAGTCAGGACTTTATCAGTCCAGGACTCTTCTCCTACTGAGCCATGCTGTTGTCAGAATCTGGTTTGGGATCATATGAAGATCTTCCCTGAAAAAGTCCTGGTCTGGATGGACGCAGATGTTCCTCCTAAACCTGGAGATATTTTTTGAAACTGAGGATGCAGCATCATGATTTCAAGTCCTTTCCAGAAGAGTTTTAGATTTTGATCCATCAGACCTCTGGACAGTTCATGGACAAGTGATATTAAGCCCACGTGGTGACTCCAACTATAGAGTCCTGATGCTCCTAAACCTGGAGATCTAGTTCAGCATTAATGGAGCCTTCACCCAGAACATGGACTCCACTCCAGGGTCCTGTCTGTTTTTAATGCCCTGAAGATCAGGACCATTCAGTCCTGGTTTTGGTCCTTGTCCCTGTTGAAACTGTTGAACTGTTAGCTCACACAGTCTCTCACGTCGTCCTGAACCTCTTCCATCTTTCCTTCTGAGAGACTCCGCCTCTCTGAACTTTTTTTAAAGAGCATACATTACCCACAAAACCATACAACTTTTCTGTTCCAACATCTAATATGTTGTCTTTGCACTATTTTCAATTAAACACGGGCTTTAAGTTCCTCATTACGTCAAAGACAGGGATCCATCTTTGAAGGTGGGCAGGTTTCTTATGTTTGAGGGATTTGGGTTAAAAATGGTCGAAACTGAGGGTGAAACTATTTCAGTTGATAAACTGAAAAGAGAGTTGGAAAATGTTCCTAACTGCAGAGATGATCTAATTAGGACTCCCATTCAACTGAGGACAGACATGAAGAGCTGAAACAACCGACATCTGCTCACGTTGGCTGCGTTAGATACCCGGTGAAATGCCCCAAATCCCTACAGCACTTTGTAACGTTCAAGTCAAAGAACAACAGAAAAGGAAAAAGAAAATAAAGCACATGGGCTTCACATGAAGCCAAGAAGAAGATCGCATGCCTGCATGCATTAGATAAAAACAATGAAGAAGGTCTGTCAAGTCTGCGAGATGAAGAGCACTTGGAATTATCTGTCTTCGTATCAGGAGGATTATCCTTTAACTCTTTAACTAGTCTGAGCAGGGTCGGCATGAGCTCCAGCCAACAAAACACAGCTCAGTCCAGGGTTTGTCAAACACCTAAGAGTAAAATCTGCTGTGAACAGAGACAGAGACGATGGGGGGTCCAAACAAACAGCATCTGAAAGAGGCTGGTCCTCGTGGAAGATCCAGAAAACATCCTCCAAAACATGTGATCCGATTAGTCAGGAATCTTAGTTCATTGGCTGACACATGGAAGCATGTTTTTATATTCCAACCAGTGAGATACAACGTGGTCTCCTAAGCTGTCCCGAGGAAAGCAATCCGGATTTGGTGGATTTGGTCAGCCTTGAAAGTCTGAATGAGGAAGACATGAAGGTGAAAATCGGTGTCAGTTCCTCAGGTCCTGATCCACCTTCACCCTGATACACAGGAGCCGAAATATCCGATCAGGGTACGGTCATTCAAATTTAGAGCCAACTTCTTTGGCGATGACATATCATCCCCCTGTCATTTTAGTCGTAGTGGTCCAACCATTATCCTAGCTGGCTCAGTCGAGTAGCTCCTGGATAATCCCAGCAAATACTCTGGTCTGATGAGATCAACCATCCATCCAAGAGGTCCAGATCCACACAGAGTCTCTGCTCAAACAAATACACATGGAAAACCTCTTCAGTGAGGAATATTCCAAACAAGGAAGTGATGGTTCTCAGTCCAGTCCAGGACTGCTGGCCTGGACTTCAGCTTATCCGGTTGATGAATGCCCTCAGTGATAGCTGTAGCCCCCAGTTCTCCATGTAGTTGAACAAAACTGAACTTTGGCCAACTAGACGCTGGATTTATGAACATTTTCAAAGTCACAAAACACATGATGTTCAGTCAAGTCACTCAAAACTCCCTCTTGTGGAAGGAATAGTTGGCAATAACAGAGGTTTCTCGATCTTCCAGGTGCAACAATCTGACCAAAGGATGTACCTGCTCCAGGAAGGCGTTGTGTACCCATATTCCTCACTTGCAGATCTTTGTCTTGTTTGCTGTTCAACGGCAATCAGCAACATTGCTTGTTTTCTCTGGTTGTTATGTGGCAACAATCTTCACTCTTGGAAACCAGGCTAGCCAGCTCACCAGCTTTGATGGCGAGTTTGTCGTGCTGCTTGGATACATCGTTCCCTCTGGTCAAACTCCTGAGTCTCCGGTTTGAAGCTGAAAGCCGCTGCTGCACAGTTTCCTCCTCTTACAGGACATGGTCATGCTTTGTGACCACAAAGTCCATCTCTTCTGAACACCCAGGTTCAGGTGGCACAGTGAGCTCTGACCAGGAGGTCACAGGCTCAGATATGTCTTCAGACAAGCTGACGGGTCTGGTCCAATCACACCTGACAGATGTTGTAGTAGACTGTATGTGCATGCCGTTCCTCATACATGCTGTTATTGTGTGTGTGGAGCTCCGTCATTGGCACGTCCACGCTGTGGGAGTTGTTGTGGGCATGGGGGTTCTGGGTACCGTAGGATGGGACATGCTGCAAAAAACAACAACAAACAGAAACATACCTCAGTCTCAGGTGTCTCAAACGAAGTTAAAACTGAACCGTGAAAGAAGTTTTAAATCTAACTCTGATAAATAAACAGATGTTTCTGTCTCGGTTATTAAAGGACTCGTCTGCCTAGAAACAAGAATCAGGGAGAGAGAGTGGATCAACACAGGATCAACATGGGTCAGAGTTAATCTGTTCTGGCTGTTGGTCCAACTTGAAGGACTGCCATAATCTAATCCAACCTGACAGGTGTGAATGAAGTAACAACTTCTGCTTAGGTTTAGGTTGATGTTTCCTAACAGAAGTGATCAGAGTCAGATTTATGACACATACAAGGAATTAGACTCTGGTAAACTTTGCTCTTTTATGTACAAACTTTAAATCCCTCTACCTCAGTGTCACAAGTGCGCCGGCTCACTTCCCACGTCATTGGCTCCCAAAAATTTCATATGGCCTGATCTACTGAGCAGCGCTAAATTGTGTGTGCCGACGAAAAAATTGCACCTGCCATCATATGATTTTTAAGACTTGATTGGCTGATAATTCAAAGCGGTTTCTGTGATTGGCTGCTGTCATTCAAGCCGCTAAACTGCTAGAAGTTAGCTAACCTTTTCTTGACAAGATACAGATATTTGTGTTGTGCTGGCTAACTTTAAAGATGAACGAGGGGGATTTTAAACTGGAACACAGGTTTGAAACCTGGACCCCACCAGCCACAGAATATCACTATTACTCAAGCTGCCGATGAGATAAACCACAGTTTTAACGTGGAGTGGTTCTCGAAGAAAGAGTTCAACAGTCCACAGAAAAAATACTCTCTCTTCTGTTTCCTCTGTGTTTAGTTTGGAGAAGGTACTTGGTCCAGACCAGAACAGGATTTAAGGATTTAAGCCATCCTTCAGAGAGGATAACAAAACACGAGGGCAGTGGGAGTCATCCTGATAATACTGTTGAACTGGGTTTACTGGGACGAGTGAGTGTCTCTCTCCCCTTGAGAGGAGACCCCTTGACCTCTAAAAGAGGGAAAAGCAGTAGCCAGAGTTCGATGGGTGGGTGCATGGCGTATTTTGATTTTACCTTTCCTGATTCACTGAGGGGAAAATCTTTGCGACAAAGATGGGCGATGATTCCCGCCGCCAGAGCATCGCCAAGGACGTTGATCATGGTCCTGAACCGGTCCCTGCAGAGACAGAAGCGATAAAGAGAAACTCAGACTCTGGATATAAGACTCTGTACAGCTTTGAGACACTTTGTCAACACTCGACACACCAGGTTGTTTGTTGTATATTGTTTGTACTGGAACTGTTGAGTATTTTAAATTTTTGGGCTTCAGTGCAAACGGCCAAACAAACAGTGAGCAGCTGGTTTCTGTTCTTCTCAGCCAGGACAGAGTCAACCCCAACTTCCACCTTCATCCTGACCGTCTCCTAAAAGGTCGTATCCTCCGATCGTAGCTGATCGTAACCATTCAAGTTAACGTGTCAATTTACACCGACTTCTTTCCGTTCCTCTGCGGATCGCCGGACTCCTCAGCTGATCACAAGAGTTCTAGTTTTTCTGGACGCCGGAGCATGGCGGATAAATTCAGCACAGATTAACCCGTGCTGGAAAGGAAGTCGGGCACAGACACAAAATAAAACATCCGTCTTCTTTTCAAAATAAAACACTCCGTGTTTCAGGAGGATCGTATTTCACACCATGCAAACGGGCGGAGACGAACAAGTGAAAGGTTTTTAGACGTCATTTCACCCCGATGACACCATGGATGAGGAGATGCTGATTCTAGAAGTCTAGAAGTAGATTTCCTCCTCTGGAAGGACACGATCTACTGCTTATATGTCTATGTGTCTGTCTTTATAGAGACGACTCGTCATCGTGCGATTGAACGTGAATCTGCAGGTTCTTGTGAATTCTTGCGATTACCGCTGTCTGTAATCCGCCGTAAGAATTGGCGGATGGTGAAAATCGCCGTTGTTCCAGATTGGAGTCGTTCCGGATGCTGTGAAAATTGGGGGTGAGAAACTGTCTTTACTTCTAATACTGAAGTTCCTTCTGCAGAGAGCAGACTTACAGGATCCAGTCGATGGCAACAATGAGTGTGATGTCGTCCGGAGGAAGCCCTACTGATGTTAACACAATCACCATGGTAACCAGACCAGCCTGTGGGATCCCTGCTGCACCGATGCTAGCAGCTGTAGCTGTGATGCTGCAGGACAGACAAGCAAACAAACACAGGAGGAAGTCAAACAGAGCAGTTCTCAGTCTGAAAGGTTCATGGTGTCTGAGCGACCAATGAAAACAGCCCAGACTGAGCGAAACACGAGATCATCAGACAGCAGGAACACAGTCTCTGATCAAGGTTAGATATGTCTCAGAGGAAGTTTGGATTACCTGATGGTGACCAACTGGCCAAAGTCAAGCTCATAGTCATTAACCTGAGCAATAAAGATGGCTGCCACCGCTTCGTACAGCGCCGTGCCATCCATGTTGATGGTGGCGCCAACAGGCAAGACAAATCGGGCGATCTGTCGGTCAACGTTGCAGTTTTCCAGCAGACACTTCATGGTGATGGGAAGCGTGGCAGAGCTGAGAAGAGAGCATTGAAACCTCGTTAAAAACCTGCACCCACAGACAGATCAGCAGGTTGAACCAGGACTGCTGTGGAGTCTGACCTGGAGGAGGTGGCCAGGGCGATCACCATGGCCTGCAGCAACCCGCGAATGTAAGAGAAGGGGTTCTTCTTGGTGAGGATGAAGTAGAAAAGAGGGAGGAGGATGAGCCCGTGGACAAAGAGGCCAGAGAGCACAGTGATGCCGTACCAGCCCAACTTCTTCCCCAGCGTGCTCGGGTCCTGCATGTCCAGGATCTTCCCGGCCACCAGGAAGATGATCCCGAACGGAAAGTACCTGAAACGGAGAACAGGACGGTGAACTGATGAGGTACTGTTCTTCAACAGAAAATACAAAGTTACAGAGTTTGGTGTCCAAAGCTATGCAAAGTTTTAAACCAAGAACATCATAACCCTAGAAAATAGATTTGACTATTCAAAACGAGATCTCTCCGAGCCTTTATGTGATTCGCTAACGACTGATGTCACTGATTCTTGTGAGTTCTCGTGATTCCTGCTGGTAGTAATTCGCCATGAAATTCACCTCACAAACGGATCTGGATGGGAGACATTCCGTATGCAGTGAAAATTGGGGGTAACACTTCTCTGCTCCAGTACCGGACTGGTTTTGTTGGACTCTGAGTATTTTCAGATCTGTAGTTTTGGTAGAAACATGTTTAACACTCTGTATCCTGTCAGCGTTCAGGTCTCTCTGGACCCATCTGTTGTGTTTAATCTGCTCAGGTGCTGCACCACGATGTCACTGTGAGCACGTTTGCACCACCTGATCAGCTGACAGGTCATCAGGTCAGATTCACAAAATCCTCCTGTGAGCCAGAGGAAGGCTAACTCCACAGATCAGCAACAGTGAGAACATTACAGCACAGATACAGACCGATGAACCGGGACCACAGGGACCACCTGCAGGGCCACCAGGCAGGGGTTTAATGAGCAGGATGTTGTTCAGGTGTCAAACTGAAGCCTCAATAAAAAGAAACAATAATCCAGAAATCCACAGATCCACAGACAGACCAGATCAGCTCCTGGAGTCTCAGTCCCTGATGTTGGTTAACAGCCTCTGAGCACCAGATCCAGTCAAATAGACCTCACCAGAGCTCTCTTAAACCAGTCCAGGTCTCTGGTCTCTGGTCTGCATGTAAGGACTCTCAGATCAGACCCAGTGAAGATGACTGATAGATCAGACCACGATATCGCCCCTCATTCATAGACTCCTCAGTGATGGGGAACATGTCAGACCTCCTGGAGACACTAATCCATGTCTCATACTGCAGCCTGCACCATGAACATCTCCTCTACAGTCCAGATCCATGTGCTCAGATCTGCTCCTAATGGTCCATCTATCTATCATGGGTCAATTCACCTTGACATGTGACCTGCTGACCTCTGAGTTAACAGACAGACGGACACTAACAAAGGTTCAGAGTCAGTGATCGACCCAACAGGTATGACTTTGGACTGAAAGTATGTGACGGACATCCATGAAGGAAAACAGAAAAACACCACAAAGACAGAACTCTGTCTGAGCGGGGATTCGAACCAACAATCTTCAACAGACAGAGAGAGTGCGCTCACTGCAGACGAACATGAAGAAGAGAGAGGAGCAAAGATCTACAGCAGCTCTGAACAGAAGTCAACCAACAGATGGAACAAGAGAGAGAGTGTGTACTGTGTGTGTCTTTTGTGTACTGTGTGTTTGTGCTCTCAGAGTTGTGGATTTCCCTCACCACACAGCAGCGTTGATGATCTTCATCACGCACTCGTTGATGCACTGACAGACGTTGACCAGAGGAGCTCCTCGCTCTCCCATCCTGCCCAACAACAAGCCTGAAAGAAAACAAAATAACATCATTTTATTTTCACTGCAAACAAAGTTGATAAAAACTTTTCAAAATAAGATAAAGAAATAAAAACTTCATGACGTCATGTCAGTGAGGGTCCGGTGTCCTACTCAGAGGAAACTCTGTGGCCCCAGATCCTTGTCCCTCCTGCCACCCTTTCAAAATAAAAGACCTGCTTTTAACCAGCGTGCTCACCCATGGTGGCGGAGAAGATGACGATGCCAAGCACGTTCATCTGCTGGCTGGTCCCCGGACTCGTCTTGTACACGATCTCCGGTGGAGGGGTCAGCTCCAGGTACACCGTCCGGCCTTTGGGGTCGCTGTCATCGGGGATGACGTAGACGAAGTTTGGCTGGATGGTTCTGGCCGGGACTTTGAGGATGGGGATGAGGTCCGTTTTGTACTGAAGGAACATGGTCAGGTTTAGTTTGAGAGGTTCAGTCAAACTTTGTCTCTTTTCTCATGAAGTGGTTTTGGTGTTACCTGCTGAAATGTGGCCTCGATCAGGTTTGAGGGAACCATGTTCCTGTGGACAAACAAAGACTCACGTTCTTATGTTGTAACAGATATGTCACATGATCGATTCAGCTGTGAAACTTTTCAATCACAAACACATTAACCAAAACTTTCTGGATCCACTTCCAGGACACAAAGACTTGGATAACGTTTAGTCTCCAAACTCAAACTGGAACAATTCACTGGGATTGAACTGAGCAAAGATGATTAATCCAGATTAGACAGATGATGAAGATCAGTTGTTTACAGCCTGGTATGTTTGAGAACAGGTGAGAAGGGTAATGAGAGCAGCAGTGATTTCAGCACCTGACCACAACAGCCAGTGAAAGAGGGGGAGGATGCCAAAGGATCAGAGTCTGCTTTAGACAAACAGAGCGGAGAGCACGTGATCATGAATGATCAGCAGAAGCTCAAGCAGGAACACTGTCCTTCCTCCTTCATGGAGCATCTCTTCATCACCTCATCCACCCTCTGCTTTTCTTCTCACATGGTTCTGATTGTTTACTCTACAGCAGGGGTGGGCAACCATGTGCCATGGAGAGCCGAGAAGCTGCAGGTTCTGTCCAACCAGGTGATTTCACTGATTAGTCCCTGCTCTCTGCTTGGAGGTCATCAGTGAAATCACCTGCTGGAGTTTTGGGTTGGACAGAACCTGCAGCTCCTCTGCCCTCCATGGTACATGGTTGCCCACCCCTGCTCTCCAGTATTCACCAAGCAGGCTTTGCTGTGACCTCTTCATCAACCAATCATCCTGCTGCTGCTGCTCGACCCCGGGAACCTCCACACCCTATCACCTGTGTCCGACCCCCATCACATCCTGGATCCTTCCTTCTCCACCATATGAACCAGCAGTGAGTCGGCTCTGTCAGGTTGGTGCACACCATGAACAGCTGATCAGACCTGCTCCTCTGCAGCTGTGATCAGGTGTCCCTCAGGCTCTGTGCTCTTCTTCAACACTCTCTTTGCACCACCTGGACAGGTCACCTGTGACAGTCACACACACCTACTGGAAATCACCATCTAACCATCAGCACGGCCCTGGACTGGGAGGACGCTGGAGAATCCAGTAAGAACAGATGCAAGGGGACACATAAGGTCCTGTAGACCCAGATTACAGAGGGACCCTCCTCTCTGTCCTGACCTGACGTGACCTTTGTGATTTCAAAAACACAGTACCCATGTATTTGAATGATGCTGCTGTGTTCTGTACCTGAGGTGTGAGGCAGCAGGAGAGTAAACACACCTGAAGGGGAAGGCCATTCAGATCAGCTGACCTTCATGGGGTCGAAGGTCAACAGGATGATGCCGTGGTGGAGTGGCTCGTGAGCACGCTCTGCCAACGTGCCGCAGCAGAGATCACTGCTCCTCTCCGACGCTGACTTGGTTAATCTGTCACTCATCCCCACGGGATTACTAAAAATACACTGATCAGCCCAACTCTAATTGGATTCATGTGTGTGGGTGTGTTTGTGTGGGTGTGTTTCCTGACAGGATTCGGACAGTCGAAGGAGGAAATGATGAAACTGTCCTGCAGAGAGTCTCAGATTTGTCTGAAACGTTCTTCAATCAGGAAAACTCTTCCTGGATGATTCACAGCTTGTGGTTTACAGGGACCAAAACCAAAACCAAGACTGGATGGTCCTGAACCTCAGGGCATTAAAAACAGACAGGACTCTGGAGTGGAAATCACCGCATGGTCGTTATCACTCATTATCACTGGAATTTGCGGGTCCATGAAATTTGTTTCACAAACGTATTCGGTAGGAATTGGCGGACTGCAAAAATTGCCGCCGTTCCGGATGCGGTGAAAATTGGGTGTTATACAGGTTAGAATACGAGCAGACCTTCAGACCCGGTTCACCCCTCAGAGCTCATTCGACTGGACGATATCCACTGTGATGATGTTTCCAAACTCACTTTGGACGGTACCGGCATAAACAGCAGCTGTCTGCTCAACAGTCCCGCCCTCTAGTACCTGCCCCCCTCCCATCTGACCTCTGACCCCCCTCACCTGATGAGGTCCAGCAGGGCATCAGCTGAGGTCATGACCGGCCCCCCTCCCAGCCGGTTGCTGTCCATCTCCGTCCCCACGCCCGGTTTGATGATGATGACGAGGACGATGCCGACCACCACGGCGATGAAGGTGGTCCACAGGTAGTAAGTGACGGTCAGGACGCCCATCCGACAGCACGCCTTGGACTCCATCGATGACAGACCGGACATTAAACTGCACACAGACACACGGGGAAGCTGTCAATCATGTTTACATACAGGGGTCCAGGTGCAGAGCTAACAGTGCAGAGCATCAAACTCAGTAAAACTGAACCTGACGCTCATTATCATGAATCTCCAACAGTCAGACCTGAGGACCGACCGAGTTTATCTGTGAGGTCTTTGTGTCTCTTTCACGTTTTGTCGTGAGGCGTTGCTCTAGAGAAAGCTCAAGTAAGTCCAGTTGTGCTTTCAACGAAGAACTGGAAATCATAGATGCTGCATCCTCAGTGTTAAACAAGATCTCCAGGTTTAGGAGCAACATCTGCTTCCATCCAGACAAAGACTTTTTCAGAGAAGACCTTCAGATGATCCCAAACCACATTCTGACAACAGCATGGGATCATATGAACGTCTTCCCTGAAAAAGTCCTGGTCTGGATGGAAGCAGATGTTGCTCCTAAACCTGGAGATATTAGAGCATCATGACCCCAAAAACAGGACCAAGGAGACCCTGAACTGTGGAGCAGCTGAAATCCTCTATCAGGGACAAGATTTGACGCTCAGACTTTCTGATTGTCTCCTGTGACGTCTCTCTGGCTGTGCGCATGGACCTACCTGGACGTGATGAGAGGAAGGATGAGCATCTTCAGCATCCTCATCAGCAGCTCTCCAGGAAAAGAGAAGTAGATTTTCGCCTGTGGAGGATAAAAAGTTTATCCAGTTTAGTCTGGGCATTAATTTTACAATAGGATATAATCCAAAACTTTCCTTTCAAAGTTCTGTATGGAGCCCATACTAAAATGGACAAAGGCTTATGGGTAATGTAGTGTTTGAGAGATTCTAAGAGCGATATGAGCGGAGAGATCCCTCAGGATTGAGGGGGAAAGGTCAGGAAGACCAGAAGACAAATCTAGATGATGACAGTGTTTTTACAGAGATCTGTCCAACACAAAAACTCAACCAGCCTCACAATCGTGTCAACAACCGTGGAGCAAACCAAAGACTGGAAACGGAAAATAATTCAAAAGAGACAGTAAAACATACGGATCATGAAACACAGTGTAGTAATCAGAGAGTCAGTGTCTTTGTCAAAGTCAGAGTCTGTTTCTAAAGACTGACAGAGCCTCAGTAAATATCAACAAACAGACAGGACACTGACAGTGAAACCAGCTGAACATCTCTGAGCCGCCTGGTTCTGCCTCCACATTCAGACCCTGATGGATCAAGTCTTCTCAGAGCAGCCAGACCCCATTCTTCCTGGAAAGACGGTTCAGAGCGGAGCGGTGGTATATTTAGCTCCCTTTAGCTCAAACACGCTGAGTAATAACACTGATTTTAGTCCACTGTGTGCTCGCCTCTGAAGGAGATTTAAGATGATTTATGGAGACCGTTTTACGGCTGATACCTTCCTCAGGTCTCTCCAACAAGAGACTTCAATCTCTGCAGGACTTCCTGGTCCAATTAAGTTAAGTAAGGTTAATGATAATGAACCTATTTATAGTCATTTCAGTGACTCACTAAAGGGTTAAAGGTTCAAATCCCCCCAGCAGGACCTTCAACTCTTCTGAGTATTCAGACCAGAGATTACAGATACAGAGAAACGTCTGTTTGTTTTAAACACGTTTATGTTTTTCAAATGTTGATTTAAAGGTGGAGTCGGCAGGAATCTGTTAAAGAAACATCTTTATTTTGTGGTTTATTTACAGAAAATCTTTAGTTATTGATTATTTGGTAATATATCGATATCTCTGTGTTCTCTTCTGTCTGTGTCGTCAACATTTGAACATTTCTGAGCGGTCCGCTCTTTCTGACTGTAAACAAAGCCGTTCTCCACCTCCTCTAACCTGATTGGTTGTGAGGCAGACGCTGCTCCCCCGTGTCGTTCAGGAGCCCAAACAAAGTTAGTGTGCTACAATATCGGACAGTAGAAACCAACCAGAAAGTTCGGAAAATTGTCTGAATCTTCCTTTGGCCACGAAAACGTCAACCATAATCAGTCAACAAGAAAACAGTCAGCAAGAAAACAGTCAACAAGAAAACGTCAACCATAATCAGTCAACAAGAAAACAGTCAACAAGAAAACAGTCAACCATAAACAGTCAACACCAAAACAGTCAACAAGAAAACAGTCAGCAAAAAACAGTCAACAAGAAAACAGTCAGCAAGAAAACGTCAACTATAATCAGTCAACAAGAAAACAGTCAACCATAAACAGTCAACACCAAAACAGTCAACAAAAAACAGTCAACAAGAAAACAGTCAGCAAGAAAACAGTCAACACCAAAACAGTCAACAAGAAAACAGTCAGCAAAAAAACAGTCAACAAGAAAACAGTCAACCATAAACAGTCAACAAGAAAACAGTCAACCATAAACAGTCAACACCAAAACAGTCAACAAAAAACAGTCAACAAGAAAACAGTCAGCAAGAAAACAGTCAACACCAAAACAGTCAACAAGAAAACGGTCATCAAAAAACCGGTCAAAAAGAAAACAGTCTTTGGAGGAATAACGGGCGCTTAAAACGGAGGTAGACCAGACAAGAGCTAAAAAGCCGGGTCAACATAAACCATGGGGGACGCTTGGGGATCTTGGTGACCCTGTAACCTTTCTGCTGGACAGGTTAACCGCTTTAACAAAGTAAGACAAGTGTCTGTAACAGAAGTGTTTCTTGTCAAACGGACCTGCTGTAGCGTGTTGTAGCGCCATCGCTAAACTGTCCTCCCTCGGGTCCTGGACTATGTCACTTTATCCTCGTTGTAGAAGTCCTGCAAACATTGTGTTTGCTGGTAGTCTGTTGGCATCTACAGTAGCACCAATGCTTTTGACTTTCACCTTGACTGGGCCCCATTTGTAATTATCTGAAGTATTTATCTGCATTATATCTGAATTTAATCGGAACGATACGAGCGAGCAGGAGCGTCTGTTTGTGGGCGGGGCTTGCTGGAGCAGAGAGGGAGGTTGGGAGGGGTAGAGTTTACATACAAGATTTCTCCTAAAACTGGAACTAACTCAGATCCCGACTACAACACCTGTTTATCAGATAGCTGCAGTGATACTTTATCTCAGGGTTTGACATCATTGACACGTGATCAGCTCGCTCTTTTGTGGTTTGAATGTTTCTGCTGAACTGAATTTAGAGTCCGCTCCATCTGATGCTCCGGTATCAAAGTATTTTAGAGTATTTTAGTGTGGTCCTCAGACTTTGACTGATTTAAAATGTAAAGACTCGGCCTTTTTTTGCTCGTTCAGTATTTTCTGTGCCTTTACACCTAAATCCTTAAGTGGTTTATTTAGGTCCGCTCTAAAAGTGTCTGTTTAAGTTTGTTGACTTTCTCAAATGTTCCCAGAATAACCACAGAGGGCCTGAGCCCAGCAGAGCAGACACAATGGACCCGACCCGACCAGGAGGAACTCTGTAAGAGGCTGACAGCCATTAATTGAATGGAAGGATTATTGACGGTGGAGTTGGCCGGGCTGCAGTCTCCCTCTGTGTCGGTAATGCTCACTGACGCTGTTTTCTACCAGAACAGCGTGTTCCTCTGACCTGCACAGAATTAGTGGGTCAATTTAAAGGTGAGAAACACCAGGAGGAGGACCAGGTGAGAACCTTAGAACCTCAGAACAGACCTGTCAGTGATTCTCAGTAAAGCGGTCTGTTGGCGGGGTTCTGATGCTGCAGTGATCACATCCATGTTACTGAGTCAGGAGTCAGACTGTCATGTTTACATGTACACCAAATTCCACGTTCTGCTGCTGAATGAATCAATTAGGTTTGATTATTAACTGAGCATCATGTGGGGCGTGGCTGATGTGACTGACAGTGACTACGAGGAGACATGAGGATGAGCGCAAACTCACGCTGTAAAAACTGATGACTGAGCGTTATTAGACTCAGTGGATTCAGCAGCACTGACACAGCTCAGCAGTCCATGACTGTCTGCAAACAAACTCTGTGAGGGCCGGTGGAGTTCACAGGAGCCGAGTATTTTAGTTCAGAGAGCAACAGGAGGGGAGGTGGTTTCAAAAACTCCAATGAGGAGTATCAAAAGTTCCTTTTTTCATGTAAGAAACCATCAAAACACAACAGTTAACGTCTTCTGATGAAGAACAAAAGACCCAGTAATATACTGTAGCCACCGTAAAATACTGTGAATTACTGTTAAATACTGTGCTTTACTCCTGATTGAATATTTATAAATCTGAGTTGTTATTTTTTTTTAATCTCCACTTTTGGATTTTTTTTCCCTCTAAAACTGTTTCTAGCAGGGGTTCAGTTGAGCCGGGACAAGATCCGGAACCTCTTAATTTTGGCCTCCCTGTGTTCTGGTACTTATTTGGGCAGATCCAGAACCTCTCATAAAAAATAAAAAAAAAACCTATATAAAAATGTTTAAAATAATTTAAATAATTTCATTTTGTTTATTAAGATTTGACACCATTGAAAAGCATCGCAGATCTGTTGCAGAACGCACTAAAAAGCGTTCGCGTTACCTCAGAAGTCGGAGCTGAAAATGACGTCACACCCGAGTTACCAGCGTTTCAGTTACAACGTCGGACTAAAGCGAAATCGGAGGCCTGAAACAAGATGGCTACATCTATAAAGGTTATTTAAGCGCTTGCCTTGTCCAGATATAAAGCAAGCGCTAAAATAACTTTACGTTGGTAACTCGGGTGTGACGTCATTTTCAGCGCCGACTTCTGACTTCCGAGGTAACGCGAACGCAGCACACAGACCACGCCCCCTGACACCGAAAAAAAACCTTTTGAAATTCGGCACAGCTGAGGAGCAAACAGAGAGGAGGAACGGTGACCATTTTAACTTAAACATGTCAGAAAGAGAGAGTTAATTTTACTGTCAAGAAGGGAGAGTTTAATGAGACTTTCAAACGAGTCAGAAAAACCTCCACAGGCGGCGGTGAGGGCAGCAGCTGCAGCGGTCATGGTACCGGTCTAAACCGGCTACAGCAGGAGGCTCGCGCCGCTACAGCTAACCGGGTTCACCGACAGCTAACCGAGCCGGGGCAGGAGGCTGGTACCGGGGAAGGAGGCTGGTTAGGTCTACCGCCAGCAGGAGCCAGATACAGCGGTAACAGGACCACCGACAGGCGGGTATCCTGACATCAGTTAACCCGGTACAACAACCGGAGAAAGAGGCGGGAACCGCGACATCAGCAGCTAGCTTAGAGCAGGAGGATCGAGGAGGAGGAGAGGAGAGGACTGAAGGACTGAGGGAGGTCGAGGGTGACCAAAGGACCCAGAACTTTCACAGACAGACGGAGTAAAACCCGAAAAAAGAGGAGGAGGAGAATCCGGACAGGTTCTGATGTGGAAGAGATTTGGACTAAACATGGTGAGTTTACAGTCTGTTAACAGGCCGCCGAGCCAAACTGTGAATAATAATAATAATAATAGATTTGTGTGATTTATTAACTTTTTTTAACGTTAGACCTGTTGATAAATGAATTACTGAGGTGAAGTTAGTTTCAGGTTGGATATATTTTCCTGTAAATACGGCGGTGAAGTTAGTTTTAGGTTGGATATATTTTCCTGGAAATACGGCAGTGAAGTTAGTTTTAGGTTGGATATATTTTCCTGTAAATACGGCGGTGAAGTTAGTTTTAGGTTGGATATCTGACGGACATTCTCTGAGGATCTACCGGTGTCTTCTCACTCTCCATAACCGGGAATAACAACAGCAGCGCGGTTAAATCTACTCGACACCCTCACTGTCAACGTCGGTGTTGAATAAGGGACCGTCAATAAATTACCGGTTGATGTTCTCAGAAAAGGCTGTTTTCCTTCAATAGCTTCACTGTCATGTGACCAAAAGACCTCAAATTGATTTCTTATAATAGTACTTAGGCCGATCAATAAGACACACCTCTTTGTTTCCCTAATTTGTCCTCGAAAAATGTTTGTGTTAAATTTAAAGGCAAATTTCGAACATTTTCTTCAATTATTATGGTTCCCCCAAAGTTCTTAGTGTGCTCCTTACTTTTTCAACTGAGGAACATGTGAACAAAGTTAGTGTCAGCCCTGGATATTATTGAAATTGAAGCTTGTAAGTCCCACATGTGGGCATTTACATGTTGTTTTCAGCAGGTTTTCTATACATGTTCAGGGGCTTGTGCTCGTCTCCTCATCCCTGAGCTGTCATATGGACTTTGTACCTTTAGAAAAGAATGAAGCGCTAGTTTCCAGTCAAACAGAACAGAAGGTTCAGCATTTTCTCCACTGATTAGTAAATGTAGAAATATTTCTAAGATGATCTCTGAATGTGAAAATGTCTCAGGGGTACTTCTGCTTCAAGATTCAGGATTAGTTTATTTGTCATGTTCATGTTAAACAAGGTCAACAATGCAATGAAACGCCCTGAATGAGAGGACCGCTCGACTCAAAGGAGTACAGATAAAACACACAATAAGTACTGAGAGGTACAATAAAATAATAAGGATACCAAAAAAAACGAAGATGTATTAAAGGTGAATAAAGTATAAGAGAAGCAGTAGGTGCTGAGTGTGAATGTAGGAAGTGGAGGATAAGTTGGTGGGATAAATGAGGTATTAATATTTCCATATTGCACACAATAAATGATGGTGTATGAATTGTTGTATTGCACATCACAGATAATATTGCAGAGTTACGTGGGTTGTTGCACAGAGTATTGTCCGGTGGTTCTGTCAGGAGTTTAGTAAACAAAGTGCAGAGAGTATCAGCCCAGGAGAGTCCAGGTCACATGACAGGGAGAGTACTACAGTAAGTCACTCTTACTCTCCTCTCTCTGAAACCGCAGAAGTCTGTACAGCTCTGAGTTTAATTTAGTGAGGGCCGGTTAGTGCTGTTTTACTGAAATCCTGAGAACACAGTGACTTTCTGAATATCAGATATTTTCTGTCTCGGGGAATGATGGAGAATCAAAGGTGTTGATATTGAGCCGATGTAACCCCCCCCGCCCCAGAAAGATAATTCTCCACATTTTTATGGTCAAAATTAAAGCGCAGAGAGGACACATCCATGTGAAGAAGCACTGATGAAAGATTTTAATCCTAACTTGAAGGGGTTGATTTCATCCATTAAAAGGACCTCCAGACTTTAAAACTGTGAAGTGACTGCAGACCAGTTAAAGAGAGTTCTGGACTCTTAAGTCCTGGCAGGTGTATATGGATAGATTTACAGGACAGGATCACGCAGGTAGCCGTTAGAAAACCTCTGTGTCTGACAGGTGAGAGCGGGCCTACCTGTGTGGACAGCTGGGTCCCCCTCAGCATAAAGCCCAGCGTGCAGCCGGTCAGCACGGCGATGACCGAGAGTGTGAGCAGCCCGTTCTTCTTGCAGAAATCCCTCACGGTCCTCTTCAGCTCCCCGTTCGTCAGGTTGAAGAAAGCCTTCAGCCGGTCCCCCATCGTCTTCCCTGCGTCTCCCGGAGCGTATGAGCTCTGGTCGGATCGCGCCTCCTCCTCGCCACTCGGTAACAAAAGCTCATCCATGCCAAGTTTTCCGTCCGGCCTCCTCTCTGGAGCTCAGAGCTGGCAGGGTGACAAACCTGAGAGAGCCAAAGAACCTTTTTCCGTTAAGGGATTAAATCACGGTCCGGTCAGAGGCAACTGCAGCCCTTCAGGCCACCTGCAGGCACTAAGAGGCTTAAGGAGGAGGACTGAGGCCTGACACGCCTTTGTTGTGGCATCTGGTCCTGAGGCTGGACCTCTACCTGGCCCTGGTTCCTGGACAAGCTCCAGCCATTGTTTCTGTTTGACTGTCTCTCAGTTCAGACCTTTCAAAGCTGGACGATCCTGCAGGTTATAAAATCCACCTCTAGGGCTCACGCAGCTCTGAGTTTGTGAGATAATCACAAAGTATTTCAAAGTCTGTTCAGATAACGCTGAAACAAGTCAAGACATTCATTCAAGTTTAGGGCTGCACCTAACAATTATTTTTTATTAACCGATTAATATAACAATAAATTTAACTAAAATAAAAATCAAAAACTTGTCCTATCAGTATTTAATTCAATGATTTATTTAAGATTCTCTTGAAATCAAACAAAAACAAAAATCGATTGTGACGCACCGCCACGGTTAAATAAAAGCCGCCACACTTTAAAAATGAGTTTTTTCTTACGTGGATCTACCTCGGACTCATGTGTATCAGTTACATCTAGGGTTGGGAATCGAGAATCGATGGGAATCGGGACTAAAACTTCGATTCTTCCGGTATCGTTCAAATATTAAAATTTCGATTCCAAGTTTCGATGCCAGAGTCCGCCGACCGGAAGAAATAGCCGCCGAAAATCAACGAAGAAGAAGCCGCTTAACACCAACGAGGACGGAGCGTATGAGACGAAGCCACACAGAGAGAGGAGAGAGACAGAGAGAGAAAGTACATTGCAACCCACAGCAATGCAGCCGCTGTGGGTTACAATCTCTCTCTGTCTCTCTCCTCTCTCTGTGTGGCTTCGTCTCATACGCTCCGTCCTCGTTGGTGTTCGGCAGCTTCTTCTTCGTTGGTCAAAAGTTTGGCTAACTTTAGCAGGAAGAATGAACTCTTATCTCAATGCAGCATTAGCAATACAGTTATATCATGCAAAGGAGGTTAAACGACCAACATGATTAAACACCTCAGGATTCATGGAGGAGAAATACCCGAGTGCGCGTCTTTGACGCGCTTCGCCGGTGTTGTGTCGTAGAATGCACCCCTGACGGGAGCGCGGTTGAAAGTACACAACAAGGCGAAACAATCCAAGTTTTTCTTACCGTTGGACGGAATCTAAAGCGTGTGCCTTTAATAATTTCATTCAGGCTATTCAGATATGCCGAAAACAATAGCCCTCTGATTCGGAATATTTACTGTCCTGAAAATATAATGTTCTCTACATTAACAGCTTTCTCTACAGTTTATATACCCAAGTACACCTTTATGTGTGCATTTTTGAGACACATAAAAACAAAACGAAAGTTTACTGCTCCATTTGACACGTTTTCATGATCTGATACCCGTGTTTTATTAAATATGAGATCATATTTCTTCCACTAAGAAGCTAATCAGTGGAGGGGAGGCATTCTACAGCAGGGGTGCATTCTACAGCACAACACCTGTCTTCCGCTAACCAGTCAGGATCTGTCCTCTGCTAATTTTGAAACGGTAAAGAAATTGAACTGTGTACGGTGAGTAAACTTAAATATCCACCTAACATTAGCCCTTGTACTTTTTCATAGACAAACGACCTGAAAACAAAAATTGATATTTATATACTGGTTGAAAATAGCTCTGTGAGAAATCCATAGTAAAGTTCTTAAAAAGTTAAGGATTTAAAAATTCATGGAGGAGTTCAGAAATTTCATCCAAAAAGAAGAGCCCCGGTTAGCACCCTCATTCAAACCATGCTTTTTTTTTTTCTTTTTTCTTTTTGATATCCTGCCTTTTAAAAGAATCGAATTAGAGAATCGATAGGAATCGGAATCGAAATGAGGAATCGAAATTGGAATCGGAATCGTTCAAAATCAAACGATACCCAACCCTAGTTACATCTGTGCGCCGAGTATTAGCATTAGCGAGCTATCGTCATCGATCACACAGCTGATTAATTAGTGAGTTATCGGACAAAGAAAAGAACAAACTGATGCTTCAACTCTGAGCTAACTGATGAAGTGAATGAATTAGATATGGATGCAGGGCGTATGATGCAGCGTTCACTGTGGCGTTTGCTGCACCAGCGGGGGGTTGTTTGATTCGCTGAAAGCAGCGCCATCTTGGAAATGTGAACGAGGAAGAACACAGGAGAAGCTGCTCATAGATCAGGAAAATGAAGGTTTAAAATCGACTCCATCAGGTGGAGCTGGTTTGTCGTCCACGCCTCCACCGTTACCTGAAGTAGCCATTGTTTACGTCATCATGCAAACATGCATCGACAAATTTTTGTAGTCGATTACTTTGACGAATCGCCCCAGCCATATTCAAGAATACCAACATGTCTGAGGAACAGAGAGGGCAGATGAGTCTGAACTGTGTTTTCTGTCTCTGTGGTAAAGGTGAAATAAAGACCAAACACGGTTCAAGGACTTCTGCTAACACAGTAAACACACAAAAGGATTAATGGATGATGAAGCATGGAGAGACGAATCCAGAAAGCAGTCCAGCACAGACGAAAGGATCCAATAAAGAGCAGGAGGCAGGAGTCCAAAGTCTGAAGAGGCGAAGGGTCACACAGATGGAGCTTCAGAATAGCCTCCAGATCAACGAGCCAAGAGAAGGAAGCACACGATTAAGTAACTCAGAGAGCGGGCAGGAACAATAGTCTTAGAGGATGATGCAATCAGGCTCAGGTGAGCAGGAAGCCCAGTAGAACAGGTAAGTGAAGGACTGAGGAGAGCTGCCATCAGCTGAGAGGGCGGCTGCAGAAGGACCGAGGACATCTGCTGGAGAGACGGGGAAGAGCAGCTCTGAGGAGGAGAGAGGGGGGGGAAGCTGAGAAGACTTTGGCATGATTTCATCCAGGAGCTAAACAACAACAACATGGAGAAGTGAGGCATCATGGGAGCTGGAGTCCAATGCTGGAGGTCATAGATTCATCATGTGTTTGTTCCTGCTCAGAGCTGTTGTTATTGTTAGATTTTAAAGTTTCTGTATTTTTGTTCAGATTCTCAGACGGCGTCGTGTTGTCGGTAAAATTCCTGTTTATATGTTGTTACTCTGATCAGCTCTAATGCAGAATATTCAGTTATTGTTTTTTTTATGAAGTTTAAGAAGGAGTTTTCTGTCTTATCAAATACATGACTGCCTACATTTCCGTGTAGATCATCAATTAATCTTTATTTATATAACACCAAATCACAAGAGTCGTTATCCCAAGTCTCTAAAAGAGCAGGTCCAGACTAGGGCTTGTTGTCTTTGATTCTTTTTTACTATGGACGTTACAGAATAAAGGAACAAACAGGTCCATCTGGACAGTCGAAGACATGGCAGCTCCGTGGATCAGTGGTATTAATTACTTTACAGCAGGTCTGAAATGAATGAGATTAATTGAGGGCGCTGCAGAGGTCAGATCCTGACCTCTCCTCCTCCTCCGGCTCGATTTAAAGTGTGCTTAAACAACTGGTGGAGGAACGCTACCTCTAATCCAATCAGAGCCGCGGAGGCCGGGGTCAGGTGACACTCCAACAAGTCTGTGATGTCATGAGGTACCTGTGAGTCCAGAAAGTCCCGAGCAAGTCTAATTATAGCTTTGAATCAAGAGGAGGCTTTTTTTTTATCCTTCATTAGTGTAAAGTTTTGAGTAATAAAGGGTTAGAAGAGTAATAAAGGGCTATCTGTGGTTATGAAGGTTTGAAGGGTTAAAAGGTGTTGGACAGTGGTATAAAAGTTTAAAAAGGTTAGAAAGGGTTAAAACCTGGTATATAAGGTTAAAAAGGGTTAAAAATAGTTTTAAAAAATTAGTTAAAAAAAAAACAAAAAGGTTAAAATGTGGTATGAAAGGTTAAAAGGGTTAAAAATTGGTATAAAGGTTTAAAAAGGTTATAAAGGGTTAAAACGTGGTATAAAAGGTTAAAAAGTGGTAAAAAGGGTTAAAAATAGTTAAAAATTAGTATAAAAGGTTAAAATTGGTATAAAAGGTTAAAAGGGTTAAAGTGTTATAAAGTTTAAAAGGATTAAGAAGTGGTATAAGAAGTTAAAATTGTTAAAAAGGTTTTAAAAGGGTTAAAAAGTATTAAAATTGGTATAAAGGGTTTTGAAGTGTCCTATAGGATCATAAAGGGTAGTATGTGGTTGTAAAGGATTATAAATCGTTATCCTTGGTAGTTAGGACCATCTGAGCTGAACTTTAAAAGGAAACGACTCACCGGGTTTGTTTGTTTGTTTGTTCCTGAGGGGGAATGAGCTGAAAGAGCTTTTTAACGTCACAGACTTGATGCTTGTTCACTAACTCTCAGGCAGAGGAGCAGAACATTCAGAGCATTAAATGGTAGTTAAGTCTTTTTTTTTTGTCTTTTTTGATTTGACACCGAGAGAGAAAGTAAATGTGGAGAAGGCCATGCTGCGAATGACGGTCACACAGCATTCTTAAGTGTTTGGCTCCCCCTGCTGGTCACAGAGCAACATCCCAGTTGAACATCAGTTCATCAGAGCTTCTACCTATGAGGTTCAGCCTGAACCATGAGAGACCGGATTTCACAGTCAGACTCCAGAACCAAAGTACGACAAAGATCCTTTAATGAACAAATATAATAACCCATTTAATTCAGAAACACAAGACAACAATGAGAGGACCAAAGGCATAAATACAAAACTGTTCAGGGTCACATCATGAAAATATTAAATCATAAAAATACATTTCCTATAAATATGTTCTGATTTGGTTTAAAGGCTGCACCGGTTTGATTTTCCTCTAAAACACACAGAAACCTTCATCATTTACCAAACCTCTTCACACCAGCAGTGAGGAAACACTCTAGAGTTACAGTAATATCAAATATATGAAGAAATAAATAATGATATCATATCAATAAAGGTTTATTGATCCCTGATAAATAGTCACAAACTACCCAGCAGTATAAAGACATTAAAATGAGTTCCACCTTAAACAGCTGCAACACAAAGAGTTAAAAAAACAACGGTCATATTCATCCTTCTGGACCATCAGGACTTCTGTGATTGACACAGCACAGTGAGGTCACAGGGTCCTGGAGTACACCTGTGCACCCCCGCACCAAGGTGAGGGGTCAGTCAGACCCTGTGACCTTCCACAGTGTGAGGACTTCATTTTCAGAGCAGACCTCTGGAGGTGGCAGGAGCAGGACGACAGAGGAGAAAACTGCACCAACAAAGACGACCTCCTAGAGGAGTAACCGCAGGAGTAAAAAAGGACGATCACAAACTCTTCGGCTTTTACGAAGAAGGAAATATGACAACTTGAGGAAAAACACGTGACAAAAACCCTAAAGAGAGCTTTAGACCTCAGAGGACCCACGCCTCCACCGACAAGGATGGCGTGATGGCGACATATGACCCCTAGAAGTGACGGCGAGCTTCTTGGTAATTCTGGTGTGACTGACCATTCGTCATAAACTCAGATTTCTCCGTCCAATCAGTGACTCCAGAAGAAACCATGTGTTCAAATGTAAAGACATACAGTACGTTTACACGACACTCGAGTCTGACACCGACCTGCTGTTGTTGTTGACGGTTGTATGGGGTCGGAAACAGCGCCGCTGAAAAGACCCATATCCCCCCCTAGTGTTGGGGAGGAGGACACGTATACGAGGACAAGGAGAGAAGTCCGATTCGGCGAAAAAATTTAATTTTGAGCTTAGTCCGATTAAACTGTGTCTGTAAACGCCCTGATAGAGGCCCTCCACATACGTCTGCAGGTTTCCTGTCTGTCACATGACACGTGTGTGTTAGTGGTGAGTCCCAGTTTCACTGTAAACAGTATATTGCACAGTGGGTTCACTCTAGTATAAACCTGGAACAGAAACAGGTTCTTTTATCCATTTCTTCTAACTTTAAGGGGTCATAACTTTGCTGAAATGAAAACATAATTTCTTTTTGGAAGGTCTCAGTTTCACTGTAAATCTGACGTTACAGGAATCCTTTACTTTGGCTGAGCAGTATGACCTGAAAAAGTCACATTTTTGTGAATTTCTATTAAGTAATATTAATATCATGAAATAAGACCATCTGATTCAGGGGAGTCTCAGTTTCACTGTTAATAGACAGTCACACCACAGAGCCTCTACTCCAGCGGTCTGACCTGAGACGGTCAGAGCCGGGCCTTGTGTTCACTAAAACCACATTATCAGTTTCTTTGAGAGTCTCAGTTTCATTGTCAGTAGTTACACAGAGACTTTAGGTTCATACAACTGAAGAAGTTTAAACCTTTTAAAGAATTTATTTCCTGGTGATTTTCATCATAAACGGGTCAAAGTTCTGCTCACAGCATTTTTGTGGTGAGTCTCCGTTTCACTGTTAAATCAACTCCTACTACAGGTAGACTAAGAAGAGACCAGAATCTGACTTCAAACAGAACCTCGAACACTCGCCCTACTAAAACACAAATCCTCTATTTCTATGTAGAATCTGTTAGTGTTTGTCGAACCCGTCACCACGCCCACAGTGATGCTGTCATTTCCTGTTGGTCACCTGTAAGTCACTACAGCCAGGTGAAAGGATGAACCTCCACGGAGCTTTAGTCATGACTTCCTCGGTTTTATTGAACATGATCTTCGTTTCGGTGAAGGACAGTATGTCAGAGTTTCTGTCGTGTTTCTGTCCTCTCGCTGAACTCTGAGGACTTTTACTTTGGTATTGCTGTGCGTGCTTTTGCTCGGACTTCCTGCGTGTCACCACTTGATGAAAACGAGGGCGGCGAGCACTGCGTATCCGAGGATGAGGAAGAGCACTTTGAGCAGCCGGTCCTGTTTGTCCTCCAGCTCTCTGGACAGGATCTCAAAGAAGGTGACGAAGAGGAAGGTTCCAGCAGCGAGTCCCTGGAGGATGACAGACACCACGCCGCCCGCCAGCGTCTGTGCCGACTCAATGCCCATCCCCACCGCCATACCGAGCGGAATCATTGAGCTAACCATCACACCCAACTTAGCAGCATCCTTCATGCCCAGTGATGCTTTTGCAACGCTCACCCCGAGCGCCACAGCAGCCAGCGTCTCGTGCACAGCCACGCCCAGGAAGAGGCTTCCCAGTTTGGCGGCGTCCTCCTGCAGTCCGAGCGCCAAACCTTCAAACACGGAGTGAGCCGACAGAGCCAGGACCAGACTGGCCAGCCGCAGAGGCCCGGCCCCTGCAAGCTCAGCCGGGCTGAAGTGTCCGTGGTGGTGACCGTGGGAGCGCCGTCCGCCCGTGGACGCCCTCGCCGAAGAGATGAAGGGTGTGTCATATTCAGAGTCACTGCCCGCCTCTGAGCCGCCAGCGTTAAAGGTCTCCAGGTCGATGAAGGACGGTTTCTCCTTCCTGAAGGTGAGAATGGTCTGCTCTACGAACACGGTGAGGAACAAGCCGAGCATCATCATCGTCTCAGCCAGCGGGTAATCGCTGCTGATCTTCAGCTGCTGGAAGACGGCGGAAACCTGAGGAGGACAAAGAACAGACGGAAGGTCAGCGAGGAGGAACTGACTCCGCCCAGAACTGCAGAGACAGTTTTCATGATGGAGAACATCCAGGAGCTCTGAGCTCATCGATCCTGAGACCGTTTACACAGTCCCAACTGAGATCAGCTGATTTAACAAGAACGTTTTGGACTGAGGAACAGAAAACTGCAGAACAGATGGGAAACATGAGAGGGTCGACCTCAACTGTGGGCTGTGTTATTATTATTATTATTATTGTTATTCTGAATGATGTATCCAATGTAAAGAGCTTTGAAGGTCTCTGATTAAGCACTATAAAAAATTTGATGCATTATTATTATTATTGTTGTGGTTGTGGTTGATGTATTTGTTGTTGTTGGAGTTGTTGTCATCCCTATTGTCATTGTTGATGTATTTGTTGTTGTTGTCTTCCTTCTCTGTTAAAGACGGCTTTTCTAAGGGAGGACTGTGACATTGTACAGCAAAGTCTGGTTTCTCTGACCATTTCCTCCCCGTTTTACGTGTGTTTGTACGTTAATATATGTGTGTGTGTGTGTTACCTTGTCCCTGACAGCTGGCAGCAGTGCATTAAAGCACGTTGCGAGGAACACGCCTCCTCCAAACGAGTTACACAGTGACAGAGCTCTTCTGTATCTGTATGCTTTGTCATAATCAATCAGCAGGAGGCGCACTGGGACCAGCACGCCAGCCAGCATGAGGCCGAACAATCCCAGCAGGCCGAGCAGCTTGGCCACCAGGATCTCCATCCTGAAGCTTGGACACCTCCTGATTTAGTGACTGTACTGGTGCTGCTGGGACATCTTTAATGGTCCAACTGGGAGTGACAGAGAGTGAGACGTCAGACAAGAACAGGAAACAACAACAACCTCATTTTAAAGGACGTGAAACAGTCCGTCTCCAGAGATGAAGATGTTTTATTCTGTACGTGAGCACAACTGTTCGACCTGAAATAGATTAATTTTCTTGTATACAGTCTGTACCTTTGTTTTTTTTCTTTAACTATTTTTGTTCTTTTAATTCAGTCTCTGTTTTCTTTCTGTTGTAAATGGAGAAGCGCTTTAATCTCGTTGTTCCTTCTGTATAATGACAATAAAGAACATTCTGATTCTGATTTCTACTCCTGTCTGTTTTAGTAACACAACATCCTCCGACTTCAATCATTATCCAGCTGATGACTTCAGTTACTCAGCCACGTAACAGAGATGGACCAGAGGCGGTATAATCACCTGAAAAAGGTCACCACAATACCATCATGTGATTACACAGACATTAGCGTGCTTTTGTAACTTGATGACTGTAAAACTTGATTTTCTCCAATAAAGAAAGTTTTCCAGTCTGAGCTGCAAAAACACTGACAGAGGCTCTAAAATGAGTTTGTAAGACACCGATTGTTCAGTAAAGGTGATTTTAATATTCCTTAAATTTGTTTTTAAAGCTGTGAACAGTCGAGCTCCAGTTTCCTCCTCCTCCTCTCAGACTCATGTCAGCAGCTCCTCTGTCTGTCTGTTTGTCTTAACCCTCGCTCATGAATCAGGGTTTATTGCTCTGATTTCTGTAAAAAGTACTTTTTTATATATTCATATTAAGAATAAGAAAAACTTTATTTATTTTGTTACAAATATTGTGTGTATATGTATGTATGTATACATATATATATATAAATGTGTGGGTGTGTGTATATATATATATATATGTATTTATATATATACATTTATAAATTATATATGTATATATAAGATTTTATTTTATATTTTTTAATTTTTTTGTATTATTTAACTTAACTTTATTTTTAACACACTTGTAATCTTTATAGATTTGTTATTTTAATGTACAAACCTAAAAAATTTTATCTATTTTTCTTTTTAAGCTGTTCCCCTCTGTTCTGTCTGACTTTATACTTTATTTAATTAAATCAAATATTTCCTCAAACTGTAACAAATGAGGAAATAAAGTCCTAAAAATCGACTCAAATTCATGTTAATTAACCACAGATTAATCTTCAGATTTCGACACTAATTAATCAGAAATAACCGGATAAACTCTCTGATTTTCTCTTTATGTCTGTTTTTAATAATAATGTTAATGACGCTGCTGCAGGTCGGAAAAATCAAAATAACGAAAACCAGCCGTACTTCCGGTGAAAACCTTCAAAATAAAACTTCAGTAACCGCTTTAGAGATTAATTTTTATCAACTATTAACAATCATTAGAGACTCTTTATTACACTGTAATTTAAGTGAAAACAAAACACGAAATCTACGACTTTTCCTGTCATTTCTCATAAAATAATAAACGTTTATATAAAAATCAGAAGTGTCTATTTCCGGTTAGGGTTTGGTTATTGAGGCTAACTTGATAATGCTAATAAAAAGCTAAGCTAGCTGTCGTTAGCTGCAAGCACATAAAGATGCTGAGTCATCTCCGGTTGATTATAATGGAGAGACTCTTTATTTCCTCCACGATAATAAAAATAAGGTCAGTCAAACTCTCCTTACACGAACATTACCGGGTAAAAACGGTAAACGGAACCGTGTTTACCTGCCCGAGCCTCCGTCTCCTCCAGCAGCAGGTGGATCAAACAACCACTTCCTCCTTTACGTCATCAGTTTACCGGGCGCTGAGTGGTGGATCTGCTGATGACGTAAACTAGATTTCAAGAAATATTAAAAAATGTAAAAAATATTTTCGATCCTCAGTGGGACGTGGATTTGAGTGAAATGAACAAACCGTAAAAAAAAAAAATCATCCTTTTTTTTTCAATTAAACAGATCAGATAATATTTTCAGAGTTTTTAAAGCTCCTGTTTTTCCCTCACTGTCCTTTAAACAATGTCCGTAAATTTTAACACCTAACCCCGAAATAAAAATTGCAGTATAGGAGGTTTCACTTGTAGTAAAATTTACTGAGTGGGTTAGAAAACTACAAATAAATAATAATTATGGCCAATTTATCTGATACGACGGAGTATTATGGTCACGTTAAGAAAAACACTGAGATTTAAGTAATTTATGAGAATAAGTCATATAAGTCGTAATAAAGTCCTTCTATTCTAACCTGCTGTTTAAGATGACAGTTGTTGAAATTAGAGCCGTGGAGCGTTTAGTGAAAATGTACTTTAAGTTTCTGAAACAAGGAGATACTTTAATCTTTTGGTACATCAGCACCATAATTATCATAAGTTTAGTAGAATTAGTAGTTGATGAAGACTTTAATCTCATAAGTAATTACTTTAGTATGACTTCATTCTTGATAGTAACGACTTATTCTTGTAAATTAATGACTTTTATCTCAGAGTCTTAATTCTTTTTCTCTCAGTGTAGCCCTAATACTCCGTCGTATCTGATAAATTAGCCATAACTGTGAGGGACTGGTGAAAAGTGGAGGTTACTCTTACTGCGTTGAAGAAAACAAGAACAGCTGATCATGGGATAAAAGTGAGATGGCTAGATTATTATTATTATAACTTTCCTTTTAAAGATGAAATGTCTGTTCTTGATCTTGGATTTTATAAAATAAATTTCCCCCCAAAAATGCGACATATACCAGTATCTCCTCACAGTAAACCTGTTGTTAATGACGTGTTTTAAAAACTTTAGAAACTGAGATGAAAACGTTTCCATTTTAGTCGATTTTTCTCACCAAAGAAAACCAGAAAGACTTTTTATTGGAATCATCAGACTTCAGGCAGGAGGAGGGGGTAAAATGTTGAGATGCTTTTTTAATTTCAAGACTGAACAACTCTCTCTAAACTCACCCCGATACACACACTCACACACACACATCTGATCAGGCATACACACACATACACACACACACTCCTCATAAACACGGTTCAGGACAAACATGTAAAGTTACACTGTGTAGGTTTAAGAAGAAATTTCAAGTTTGTGTTTTTAATGTTTTAACTGGTCAGGTCTATAATTCTATCAGAGCGAGATTCAAAGTTAGGATTTATATTAAAGTGTTACTTCAAAATCTTCTTCCTAAAAACCACACAGAGCCGCAGGAAGTGAGTGTTTGTTTGTTTGTCTTTTTTTTGGTGACGTGGATCCTGAACGCAGCAGCGTCTCCTCGTGCAGAAGAAAATATTCAGTGATGGAACAAAAAAAACAAACTTCCTCTGAGTCCTTCGAGTTATCCCAATGAGCTGTTCTCCTCCGCACACACACACACGCACACACACACCTGTCCAACCTGAAACACAGACAGGAAGTGAAGGGTTAGACACCGCCAAAATAAAGCAGACTGTTGTGACAACATCAGCCTAAATCCAGAAAATGATCACCTTAAAAGGGATATTCTGACATAAACTAAATTAAATTTTACGCCGGAATATCCCTTTAAATGGACGTGAGGTCACGGAGAAAATCTCTGATCAAGTTTTTTGCCCTGAGTTGGATGTGGAGGACCTTCGTGTTTTGAAAATGAACAGATGATAATAACGTGTTTGTATCTGAAAAGTCTCCACAGATGCTGGACACCATCAGACCCACATCTGTTCAGGACCAGACTCCACTGGATCAGGAACTAAACTCTGTGTGCGTTTCCTGGATCACTTCCTGTCACACTCACTGTGTGTTCTGGGTGTCATGGCTGCTCCTCGTTCCCGGCGCTGGGCGTTCGGTTGCGGATTTGACTCCTCAGCTGTTCGATGAGTTCAGGATTCTGCTGCTGCATCTGCTGAGCGAACTGCTGACCTCTGCGACACAAACGGAGAAAAACATCAGCGACGCCGCAACATCATCATCCAACAACACGACCTCCGCTCAGGTACGTACGCCTGGATCAGTCCTGATAAATCTCCGGGTCCAGCAGCACCAGCAGGTCCAGGGGCCGATGCTGCTGATGGTGCTGATGCTGCTGCTGCAGCTCCTCCTCCTCCTCCGCCTCCTCCTCCTCCCATTCCACCGTACGCTCCTGACATCATCCCCGACATCCTGGAGGAGAAGACATGACAGAAACTTTAACCCCAAAGAAACCATAGAAGAAGAAAAAAGGGTCAAAGAGAGGGGGACGGACTTACAGCTGCTGGACCTGAGGGTTGTTCATCAGAGAGGACGCCTGAGGACACACAAACAGGACAGAGTCAAGAACAAAGACCAGAGACAGAGGAGGACGATCAGCTCTGACGCTCTGAGACCTCACCATGTTCATGAAGCCGGGGTTACTGAGGAGACCCGCCAGGTCCACGCCGCCCATCCCCGCCGTCTGTGGTCGACAGAGAGAGAGCGAGAGAGCGAGAGAGCGACATGAGTACAGAGCCGTCACAGCAGGTCAGCTGAGCGTCTCCTCTGGTCTTACCGGGCTGGACGTCTCCATCTTCTCCTCGGCGATCTTCAGGTTGGTCTTGTACGTGTCGTTGTCGGGGTCCAGCTCCAGAGCTTTCTTATAGTAACTGGCAGCTTCTGTGTGTTTGTTGAGGCTGGCCAGAGCTAACCTGGAACGCAGAGAGGAGACAGTGAACGCACCACGACATGTGTTGCAATAACAGGAATTTGGCTTCAGAGATAGGGGCAAGGGAGAAGTCACGTAGGGAGCTTTCCCACGGGAAAGTGATACACACACGAAGGTAGCTTCGCACACACATTTGGCAAAAGTTGAGATCAGTGACGTCAATGGAGTACTATAAGAGATCTGTGGTTTTCTGTTCTGGGTTCTGTCTGTTCGATTTGTTCATGAGCTGTGTTTGATGCTGTGACCAGAATAAAATCCCGTGAGAGGCTGCCAGCTTGATTCTGTCTTCGTGTAGTTCATTCCTGCATTTTTGCACCGAGGTCATCTTCTAAATAATGCCGCTCTTTGGACGGCTACACTCTGACAGTTCCTCCTGTTACCGCGGGTTCAGAAATAATCATCTCTGGCTCCAGTGGACCCCCCTCTCAGGGACCTGGACCCTCTTATCATTGGACCTTATTATCATAAACCCACGCTTCAGTTTCTACAGACATAAATGTGATAAAGACCCCCCCCCCGGCCCCGGTCTCGTACCCCATCCTCCCGTAGGCTTTGCTGTAGTTGGGGTCGATGCTGATGGCCTGTTCACAGTCCTGCACGGCTCCGGCGTAGTTCCCCAGTTTGCTGTAGGCGGCGGCCCTGCAGGGAACAAACAAAACCAGATCAGCTCTGAGTCCAGGTTCAGAGAAATCAGCCTGTGTGAGTCAAAGAGCCTCTTTGTTTTACAGACACTCATGTTCAGACTCTTCAACACTTATGACCATCTTGTGCTTCTTCAGCAGGTCACAGTTTAACCCTTTAAACACAGAGACTGTCAGTGTGACGGAGGAGCTGCAGGAGAACATCTGCTAACATCTGCAGCTGAGATAAAACAGGGCGTGGACCTGCTGACGGGACCAGACATGACGGGAGGGTCCGGTCTGTGTCTGTAATCAGCTCTGTGGTCTCACACACACACACACTCTCCCTGTTTTCAGTCCCATTATGTTTTTCTACAGTTACATCAAATCCTCGACTAAAATTGAGAGCTGACTGACTGACGGCTGCTCTCACCCTCTGTGGAGAAGTCGGACTGACCCCGAATTTCCACCGCAACAAGAACGGCGGCATTTTTCGCCCTACGCCAATTCCTACCAGATCCTGACTTCCTTTCCAGCACGGGTTAATCTGTGCTGAATTTATCCGCCATGCTCCGGCGTCCAGAAAAAATAGATCAGCTGAGGAGTCCGGCGATCCGCAGATGTTTACGATCAGCTACGATCGGAGGATACGACCTTTTAGGAGACGTTCAGGAGTCTGACCTCCTGTCTCTAACAGCTGTCTTTCTCTCCCTCTGGCGCCTCACTGACCTGTTGCAGTAGTAAACGGCGTTCTGAGGGTTGATGGCGATGGCCTTGGAGTAAAACTCGACGGCTGCTCCAAAGTTCTCCACCTTCATTTGGTCATTTCCTGCAGAGAAACCCAGCAGAGATGAGCTCTGAGACGGACATGATGGAGGCAGAAGCAGCTCGAACATGAAGAAGCGGGACGGCGGCGTTTACCTTCGGTTTTGAGCGTCTCGGCCTCGGTTCGTTGTTCCTCTGTCAGCGAGTTCTGGGTGGAGTTGTTGTTGACCTGTGACTCTGCTGGAAGCTGCAACACAAAAATCGAGAGTCAGAACCTTATTCTGGCAAACGTAGAAACACACTCTCAGACGTCCTCCTTCACCTGACACTCAGAGTCTACCTTGGCTGTGGCGGAGGCGAAGATCTCCGGTAACGTCATGGGGACGGCGAGGCTCTGGTCGTCAGTGGAAACTTCAAACGCCGTCTCCAAACACTGAACAGCAACTAAAGGAGAGCGAGCGAACCGAGCGTTATGGAGAGTGTGGAGAGAGAGAGAGATAAGCTGGTTTATCAGAGAGGAGGTCTGAGTTAGTGAGGAACAACCTCTCAGTGAAGACCAACAGAGAAGATCAGCTGACCATCTGATCCATGAAACTGAACAGCTGTTTACAACCGATCAGGAGATCAACTCAGAGACTTCGAGAAGATTTAAACTTCAACCTGCTGACTGACCACAGACTGTCTGTTACCGTCTGTGTTAACTGTCTGTTACCGTCTGTGACTGTCTGTGTTTACTGTCTGTAACTGTCTGTTACTGTCTGTGTTTACTGTCTGTTACCGTCTGTGACTGTCTGTGTTTACTGTCTGTAACTGTCTGTGTTTATTGTCTGTAACTGTCTGTGTTTATTGTCTGGTACTGTCTGTTTATTGTCTGTCTGTGTTTACTGTCTGTGACCATCTGTGACTGTCTTTTACTGTCTGTGTCTGTTACTTTCTGTGACTGTCAGTTATTTACGGTCTGAATGTCTATAACCGTCTGTCTGTGTTTACTGTCTGTGACCGTCTGTGACTGTCTGTGTTTACTGTCTGTTACCGTCTGTGACTGTCTGTGTTTACTGTCTGTTACCGTCTGTGACTGTCTGTGTTTACTGTCTGTTACCGTCTGTGACTGTCTGTGTTTATTGTCTGTGACTGTCTGTTAGTGTCTGTCAGTCTGTTTTTACTGACTGTTACTGTCTGTGTTTACTGTCTCAGTCCTGTTGTCTCTCGCTCTCTCTCCCTCCCTCTCTCCCTCTCTCTCTCTCTCTCTCTCCCTCCTGTTTCTCTCTCTCTCTCTCCCTCCTGTTTCTCTCTCTCTCTCTCTCTCTCTCCCTCCTGTTTCTCCCTCTCTCTCTCTCTCTCTCTCTCTCTCTCTCTCTCTCTCTCTCTCTCTCTCTCTCTCTCTCTCTCTCTCTCTCTCTCTCTCTCTCTCTCTCTCTCTCTCCCTCTCCCTCTCTCCCTCTCTCTCTCTCTCCCTCTCTCTCTCTCTCTCTCTCCTCTCTCCCTCCCTCCCTCTCTCTCTCTCTCTCTCTCCCTCCCTCCCTCCCTCTCTCTCCTGTAAACACAGTTATTATCGTCTGTATGTCCTGCTCATATATGGCCTATAGACTCTTCATCCGTCCTCTCTCTCTGTACCACAGCAGGTCATTATCGGCCTGAAGGACGCCTCACCTTCCAGACTCTCCTGAGCGCCTGAGGTCAGATTCCCTGACTGCAGCTGATCGTGGAGGAACTGGATGATGGAAAAAGCGAGGCGTTTGTTGTCTGTCATGATGATGGAGGTGTAGACCTCTCTGTGGTCACGGAGTGAGAGAGACCCTGAAAACAAGGAAGTTAGGAAATTACAACTCAGTTCAGTTTGGGTTCAAAAGAAACAGGACGACACCGACGAAGAAGACCTGAGTTAGAAACTCGGATTTAAGACGAGGAACAAAGAACAGTGGAAATGAGTGTTACAAATAGGGCTGGGCGATACGGGAAAAAGTTTATCAGGATATATTGATTTCCTATCAGCTGATATGGATCAATATCAGGATATAAAAATCTAACAGTGTTTCTTGGTCTCATGTCTTTTCCAACACAATAATCTCCTGCATCTGTGAGGTCTTTGTGTCTCTTTGGCGTTTTGTCGTAAGGCGTCGCTCTAGAGAAAGCCGACTGAATGGTCGTCTGTTTCAGGCGCCATGGGCTCCTCGCTCCTCTCGGGGTTTGTAACCTTTTGCGTTGCGCGTGCTCTGCGGCGTGGCGCTGCTTCAGGTGGTGAAAAAGATTTGAGGTATTCCCCGACTTTGTGAGAACATGTACTCCACATAATTTACAGTCCACATTACTCTGCTTCATGTCCGACCTCCAAAAACCAAAATACCTCCACACCACCGACGTTTTCCTAACGCCAGTGTTGTGGTTGACATTGATGTGGTCATCTGTTGAGCCTTCATGGTCATTTCTGTCGGGGGTAGCACTCATTTTCTTTGTTTCTCACCAACAGTGCTGTCGGCTTCACCTGTTAAAGTGCTATGGTTGGGTGGAGCTGCTGTCTGCTACGACGCTGCAGTTGGTTGATACTTGGTTCTAATTCAGAACATGATTGGTTCAGTGTGAAGCGGACCTGGAAATTAATTGAAATTCATTTTGGATATATGTTGTTATTGTTTTATCGCTGAGCCCTAATCAGAACAGAGTTTGATCAGACAGACTAAAGGAACACAGACACAGGAGAAAGAGTCACTGTTCTGGTTCTGACCAAACACCTGGACCCGACTCTGGGCACCAACGGGAGGCGGATGATCGCTGCGGGTCAAAGCAGTGCTGCTGATTCTGAGGAGGTCAGTCTGAACCTGAGGTCATGTTTCAGAAACTGAGTTAGCTAGCTGCTATTAGCCTTCTAGCACAGGAACAAAGAGCCAAAAACACCACACACCTGCTCTGCTGTAGTTTCACTTCAACTCAACCTCACTGGAAGATGAAATTAGACGGAATCCTCCTTTAAAGGTCCTTCTGGTGGGGCTGAGTTGTATAACTGTCATGTCACTGAGGGGTTTGTTTGGTAGCATGGAAAGAATGCTAGCTGCTTTTGGAAACTGTGGATGCTGAAGTTGGTTTCTCATTAGAAGCTTCAGAGTCAGCTGGGGAGAATTTGGACAACAAGGTCCTGATCCAAACCCCCTTAAGACCTTTGAATGGGTCAGATCTGGTCTACAGAGGACACCCTTTCTTTTCACACAGAATCAGAACCAGAATGTCCTTTATTGTCATTATTCAGAAGGAACAACGAGATTGGAGAGTTTCTCCATTTTCAGCACAACACATGAAAAATTTACATTACAAAAATAGTTGTTAGAAAAAAAAAGAAAAGGTACAGACTATATACAAGATAAAATTATCTAGAGCAGAGAAGACAATGCAATGAAAATTAATATAGTATACACAAGAATAGAAAAGGAAATATATATTAAGTGATATATATATATATACATATATATTTATATATATGTGTGTGTGTGTATAATATTGAGGTAGCATTCACATAGCAGCAGTGGTAATATATTGTAATTATTGCACTATTAATAATGCTGCTGTATCAGTGAAACTGTAAACTTAGAAGAGAAAATTTTAACTAAATACTGAAAGAGTTATAGTTCCTTCTTATCTGTTTTCTCTCCCAGCATTGAAGTTAACAGTCAATCTTTATAATTATTATTATAATCTTCCTTTTAACAACCGGATCAGAACAAACGAATGATACACTAACTTCAGCATGGTGTTTATTTGACTCATCGGGCAGAAACTCCTTTAATAATCTGACACTTTAAAATCACCCTCACCGATTCCCGCTGACTCACATAGTCGAAATAATGACTTCATATATGAGGCCAAAAAGACACTAAATCTGCATTTATGGTGATTAAATGTTCCCAACTGTTAATAAGATAAGCCGAATTAAAGTGTGGTTCTTGACAGTTCATTGTTTAGATTAACTTTGATTTTTAATGCCATTTTGTGTATTTTTAAAGCATTTTAAATCGTTTTTGGTGTTATTTAAAAGGACTTTGGTGTGACGTGTTCTCAGAACTATTACAGCGCGGTATGAGCAGCTAACTCGATCTGACCGGAAACACTGATTAAGCCTTATGTCCTGCCGTCAAATAAGATCTGATTAAAGAGAAAAGTGTGTTTCCTACCTGATGTCTCTGCGGTTCGGGTAAAAATCAGCTGACGGTTACTGGACCTTAACTCCGAACCTCCGAGAACTCCTTACTCAGCTAGCTAATCAGCCTGGCGCGGGGTTTTGACGTCAGGATAAAGCGACAAGTTGATCTTATCGTCATCCGGTGTGAAGTTTTCCGGGGAAATGACGGAATTTGACGACCTTCCCTCCAAAATAAAAGCACTTTAACGCTAAACTTAGCCTTCATAATTAATTTAGCACAGAATTCTTATTTCTGATTAAAGGAATTTCTCATTTCTATTGTTTTAATTTTTATTAGGCTAAATACTAGATGTCTAAAGTAAGAGAAAGTCATTAAAATAGGTTTAACACTGATACATATCTTTTTAATTTCGGTTTGAAAACACTTTTCTGTGGTGTGTTAAGAAATAAAAATATCAGCATACTGTCTGCGACCTCGCCAGTGTAGCTGCTGCTGAGCAATATTGGCACTCTGCCGTGTGTCATTACAGTTTTTCTATCCTGAATAACAACATATCAAACTTTAAACTAAGCCAACACCAGGAGATTTCAGTAATATTAAGATACATTTGGCGTGACATATGCAAATGGCCAAAATGGGCTGAAAAATCCGAATTGTGCATCAGAACCTGCAGTGTGAACGTAGACTTAGAGTTCGAAATAAAAGGGGACACATGAAAACATTTAGATCTACGAATGTGCGTATAATAAAATATTGATTAAATATAGTGATCTGACTGAACAAGGATGGAAATTTTACTCGTCTTGGGGGAATCTCAAAAAAAAAATAATGTCATGGAAATTTCTGAATTCTTCATCATCAACTAAAACAAAGTGACTGATGGTACAGGAGCTTTAAAACAGTGCTGAGTGTTAAAATGTACAAAGATGTATTCAAAACCTTTATTTTGAAAATATTCTGATAATTTAGATTTACTGAATCCCTCATTATAAAACGCTATGAACCACAGTTATCAAAACAAAAATGAAAAACAAGTATTTCACCTCCAGAGTACAAAAAAAAATAAGTTTGTGTGAGAGTTTTATTTTGGAAATCCTAAACGGAAGTGTAGTTTTCTCTCTGTTGTAGTTTTAATCCCCCTCCTCTGCTGCTGCTCTCTGACAGTTAAACACACGGCTCTAACGAACCTTCATTCATTTCACCTGAACTATGGGGCCGACAGGTGAGCACTTCTCTGCTGTTTCCGGTCTGACTGAAGAACTTTAATGTGGACTTTGTTCTGTTTCCGCTCTTTTTGTCTATGCGAACCTTTAAATCTTAATTTAGCTTTAATCTGTTTTAGCTAACGTCATCCTCGCTGCTAACGTTAGCTAGGTTTCCTCCAGGTTAGTTAACACCTGAGACAGAGGCGGTGACGTTAACCGGTTAGAAACGATTAACCGAGAGCTTTCGGTCAGAGTCGAAGAGCTCGGGAGAAGTCGGTCAGTTAAACGGTGTGTCCTGGTTTCAGTGTCTGTGCAGCAGTTTAGCCGTTAGCTCATCCACCCAGTTTTAACTAATTCAGTTACTAATTAACCGACTAAAGAAGTTTTAACCGAATCACCTCTTTGACCCGCGTGTGTGATCGTTCGAGTAAAATGTGATCAGTAATTTCTACTCTAATTTATCAGCTGATTAAAACAAAGTGAATGATATTAATTAATGTTTTTATACATATAGTTATAATTTTCTTCTCATTTTTCATTTTCATTCTTTATTTCATCCGGTTCATATTCAAAACAAACAAGTAAAAATCTCAAACGTGAATAAAAAGGAGCAGAAAGAAGAAAACTCTTCTAGAGTCTGAACCTCTTTTATAAGATATTCAACTAAACACATACTAATAAAATAAACAAGAACTTTTTACAGTTCATTATTTTTTATTTTTAAAAACAAACAGAAAAGACCACCATAACTCACAAACAGACACAGACTCGTTTGAACTTATTTCCCTGTTTTTACTCGACAAACTGACTTTGACTCTTTTTTTAAAGATCAAACTTGATTTAATTTCTTTAGTTTCTTTGTTCAGATTGTTCCTCAGACTGATTCTTCTCTCTCAGCGCTCCTTCACTGTAGTTCTCAATCTTTTTTAATATTTCAAATCCTTTTAAATTAGAACAACTTTAGAACAGTTTTTTCTGGATGTTGACAGGTCAAATTTTCCTATGAGCTTTAAACATCATCTGTAACAAACTGAAATCTACTGAAAACAACTGCAGTTTAACACGTTTGAAGGATCTCTGTATTGACTTTGACTAATAATTCATATTGCTGTTTTTTGTTCCTCCCCACACTTCAACACAGTCGGTCAGATATGGAACAATAATCTAATTATACAAGCGGTACAAATCTTTATTATTATCTAAGTAGTCCTTTACTTTGTTTAACATAACAATCCTTTTTGCTATTTTCACTTTTATCCCATTAATCTGTGATTTCCACGTCAATTTATCATCAATAAGAACACCTTAAAATCTTATTTCATTTACTCTATTAACTTCAAAACCTCCAGTATTCACTGAAGCATCAATGTTTTTGCCTTTGTTACCCGACAGTATAGAGTTTTTCTTCAATATTTTAGGATTAACTTATTTTTGTATCCATCTGTATTTGAGTAGAGCCCTTTATAATATTATGAGTATTGTGAAAATGTTCAGTAACAGCTGTGAATGACCAACAGGGACAGGAATATGAATTATTGTAGAGTTTATTTTAAAGTCTCTAACTGCTGTGATGAAATTATGAAGAAACAGACCTGTTTTCTCTTCAGTAGCAGAAATATTTACAGTCAGGTTAAACAACAGGAAACACTACACACACACACACACACACACACACACACGTACAGGACAAAACCAGTAAAGACGCACCAGGTTCCCTTTTGTCCAGGAGACAACAAAACAAACACAAACAGCTGATATCTGTGACACCAGAACTTTCCGACCAATATTAGGAGCCGGTTCACTTCACCGTAAAATGTTCGACTTTCAGTCTAAACTCAGAGAAACTCTTTCACTGACAACTAAACACTAAAACCATAATAACACTATAATAATCACTGAACAGGAGTGAATGTTTGATTAAGTCCACAAAGACAAACTTACTAAAATATATTCACACAAACGGGTTTTAATTTCTGCCCCGTTTTCTGAAATTAGTGGGAAAGAAAAAAGGAGGTCAATATGATTATTTTTTAACTGCGTTATCCTTCACACCCTAACAGAACAGGAAAAACCGGTCAGTCTTTTTAACTGTAACTGTGGATGTGAAAAAAACATTAGTCTCTAACGGGCTAAAATTGGCCGATTTAATCGACTCGCCGATAAATCAGTCGCCCCTCTTTTTATCACTCTGTAAATGAGAAAATACTCCCACCACCCCTGAAAACTTCCCGTGGGTCACCAGTTGTTCTTGTAATCACTGATCTATCATAGAAATATGCTCATTAGAATATCACATGGTCCGAACATGTATGAGGCGCCAGTTTTCCTGATCTAGGATGAAAACAAAGGAGTGATGATCATTTTTATATTTTAAGATATTTGAGATTTTCGTGGCGGTGAGAGAATTTTCTTATTGACAGAGAAAATGGGCTTCCTACCATCATGGACGCCATCTTGAAAATGACGCCTTTCTCGTGGTCAAACTTTGGTAAACTTTGAGTTTGTCATTAAGGACGTCTAATACTGTCAGGTCATATTTGTACCTGACTCTTAATGAATTTACAGATGAGTTATTCTGTTCATGTCGTAGAGTAAGTTTACGTGTCTGAGCCGCTCTCATCGTTTCATTCTCAGTCTTTAACTGAATCTGTGGAGCTCAGAGGACATGAGAGTGACTCCGTGATTTCGTGTGAAAATCTAAAATCTGTGGACTCTAACTTTGATCGTTTGGCAGGTTCCCTCCAGGTGAGGTGTGTACAGGTAAGAAGGGATGGGCTGGTTACATGTAAGGTAAACCGTCTGAACCAGGACACGCTGGAACATGTTTCTCAATTAAAGACAAAGAAACTGTTTTTACTGTTAATCAGGTGAAGTTTGTTTTTGTTGGACTTCACTGAATCAGCGGAGCCACTCCAGAACTCGGGTCAGATACAGCAAAGTCTAGTGGGTGACCTTTAACCTTCAGGAGAGCTGAGGATGGAGGACGAAGAGACAAACGTGTTTCTGTAGGACAGAGGTTCAGACAGGGTGACAGGAGGAGAACAACAAGTCATGAAGAAACACAGTCAGCCCAAAGTTCCTCCGGTGTCAGAGGGAAACAGTGAAGCTTCATTTATCCTGGATTTATTATCTAATACATCACTGAAGGAAATAATAATAATAATAATAATAATAGAAACTGTTCCAGATGTTAAAAAAAGTCTTTTTTTAGAGAAAAGGAGCTGCTGAGTGTCTCGTATTTTTGATAATTTCAGGTCTTTAGTTTTGGAGTTTCTGTGACCCTGAACATTTCTCGAACCCTCACAGCGTCAGTGGTCTCTGTCTCAGGATCACACTCTGGACTGTGTGTCTGTGAAACCGTCCCTCGTCCTTCAGACTCGTCTTTTTGTCTTCTTTATGAAATTAATCTGTGCCTCCTCCTTCCTTCCCTCGTCTGTCTCCTTTCACTCTTCCCGCCTCGTTACCCCGACATGTCCCGTCTTGCCCGCCCTCTCCTCACCTGTCCTCTTGTTTCTTCTCGTCCCAGGTGAGGTGGTGTTTGGCAGCCCGGCGCCGGTTTGCTCCGAGAACCGGTTGCGTTGGGATCTGAGCCCCGAGCAGATCCGGCAGCTCTCGGATGAGCTCATCGCCAACACCAAGATGGTGTACGACTGCGTGGGAGCGCTGGACCTCAGCTGCGTCACCTTCGAGAACACGCTGAAGGCCCTCGCTGACGTGGAGGTCGATTACACCGGTCAGTTTCCACCAATCAGGAGAGTTTAGCGCCACCTTTAGGAGCTTTAATACCCCACAGAGATGAGAGTTTGGGGTTTGGTGCTGATGTTTTTGTTCTTCCTCTCAGACCGTCTCCGTAAATTCACCAGGATCTGAGTTTGAACAGATTTGACGTTTCTGCAGTTTTCAGTTTTCAGCGTCTGAAACCAGCTGAACCAGCGGTTTATAACGGTGTGTTCAAGGGTTAGTGGATTTCTGATGATTACTGATCAGCTGCTCAGTAACTAACAGAGAACTTTACATCCAAAAGTTCAGCTCAGAGTGTTTCATGGAAAAACATCGAACTCCACAGACAGAAAATCAAGATTCAGATCTGTGAACTACGATCAGACAAAAAGGTCAGGAGTCGATAAAACGGAGACGAAAACATCCTTTAGAAACAGTCGTGAGAATAACAGAAACTATAACCACAGTTACAATAACTCAGTTAAGACATCAGCTGAAGGTGAAACCAGGTTAAAAAAAACAGGAAACTGATTTTTAAAAGATTTTCAGGATTTCACAAAAACGACGAAAGAAGATCCTCCAACAACTGAGACACAAACTACAACTCCTCCACTGTGATCAGTCTGTGTTTCTGCATCCAACCAACATATGAACACATGACTATATGAACACGTGAATATATGAACACGTGAACCAGGGCTGTACGATATATAGTTAGAGCGTCGTCATGGCGATGTACGTGTGTGCGATGATCACATGTCAGAGCCTGCGAGGTCGGAGGAGAATGACCTCATCTAATTTCAAGGGTAGCTGACTGTGATACAGCGATCCACCAATCACATTCATTCTTTACTCAGTTACCAATCAGACTACCCTGCCAGCTGTCAATCAGAATCAGAGAGGAGGAAAACACGCCCCTGAGCATGGAGTGAGTCGCTGAAATCGTACATTTACGCGGACCACTCGTCTATCAGCGGCGTGCGTTTCTGCGAGGTCAGTAGACGTGAGTTTCTCAGCACCACAACAACGATTGTAAAAGAGACACGAACAGAGAAAACCACCAAAGAAGAAGAACACGTGTTTCAGTTCTAAGAAGGATGATGTCGACTAAAACATGAGTTCTGTGTTCATCTGTTTCCACGGTAACGTCCAGAACAATAAAAACTTAAACTATCTCTGAGACGGACAGAAGACAGTCGACTAACAGATCAGAGCAGGTTAACTGCTTAACATGAACATGTGAACACGTGAATATATGAATATATAAACACATGAACACACTGATCATCAACATTGACTCATCCTGTTCACTCAGCCAGCAGGGGGCGGTCTGGGGTCGAGTGTTTGTACAAGGACACTTGAGCTGCAGGTGTCTCTGAGACGTTCAGCTTTAGTCAGTCTAAGAGGTGGAGTCTGTGGACGTCTTCTTCTCAGTGTCTGTGGAAACCTCCAGAGTCTGAAAGACGGATCTGATCAAAGGAGGGAAAAACCAAAACAACATGTTTTATGATTTTAACGTCCCGCCGTGTCGTCCAGATATTTCTGCGCGGGGACGATGAACCTGAATGTAAAGAGGTCAAACGTGGCGAGCGCTCAGGTCTGCGCTTCTTTGTGTGCTCTCTCTGAGTCAGCGCGGTCGGTCAGGTTCGCTCGGATCAGCAGTTTTAAAGAAAGCAGCTGATCACGCTGCTGCTGCTTTGTGTGGAGATGAAAACACCTGCAGCTCTCCTGCTGCTCCTCCTGCTGCTCCTGCTGCTCCTGCTGCAGGAGGAGACCGACACTTTCCCTCAGCTCTCAGACTTCAGCTGAAAACTCCTCGGTCTGTCTGAGAGTCGGGACGTTTATCTCCTCACTGCTCTGAATCTTCAGAGACCTTCTCAGTGAAGATGTGAGGAGGACAGTGAAGAAGCTGTTCTGCTGTCAGTTTGATCAGAAAAAACACCTGAAGTTTAGAAGATAGAAGTTTATAAAGGGTCAATAAGAGGTTCAGTTTCAGGAGGTCATTTGTTTCATTCTTCTTAAACTCTTCTCCAAAACGATCAGATCTGAAGGTCTGAAGAAAAGCTCCTCAAACATCATCTGAGCTTCTTCTAGATCATGAACCAGGAGACCATCAACCAGACTGACTGTGTTTAACTTTGTTTTGTCTCCTCTCTGACCCCGCCCTCCCCCTCTCTGACTCCGCCTCCCGGTCATCAGTCCAGAGGAACACGCTCGACTTCCCGCAGCACGTGTCTCCCAATAAGGAAGTGCGAGCGGCGAGCACCGAGGCCGACAAGCGTCTGTCCGAGTTCGATGTGGAGATGAGTATGAGGGAGGACGTCTACCAGAGGATCGTCGCTCTGGAGGTGAGGCGCCGCCACAGACGGCAGGCTGTCGACCAATCAGAAGGCAGACTGAGCTGTAGCTTTATCTCCTGCAGGGTCAGACCTCAGTAACGTCAGAGCGATCACCTCTTCTTCTCTGTTTCTTTGTTTCCGTCTGCAGAGGAAGATCGACAGCAGCTCCCTCACCGCCGAGTCCAAACGCTACATGGAGCGCCTGATCAAACTGGGGAGGAGGAACGGCCTCCATCTCGCCACAGAGACGCAAGAGGTGACCTTCGATCATCCACGTCTCCACGCTGTCAAAGATCTGTAAACTGGAGATCAGCAGGTGTTAGAAGAGCTGTGATTGGTCAGAGCGTCGTCATGGTAACCTGTAAAAGGTTCTCCACAGAGATCTGCTGCATCGGTGTAAACATCAGCGCTCTTTGACCTTCTGACCTTCTTAGAGATCAGAACAGGAACTGTTGATGGAGGAGGAGAGAGGGAGGGAGGGGGAGGAGGGGAGGAGGGAGGGAGGGAGGGAGGGGAGGGAGGGAGAGAGGGGGAGGAGGAGGGAGGGAGGGAGGAGAGAGGGAGGGAGGGAGGAGAGGAGGGAGAGAGGAGGGAGGGGAGGGAGGGAGGGGAGGGAGGGAGAGAAGGAGGGAGGAGGGAGGGAGGGAGAGGAGGGAGGGAGGAGAGGAGGAGGAGGAGGAGGAGGAGGGAGGAGAGAGGGAGGAGGGAGGGAGGGAGGAGAGAGGGAGGGGAGGGAGGGAGGGGAGGAGGAGAGAGGGAGGGAGAAGATCTAACCCTCAAGAGTTTAACTATGAGAGGAGTTAGGAGAGAGGGAGGGAGGGAGGGAGGAGGAGGAGAGGGAGGGGAGGAGAAAGGAGAGAGGAGGAGGGAGAGAGAGGAGGAGGGAGAGAGAGGGAAAGAGGGAGAGAAAGGGAGGGGGGAGAAAGAAGGAGGAGAGGACAGAGAGAGAGGAGGAGGAGGAGGAGAGAGGAGGGGAGAAAGAGGAGGGGGGGGTGAAATGAATGGAGGAGAGAGAGAGAAAATCAAACCCTGATGATTTTAACCTTCAGAGGTGTTAGGAGAGAGGAGAAGAGGAGAGAGAGAGGAGGACAGGAGGCGTCGGTCAGTCCATCTTAATAATCCAGTTCCTGGTTTTTCCCGTTGTTGACCCGCCCCTCTTACTAGAACTCTGAAGTTCTCCTGGATCAGGTCCTGGTCTCAGACTAGAATCCTGTATCTGGTTCTCTGAGGTGGTCTACAGACCAGACTCTAACATCTGTATGTTCATGTCCATCCTGACACTCTGGTTCTCCTCCTCCTCCTCCTCCTCCTTCTCCTCCTCCTCCTCCTCACAGGAGATCAAAACCATCAAGAAGAAGCTGAGTAACCTCTGCATCGACTTCAACAAGAACCTGAACGAGGACACCACCTGTCTGCTCTTCAGCAGGGAGGAGCTGGGTGAGTCTGGAGCTCCGAGCTCACATGGTCGCCGTCTGAACCAGCTGATCTAACTCCTCGCCTCCTTGTTTTTCAGGAGGTCTCCCCGAGGACTTCCTGAGCTCTCTGGAGCAGGATGGAGACAAGCTGAAGGTCACCCTGAAGTACCCTCACTACTTCCCCACCATGAAGAAATGTTTCGTCCCTGAGACCCGCAGGAAGCTGGAGGAGGCCTTCAACTCCCGCTGCAAAGAGGTGAGACATGATCCAGTCCTGATGGTCCAGATGTTGAAGGTGGACCCTCAACTCTTTAGGGAGGAGGACGCAGCATCTATGATTTCTAGTTCTTCGTTGAAAGGACAACTGGACGAACTTGAGACTCAAGTTCTTCCAGTTGTCCTTTCCAAAAGAAGGTCCGATTCTGCTCCATCAGACCTCCGGACTCCCTCAGAGGTTTGGAGATCTTTCCTCATGTGACTAACCTCTGGACCTCCTGTCTGCGTCTTTAGGAGAACTCGTCCATCCTGAAGGAGCTGGTGGAGCTCCGGGCCCAGAAGAGCGCTCTGCTGGGCTTCAGCACTCACGCCGACTTCGTCCTGGAGATGAACATGGCCAAGTCCGGGGCGAGGGTGGCCAGCTTCCTGGGTGAGTGAAGAGGAGACCTTCAGGAGGACAGAGAGCAAAGATCTGCTCAGACTCTAACCCTCGAACCGTCCCCAGAACGGACCTGCAGATAGATGTTGATAAAGTCATCTTCTCCGTTTCTTCTGTGTCTCTTTGTTTTCAGAGGAGCTGGCCTTCAAGCTGAAGCCTCTGGGCGATGAAGAGCGCTCCGTCATCCTCAAACTGAAGGAGAAGGAGTGTCAGAAGAGAACGCTGCCCTTCAACGGAGAGCTGCACGCCTGGGACACCCGCTACTTCATGACCCAGGTCTGACCTGCTCCAGGACCTCAGGACCTCAGACAGCTGCTGAAGGATCCAAAGACTCTGAAGAACTTTCTCCTGAATCAGTTTTTACTCTTTTCTTCTCCTCTCAGGTGGAGGAGACCCAGTACGCCGTGGACCAGAACCTGTTGAAGGAGTACTTCCCCATGGAGGTGGTCACTCAGGGTCTGTTGGACATCTATCAGGAGCTCCTGGGTCTGTCCTTCGAGCTGGTGAGCGGAGCGGCGGTGTGGCACCCGGACGTCACTCTGTACTGCGTGAAGGACCGCAGCAGTGGTCAGGTGGTCGGCCAGTTCTACCTGGACCTCTACCCCAGGTGAGGCTCACAGACAGTCCTGGTTCTGGGTGGTCCTCCTGATGTCCCGCCCCCTCACGTCTCCTCTCTCTCACCCGTCCTCTGCAGGGAGGGGAAGTACGGTCACGCCGCCTGTTTCGGCCTGCAGCCCGGCTGTCTGCTGCCCGACGGCAGGCGCCAGATGTCGGTGGCGGCGATGGTGGCCAACTTCAGTAAGCCCACGGCGGACGCTCCGTCACTCCTGCAGCACGACGAGGTGGAGACGTACTTCCACGAGTTTGGACACGTCATGCACCAGCTGTGTGCCGAGGTCAGCTGACACCACGCGGACTTAAACGCTCTCCATCCCAGAAACAGAATAATCAGAAGTGAAGGAGCTTTATCTGGAGACGGCAGGTCTTTGGGTCCAGACCCGATCAGCTGACGGAGGACCTGCTGAAGTCTCCTCTGATTGGAGTGTTTCAGTCTGACTGTGTTTGTGTGTTTACAGGCAGACTACGCCATGTTCAGCGGGACTCACGTGGAGCGGGACTTTGTGGAGGCCCCGTCTCAGATGTTGGAGAACTGGGTCTGGGAGAGGGACCCTCTGCTGAGGATGTCCCGACACTACAAGACCGGGAACCCCATCCCCGACGAGCTGCTCGACAAACTCATCAAGTCCCGCCTCGCCAACACCGGTGAGTGCCGCGCAGAGACAGACGACTGCTTCAGGAGGTTGTTGTTTTTTTACTGTTGCTATGGTAACCGTCCCCCTCCTTACAGGCCTGTTTAACCTGAGGCAGATCGTCCTGGCCAAAGTGGACCAAGCTCTGCACACCAGGAACGGACTCGACCCGGCAGAGGAGTACGGACGACTCTGCCAGGAGATCCTGGGAATCCCAGCGTCGGCAGGTCTCTGTCCTCTGAGGAGTTTGTTCGTCTGAAGAAGAGTGAGAAACATCAACGATTTGACCTCTGACCTTCCTCTCTCCACAGGAACCAACATGCCGGCGACCTTCGGGCACTTGGCAGGCGGTTACGACGCTCAGTACTACGGTTACCTGTGGAGTGAAGTCTACTCCATGGACATGTTCTTCGCTCGCTTCAAACGAGAGGGAATCATGAACCCAAAGGTCAGAGCGCGTGAACGTCAGGAGAACATCTGAGCAGCTTCTCCGACAAGAAACACCTTTTAGTCTTTAACCTGCTTTAACTTCAACCAGAACCTCCTGAGATCTAAATCTACAACACGCTGTTTTAAATGTTGATCTGATGGTTTTCAGATCATGTCGGTGTAGGGCTGGGCGAAAGAGAAAAAGGTTATCATGATTAATTTTTTCACATCAGTCGATATTGATAAATATCAGGATATACCTCCAAAAACCAAAATACCTCCACACCACGGACGTTTTCCTAACGCCAGTGTTGTGGTTGACATTGATGTGGTCATCTGTTGAGCCTTCATGGTCATTTCTGTCGGGGGTAGCACTCATTTTCTTTGTTTCTCACCAACAGTGCTGTCGGCTTCACCTGTTAAAGTGCTATGGTTGGGTGGAGCTGCTGTCTGCTACGACGCTGCAGTTGGTTGATACTTGGTTCTAATTCAGAACATGATTGGTTCAGACCCGGAGAAACTCCCCTTTTCATTGGCTGTTCGTATAGTCAACCAAAACATTGAAAAGCATATTGATCATGTTTTATATCGATATTGAGGGAAATTAAGTTTCAATATATATTGTTATTGTTTTGTCGCCCAGCCCTCAGTCTGTGTTTAATCTAAAATCATGCAAATGAAAGTTTTTATTGATTTATGAAAAATCGGTACACACTTAAAATGTGATGACAGACATAGGTTTAAAAAAAACTGTTAGAGGAACGACCAATCAGGAGAGGACTTTATCTACAGTCTATAATATCATTCAGAGGATCTCGAGAAATCTCAAAATCTTAGACGTTTCACCGTCTCAAGTCCAGATGTCCTTTCAACAAAGAATTAGAAATCATAGATGCTGCATCCTCAGTTTTCACCTTAACAACCACTGACTGTGAACTCAGTTCATCGCTGCGTCCACTGATGACGTTCAAACTGAACCACGAAAGAGGAGGCGATTGACAGCTGCGATTTTCCCTGTCCGCCAATTCCAACCAAACCGCAATTTTACTCACGAGAACCCGCAGATTCACGTTCAATCTCACGATAACGACTTGTCTCTCTAAAGACAGACACATAGACATATAAGCAGTAGATTGTGTCCTTCCAGAGGAGGAAATCTACTTCTAGACTTCTAGAATCAGCATCTCCTCATCCATGGTGTCATCGGGGTGAAATGACGTCTAAAAACCTTTCACTTGTTCGTCTCCGCCCGTTTGCATGGTGTGAAATACGATCCTCCTGAAACACGGAGTGTTTTATTTTGAAAAGAAGCCGGATGTTTTATTTTGAAAAGAAGTCGGTGTAAATTGACACGTTAACTTGAATGGCTACGATCGGAGGATACGACCTTTTAGGAGACGATCAGGATGAAGGTGGAGGTCAGGGGTCAGAGGAGGCTGGTACAGAACCTCGTGACCCGTTTGGTTAATAAGAAACAAAGAAACTAGATGTCTTAATGTTTTGACTGGCTCTGACATGCTGTCCTCTGATTGGTCCTCTAGGTCGGTCTGGATTACAGGAAGTTCATCCTGCGGCCCGGCGGCTCAGAGGACGCCTCTGAGATGCTGAGGAAGTTCCTCGGGCGCGAGCCAAAACAGGACGCATTCCTTCTGAGCAAAGGACTAACTGTGGAGCAGCAGGCCATCACGCCATCTCCCTGCTGACCAATCACAGCAGCCGGATCTGTCTCTCACGCCCCCCTCTGCACAAAGGGAGAACAACAGACTGTGGTTTTCTAGAAAAAACGGTAAACTGTAAAACATGGATAAAAATGAGCAGTGAATAAATGGTTTGAGGTGACGGCGTCCGTGTGTCTGAGTACCTGATGTGTCTGAGGAAACGTGAGGAGACGCTGGCGTCCTCCTGCAGCCTGCTGAAGGTCGATGATGTCAAACATCGGAAATACAAACATAGATCCTAGCAGACATAACTGACCTTTACTCTGAGTTTTAGTGAAGTATAAAGAATCGAACATGAGAAGCTGAAATATTTCAAAAAGGACTTAAATAAATTATTGATCCATCAGTTTTTACTTCTGACCTCATCAGAAGTCCCACAATGATCCAACAAGGACTTCTGAAAGTACTGAGAGACGTCATCCTCCTGTTTATCCTTCTGTTTGTTTTTTACCATAGACTGTATATACTGTTATTATTCTATATATTCTATATACAGTCTATGGTTTTTACCCACCTGAGGACTCTAGTCGGGTTAAACAGAAGGCGGCGAGCGGGGAGGTTTGGTGCAGACTGATGGGAGTATGAGGTGTCAGCAGGTACAGAGGTGACGATGTCTCTGCCAGAGTTTCTGATGTAACGTCCTCAGAGAGCGGCAGGACAACAGCCCTGCTTCAGCACAAATAAAACAGCCTGGAGGTAAAACTGCAGAACAAACAGACTCAACGTCAAAAACAATCTGTAATCTGTACGACGACAGCTCCTGTTTAACGTCAAGGTTCACAGATTTAGGAGGAAAAATGCAAAATAAACTTAAAACCTCATTTGGATCACCTGTTTCTATGCATTACTGATGAAGAAGTCCCTCTTCTCCAAGTGTTCAGGTATGAAAACATTCAGTTTCAACCACATGTGAATAAACTGACAGAGACACTAAAACCAAAACCTTCACAACATTCATCATTTTCAGTGATCTGTATTTAAAACACTTTTAGTTTTTCTCTGAAAACCTTCACAATATAAACAGCAGAGTTACTCAGATGATCACATGATCCCCTGTTAAAGTTTATCGTCAAACAGAAATATGAATTATTGATATTTTGTTTGGAGCTGAAACACACCTGTAGGATAATTAAGGTGTTGGTGTGTCTCATTATGTCAGAGGTTTGTATCAAATGTCTTTCAGCAGTTTTGTTATCCTCATTATCATCATCTTCACATTAGTCTTAAGTGTAATTAGCAGTGAGCTGCAGCTGAGAGCAGAGGCCCCCCAGGGCCCCCTGACTCCCTCAGGCCCTGCTGAGTAAACAGGTGAGTTTAACACTGAGCAGGTGAACTGAACAGGTGTAAACACCACTGAGAACAGAGCCAGGTGATAGAAGAGGAATAAATAATTCAAAATTAAAGAGGTTTATTTTGCACAGATTTCAGATCGTACATTTTAATTTTTACAGTTTTTCCGTTTAACCTGCTGAGTCTGTAAACACGTCTGTCAGTTCAATAAAGCAGGTAAAAACTGTCTCTGGACCGTTAACCGGCTCAGTCAGGGTGAACTGACAGTTACATTAGATTAAAACGTGTAAATATGTAGAGTTAATGTTTGTTAGTAATGTGAAGATCCGTGTTGAGAACATAAACACTGTTAGCTAACAGTGTTAGCTAACTTTGTTAATCCAGGAACTTCTCTGTTAAAACTGTTAGCTAACTTTTCTGTTAAGATGCTTCAAACTAACATCTTATTTTATCGGCGACCGATGTTTGGGTCGGATAGATTCTCTTTTTCTACGCTAATATTGTTCGTTAGTTAAGCTGATCGTCAGGTCCGGGTGTTGTGCCGTAGAATGCACCCCTGCTGTAGAATCCCCCCTGACCGGAGCGGTGAAAGTTCATAACAAGGTGAAATAATCCGAGTTTTTATTAACGTTGGACGGAATCTAAAGAGTGTTCCTTTAATGAATTCACTCAGACTGAAAACTACAGTCCTCTGATTCAGAATATTTACTGTCCTGAAAATAATAATAATAATATAAAGTTCTCTACCTTAACAGTTTACTGTAGAGTTTATGAAGTTCACCTCTATATGAGCATTTTAGAGACACATAAAAACAGAACGACAGTTTGCTGCTCCATTTGACACGTTGTGATGATCTAATACTCGTGTTTTTATTTAAATATGAGATGATTTTCTTCCACTTTAAGAAGCTCATGAGTGGAGAGGATGCCGGGGTGCATTCTACGGCACTACACCTGTAAGTAGGTGAGCTAACAAGAAGCTAACTTTAGCTAACCGAAATTTCACTTCAGTTTAACAAACAATTCAATAAAGTTCACAGCAGTTTAATAAAAGTAGGTTAATGTATTCATCATCAGCTGTGTTAAGATCAGAATAAGGATGTAAAACTCCGCCTAAAGTAAATATTTTAATGTGATATTGTTTATGTTACTTAAGAGTCTTTTCAAGTTCATACAGACTTTAACTATGAAGAGATTTACCCTGAAGGTTTACTGCAGAAAGAACAAATTCTCTCATAAAAATTTCACTAAATGCAAAAATTTTCCACAAAACATTTCAGACAACAGTTAAGTGTCTGATAAATAACAGGCAGCTGTTATTCAGATGTGTGTTTATTCATTTTTGTTTTCTTTTGTTACACCTGAGCGATGCCCAGAACCTCCTGATGTATTTTCATAGATTTATATGTATTCAGATTATTAGTCTGTGTTATTCCTGCTCTGCTCCTCTGTTGTTTTTAAAGACTGATAACCAAAGTGAGTTTGAGATCCCAAAACACAGGAAACATTTTATAAAAGTTAAAAAAAAAACACTCCAGGAGGTGAAAAAACGTCTCATAAGACACCAAAATGGGTCATGAATGCAAAATTTGTCATGACACTAAAAAATATTTTAATGTCAAATTAAGAAACAAAAAGTAAAGTTCTGTCCAAGTGTGTCTCAAAAGTTTTTCAGGATGCAGGAAAAATATTTCAT